TTACAATTATCCATGCTGTATTTACTTTTTCATGCATTTACTCATTTAAAACATGATAAAATGATAATAATTTAAGTTTAGGACCGTTTTGTGTATTTAAGTAACATTACTTAACTTAAGTCACTTTACTTATATGGCTTGTTTTGTTATTATCTGCAGTGTATACAGTTTTATTTCCTTTAGATTCATGAAAAACATGAAAAAGTTTTATTAAGTTATGTTTAGGGCTTTTTTGTGCATTTAAGTCACATTACTTAAGTTAAGTCACTTTACTTAAATGTCAATTTTTGCAATTATCCACAGCGTATAAAGTTTTCTTTGCTTTAACTTAATAGAAATCATGATAAATTGGTATTAACATAAGTTTTTCGCAGTTTTGCAGTAAGTAGTATTACTTAACTTAAGTCACATTACTTAAAATTACCAATTTTGTTCTTATCCACAGCGTATATATTTTTCCATGTTTTATTATCATTTAAAACATGATAAAATGATAATACTTAACTTTAGGACCTTTTTATATATTTAAATAACATTACTTAAGTTAAGTCACAGTACTTATATTACCAATTTTAATTTTATCTACGGTACATTAATTTTTTATATTTTTATGACGTAAAACACAATAAAACATTAATAGCTTAACTTTAAGTAACATTACTTAACTTAAGTCACCTTACTTAAACTACCAATTTTGCATTTATCCCCAATGTATATAGTTTTCTATAAATACTCGCATATACGACCTTGCTTTATTACGATTATGATTATTATTATTACTTAGTGCAAACACATGACTTAAGTTAAGTCAGCGGAAAGATAATAATAAAAAAAGTTGTGCTTGTGCGTTAACCGTCACGAAGCCGTGATTATCTCCCAGGGCGGCCATGATGCCACCATGATGGCGTCTCCATTTGTTTTTTCTCACGTGCGTTAAGCTAAGTACGGGAGTCGCTGATGTGACTTAGCGGTCGCGCTCGGAAACAATGCCGCTTCCCACAAGTATTACATTTGATGTTACGGCATTCATCGCATTCCGGTATCCTATAAATCTAATCTGAATATGAAATATGAAATATAAAAAACAAGATGGCCGGCGAGATGTCGAGATGTGAAGTAACTGAAACTAGGTTATGTTGTGTTCAATTAAACGTAACATTTGTAACAGAACTTGGTCTATGATTTTTTGGTTTTGAGGTTAAACGCAACTCGAGTTAAGTTGAAGTTGAGTAAATATTAGATGATTTTGAGGTTATGTTTGTACATGTGTTGCTTTGGTGTTGCATCTTGGTGGAGAAGAGTGGGATAATTAGCGCTGAGTGTGTTGCTGGTGATTTCTGTGGCTTTTGCACGTTTACAGTTTTCTGTAAGTTAAGTTGAGTTAAAGTTGATGTTGAAGTTGATGCGCAGTGCAAACAACCGTTAATTGAAAACAGGTTGTTGGAGGATCAAAAATGAAAAATGCATTACAGTGCAATCAACTTTATCACGTCACATCACATTTGGTGGATTATTAATAATAAACCTTGACATTTAGAATGTTGACAATGATTTAAATTTAGAGTTAATGGAGTTTAATAGAGTTAAGTCTGGTTTTTGGCGAATAACAAATTTGTAGCAAGGTTAATGGTTGTGCAGTTGTTAAGTTGACTTTAACTGGATTAAAACTTGTTTTTAAAATGGCGGGTGTGGTTTATTTTATATTTTGCCATAACTTTTGTTGGTAAATGTTTTTAAAAGTTAAAATTAAGAAAATTAAGAAATTTTAGGTTAAATTCTGAATTTGAGGTTATTTTTGAAAAAAATGTGAAATATGAATTTTAACTTTTAAAATTGGATGTGAAAAGGTGAATTTTAAGGTTATAGATATGACAGCTGTCAAAAAACTGTCAAAGTATTAAATTTGAGGTTAAAAGTTAATATTTTGTAAAAATCAAATTAAAATATTGAAGAAACCTACGGAAATGTTGGTATTTTATGCATTTTTTATTTTCTGTGACGAAACCGTACAAAATTTAACTTTTAAACTGTGTAACTATTAAAATTTGAATCAAAACTCATAAAAATAGCGTTAATAATTGGAATTTTATGGTTATAACTTATGACAGCTGTCAAAAAGGTGTGAAAGCATGAAATTTCATGTTTAAAGCGAAAATATTGTTAAAATCAAGTTAAATTATTGAGAAAACATAGGAAAATAGTGATATTTTATTATTATTTAATATTTTTGTTCCCAAGTCGTAAAAAAACTTAACTTATAAAGTATTGAACTGTTAAAATTCGATTAAAAACTTATGAAAGTAGTTATTGCTCTCAAAAAAGCTTCCAACATCAATAAATTTCGGGCTATTTTATGAATAATTTTATAATTATATAAAAAATGTTGATATTTTATTGTTTTTCAATTTTTTTGATCTGGTATTGTATAAAACTTAACTTTTAAAGTATTTAACGGTTAAAATTTTAATAAAGACTCATAAAAATTGTTATTATTGACATAAAAGCTGTCAACAACAATAAATTTCAGGTTATTTTATGAATAGTTCGATAATTACGAGTATATTAAAAACAAGTCGAAATTGTGAATAAAATTGGGAAAAAATCATGTAGTTTACACATTTTCCATTGTTTTTGTCAAAAGCATGGAAAAAGCACAACAAAACTTGAAAATCATGATACTTTTAGGTTATTTAAGGTTATATCTAATGTTACCTGATGTCAAAATCTTTGACAGACGTCAGAAACACCAAATAAATCCCCAAAAACACCAAAACACTCAAAAAATTACCAAAAATACAAGAAACAATAAATTTCTTTGAAGTAATCACCGAAAAATATAAATAATTATAAAATTTCTTCCTAAATTTGCTAAAATTTGCATGCATTCACCTATAACTTGTGATTTTGTGATTTTTCCTTTACATATTTATAAAAACACGCTTCTATTCCGCACTGGTTATTTTCCGTTTCGCGCATTTCACACAATTTACACATTCACAATCGTGAAATTTATCACACTCATAACCTGTCACGCCGGCTAGCTTTACATCCATTCCGTATGCGTAAGTTTCTACGTACATCTTAATTGGCATGTGTGCCTACTAACAGCAATTAGTTAAACAATTAGACCTTTATTTTCAACCCATTAATAAGTTTTACTTTGGCACGCTACCCCAGTTGCGCATCGGCGTGAAAAATTACACGGTAGCAATAGAAATAGAAATACAGTGGAATCCCGGTAATCCGGACCCGGCTTGATACGGCACCTCTTGTAATCCGACACGGTCATCCCTACTAATATTATAAATGCGAAAGTCCTGATGTTTGTTACACTTTCACGCAAAATCTACTTAACCGATCATCATGAATATTTGTACACATATTCTTAGTGGTCCCCGAATGGTTATAGGCTACTTTTTATGTAATAAAAAAATATTTTTTAAATAAAATAAAGAAATAGTTTAGCCAATAATACCTCTGCATCTGGCTATTTGACTACTTTAACGCCATCTAGCATTCCAGCAATGAAGCTCAAACCTAAGTACTATAGTACCATCACACTGTATTATCACACTGTATTACCGACAGCTACGTCAACATCAAATCCAATTGACTACACTGTGGAGACTGTACACTATACTTCCATAGACTATACTTTCAGCCATTTTAAACTTCCCGCCATTCTACTTCATTGTTACTTCTTCTGTGACTACAGACGCGTATGGAAGCAACTTCAATATTTTAGATATTCGCGAGTGAAGTCAAGGGTTAAAGCTAGTATTAAATAATTTTCCACTTGATTCCAATATTATAATAAATAAACTCCTGATTCTATTATGCAAAGTGATTGTCGGATTATCGGGATTCCACTGTAGTAAAAATTACAGAAGAATAAAAGTTAGGTTCGAATTTCTAATTAATAAAATTGTGCTATTAGGATGCAAATAAACATATAAACGGATAAACACTAAATACTAAATGTTATTACTTTACTGGTATACTCACGGAAGTGTAATATATCTGGTTGTTAATATTTAAGAGAAGAAAGTTTGTGTTTTGGTGGCGGAGATGCGTCGCGATATTTGTTACTTTCGTTAGCTGTATGCTAATGAATGACAATTTTTTTATTATTTACCAGTTATAATCATTTTTAATGTTACTTTCTACTAGGATTAATGTTGATATTAATAAAAAATTGACATCTGTAGGATTTTAGCTTAACTTAACATATGTAGGAGCTGGAATTTGAGGTTATGATTGATTTGTTGTGAAGGTAATAGTTGTTTAAATTGATTTAACTTGAATAAAACTTGTTTTGAAAATGGTAGATGGGTTATATTGATAAATTTGTTGATTTTTTATTGAATTGATGAAAAATGAAGAAAAAGAATGAAAATTTAGCTTAAAAATGTAAATTTGAGGTTATTTTGAAGAAAAAAATGCTGAAAAAGATTAAACACTTGTAGAATAGGATGTGATAAGGTGAATTTGAAGGTTACAGCATATGACAGCTTTCAAAATCACGTCAAAACATTAATTTTTAGGTTATTTCAAGAAAAACTGCTCAAATTTCATTGACATTTTGACATTTTTATCAATTTTTCGAGTTAATATACTTAATAACCCAAAAACAATAATATTTGAAGAGAATTTAAGGTTATATTTTATATTACCGGATGTCAAAAACCATGACAGGCGTCATAAACACTAAATAAATTTTTTGCGCTGGTTTTTCTTATGAACTGTCGAAAAATCAATAAAAAGATAGAAATTTCAGGTTAAAAATTGAATTTTGAGATTAAAACTTATGAAATTGGATGTGGAAAGGTGAATTTTAAGGTTATATCATATGACAGCTGTCAAAAATATGTCAAATACTAAAATTTGAGGTTAAAAGTTAAAATATCATCAAAAACATGTTAAAACTTCGAAAAAACTTTGAAAATTTTAAAAAAATTAATATTTACCAAGTCATCTTATAGAATCAATATTAAAATCAATAAATTTTGACATTTCCTTTAATTTGAGACCTTTTAAAAACAAAATTTTAAGTTAAATTATAATTGCTCATCGAGTAAATTAACTTGTTGCATATTCTCCTCAATAATCCGTAACATTTCTTCTCGTGGATCTACTCCAGTTACTTCTTCTTCCAATATTTCACCTTCCTTTTGTGTTTTCTGTTCTTCTTCATCTTCATATTCCGTGCCTTGCATTCGTTCATGTAAATCGCTCATCTCTTGATCGTCTTTCTCTCCATCGTCATCCACTTCGTCACGCAGCAATTGTTCGAATGCGTGACTATGCTTTCTACTCGTACCTTTCTTTCCCTTCTGTAAACAAATGAGGAAGTCAAACACAACACAATTGAAGTTTAAACATCCGCCATATTGAATTGCTACAAATTGATCACAAAGTGTACCTACTCGTAATTCAATTCTTTGGGTGCAAGTGCGCATACCTTTGTTTTGACTTTCCTTTCTGCGTCCAAAGATTGAGTTTGTGTGGATGAGGATGGTGTCGTGGTTGTTGGGTCGTCGTCCATTTGTCCGTAGAGTGGATTATCGAAGGCGCAATCGCGCCTTTCTAACGACGCGCCTTCGCCGCGCACGACGTTGGCATTATCGGATTCGGACGAGGAAGCTGCCGCGCTTGCTGATAATACCGATGATTGTAAACTCATCGTTGTGGTTGTGTTGGTGTTTGAGTTTGTGGTTGGTGTAAACGAAATGTCAACGCGCCCGCGGCTCTGTCGTAAAATGGCGGCGTCGTCGTCTTCGGCATCGCTTGCGTCTCCAGCGTTGTCGAAACGCGCGAAAATGAATGGGCGGAAATTCGCTGGGTTCAAGCGGAAATTTCTGGAATTAACAAAAAATATAAATTTGAGGTTATTTTGGGGAAAATATTTAAATTTTGATAAGAAACTATGGAAAAGTATGTAAAAAGTTGATTTTTAAGGTTATAATATATGACAGCTGTCAAAAACATATACTTGAAGTTATTTGATGGAAAAATATTAAAATTTGATGTAAAAATCATTGAAAACTGTATAAAAAGGCGATTTTTGTGGTTATAGCATATGGCAGCTATCAAAAACATGTGAAAACATTAAATTTTAGGTTATACCGTGTAAAAATTTCAAAATTTGTTTAAGAAAACATAGAAAAGTATGTAAAAAGTTGTTTTTTAAGGTTATAATGTATGACAGCTGTCAAAAACATTATATTTGAGGTTATTTGATGAAAAATATTAAAATTTGATTAAAAACATTGAAAAAACTAGTAGAAACTTGATTTTTATGGTTTTTGTCATTGACAACTGTCAAAAACATGTCAAAGCATTAAATTTTAGTTTAAAGGCCAAAATTTCATCAAAAACAAGTTAAAAATCTATAAATTTTTAAGTTTCCTACGCCAAAACCTTTAAAAAACTCAACTTTGAAGTTTTATCAAGTAAAAATGTTAAAATTCGATTGAAAATTAGTAGAAAATTATAAAAATGGCTGAATTTTAAGGTTATAGCAAATAACAGCTGTCAAAAACATGTCAAAATATTAAATTTTAGGTTATGTCATGAAAATATCCTCAAAACTTTTAAAATCGTTGAATATTTTGAGCAATTTTTTAATTTTCTAACGTAAAATACTTAAAAATCCAAAAATAATGATACTTAAAGATAATTTATGGTTATATTCTTCATTACCTGATTTCAAAATCCTTAACAGGTGTCATAAACACCATATAAATCCCCAGGAATACCAAAACAGTCAACGCGAACGTAATCAACACCATCGCCCCTCCAGAATTAGCAAAAGTACGAAAAACAATCGGTTCCCCCGAAGTAATAACTAAAAACATAAACAAACCTCAAACTAATTCATAAAAACCTTAAAAAAACATTAATTATTATTATTTCAATTTTTTCGTAACTTACTATTATAATAAACATTAGAATCGATTTCCACCTTGTTCAACATATTCTTTAATTTTTCAACAACACCTTGTGTGTACCTCCCCCCACTCTCCACCATCTTATCCACAATAACAAACTGCCCATAGGGTTTGGGCCCAGCCATATTAACCAACCCATAATAATAATCAATATCACCATTGTTTCCTTCATCTTTCAAAAGTGATTCAATCTTCTTAATTAAAAAATCACTCTTTCCTGTTAAAATAATCGACGCTCCGCATATTCTCCGACAGTTACGCCATACAATCGTCGGGTTTTCACAGTAGATGTCATCGTACATTTCCTCTGTATATGTTTTAATTTTATCTTCCTTATCATTTGGATATTCTTCATTATACACATTATCATCGTTTTGTGTTTGATTTAATCTTGTACACAAATCTCTATCATCTACAAGTGAGTGTTTTTGACAGACGCATGTTGTGCGGTCACATGTGTTATCAGGATTGATATTAGCACCAAAAAGATGCAAATCTTTCTCGTTTACTGTTAATTCTCGATTGAATAGTTTTAATGATTTCACGTTGAGTTCAGGTACGGATATGATGCCGATTATGTCTGTTTGTGGAATCAAGATGGCGTCCCATTGACATGGCAGGCGGTCTAGGTAGGGAATAGCACGATTGTTGAGGTTATTCCAGTTTTCCGGACGATTTTCGTTGGTTTTTATGAGTTTTATTTGTGAACCTATGGGAATAATAATAATAGTAATAAGGTTATGTTTTTTGTATTTTGAGGTTATATTTACATGATTTGTCTCGTATATCGAAGGTTAGACGTGCGCCATCTTGTAAAGCAATGGCGCCTGTTGATGGTAGGATTAATTCATGAATTGTTTGCGATGATAATAAAATAACAGCTTGATAGTGATCTGGGAGTTGTAAGCCTCTGCAATTTTCTTCGGGTGTTTTTAAAATGGCGTCGTTTCCGCCTATCCATGTACGGATAGCGGATTTTGTAGGTTTTAAGTAGAAAATTGCTAAAATCACTGATGGAATGTTTTTAATGCATATAAAGTTTTAAAATAATAAAAATAATAATTGTTTTTACTTACTTAATGTTTTAAGTAACATTTTGATGTTTACACTGAGTAATAATACAATAAAATGACTAAACTGGGTTTTTTGTTGTTTAGATTAAAGAGTAAATTGATATTGTGGTTGATGGGCGGTGGGAATATGATATTCTGATATAAATTAGTGATAAAGTGTAATAAGAGTAGTCTATGTGTCATTTTGAGGTTATTTTTAGTTGATGTACATGCAAACAGTGAATATTTTGTGTTTTGAGGTTAATTTTTGTGTGCAAATGTGTGTGGAACAGGAAAAAAGGTAAAAATAATATATTTTATGTTTATTTTACACGTTTATTGATTGATTAGTCATTTTATGCATTAAACAAACAAGTAAATTACAAATAGTTTCAATAACAAATGCAAGGAAACAATTTTTTGGTTATTTTTGTGTTTCTGTTCAAAATAAGGTAAAATTTGCTAAATTTTTAATCTTTATACTTGTTTTGCAATGATTTTAGCTTTTTTCTTTGAAATAACCTCAAATTTTGTGATACTAACATGTTTTTGACAGTTTTCTTATGAAATAACTATAAAATTTAAGTTATTTCATACTTTTTCAGCTTTTTAACAAAAATCTCACATTTTTTTCGAGAAATAATCTTAAATTTATACTTTGACGTTAATATAACCTTAAAATAATAATTTGATATTGTGTTAGAAAGGAAGTATATCATAAACTAATCATAAAACCAAATATAAACAGTTTATGTCTTATTTTGCGGTTGTTTTTAACGGAAAATTTGCTATTTTGAGGTTATTTCTATGTCAAATTGTGTTTGAAGTAGTAATAAAGCTGAAATAACAAGTTTTATGTTTATTCTACACGTACATCAATTAATGGGTAGTTTTATGGAATAAACAAACAAATAAATCATAAATTGTTGTAACCAGAAATGTAAAAAAACGATTTTTCCTCGTTTTTTTATAAAAAGTTTCTAAAAATTTAAAATCTTGTTCAAAAACAATCAAAAATATTTTAAAAAAACTTAAATTTTCTTGTTATAACATAGAAAACTGTCAAAAATATGTCAAAACTTTTAAATTTTACGATATTTAATTAAAAAATGCTCAAATTTCATCAAACTCCAATGAAAACCTTGAATTTTTCTTAATTTTTGGCAAAATCATTACAAAACCATTTCTGAAATTCTACCAATGCGTTAAATCCATTCCCAAATATGTAACAATAGTCGTGATTTCGACTAAAAAAGGAAAATTGGAAGAAAAAACGCTGAAAAAGTGTCTAAAAAGTTGAATTTTAGGGTTATAAGTCATAAGCCAGCTGTCAAACACATGTCAAAACATTAAATTTTAGGTTATTTCAAGAAAAACTGCTCAAATTTCGCCGAAATTTTGATATTTTTATCAATTTTTCGAGTTAAAATACTTAAAAACCCAAAGCAATGATACTTGAACATAATTTAAGGTTATATTTTATATTACCGGATGTCAAAATTCATGACAGGCGTTATAAACACTAAATAAATTATTTTTGAGGTTAAAAATCAAATTTTGAGGATAAAAGCGCTGAAATTAAATTAAAAATTTGTAAAATTGGATGTGATAAGATGAATTTTAAGGTTATAGCATATGACAGCTGTCAAAAATCTTTCAAAGCATTAAATTTTAGGTTAAAAACTAAAATTTCATCAAAAACATGTTAAAACTTTTATTATATATTGTATTTATTATATTCGTATTTGTATTTCATTAAAATATGATCAAATTACGTCAAAAATTAATGAAAACCTTGAAAATTTAGCTTAATCTTTGGCAAAATCATTACAAAACCATTCCAAAAATTCTACCAATGCGTTAAATTCACTCCCAAATATGTAACAATAGCAGCATTAATTTGGCTGTAAAGTAACCACACTTATGTCGTGATTTCGACTATAACAATACACGCGCGATTCGTCACGGCATTCCATAAACTCGTAAATATAAAGTTTATTAACACATACATCATTCATTTTCAATCGTCGTGCCGGTAATTTGTTGTTTGTTTATTTCTAACATAGAAGAGAAGAGAAAATTGCGGATTGCACACAGGTTACACACAAAAGAAAAGCCAGAATTAATCAAATTGCCCAATTTACCAACTGCGGATTGCGTAACGTATGTGTTTATTTGTTTTTCGTCGATAATTTGCATGCCGCCTCGGCCGGCCATTCGCAATTTACTGTGAAGCGGGTAATTACGAACGCGAGCGTGCAGCCGAGCGTATCATCCGTAGATGATATCATCCGATATGTGTTTATCGGTGCTAATTGGCGAGGATTTCCGTGACTGCGCCGGCCGCCATCTTGAATCAACATCCTTCATCGCGCATCTTCAATGTAATAGTTTTGAATATTGAACGTATAAATAAATAACTCGTTGGCGTGCGGCGGTAATTGTTTAAACAAGTCGTGATGTACTTGTTTGCTTATTGCACACGAAGGTTGCAAGTTTACAAGTGATTGATTATGATTCAATGTGTAAATTATAAATAAAAGTTGTTATTTTAGCTTTATTGATACTTCAAACACAATTTGACATAGATATAACCTTAAAGTAGTTGATTTTCCGTTAAAAATAAGCGCAAAATAACATATAAACTGTTTTATTTCGTTTTATCATTAATTTATGATATACTTCCCTTCAAACATATAATTTTAAGGTTATATTAACGAAAATAGTAAAAATTTGAGGTTATTTCATGAAAAAATGTGAAAATTTTGTTTAAAAGGCGAAAAAAGTTTGAAATGACTTAAATTTTATAGTTATTGCAAAGGAAAACTGTCAAAAAGATGTAAAGTCACAAAATTTGAGGTTATTTCAAGAAAAAGTCAGTAATAACCTTAAATTTGGACGTTTTTAACAATATAATCTGAAATAATTAATATTATATTGTGTTCGAGATGCTATATGTTATAACTAGCATTAACCCTTGGCTTCGCTCGCGAATATCTAAAATAATGAAGTTGCTTCCGTACGCGTCTGTAGTCACAGAAGAAGTAACAATGAAGTAGAATGGCGGGAAGTTTAAAATGGCTGAAAGTATAGTCTATGGAAGTATAGTGTACAGTCTCCATAGTGTAGTCAATTGGATTTGATGTTGACGTAGCTGTCGGTAATACAGTGTGATAATACAGTGTGATGGTACTATAGTACTTAGGTTTGAGCTTCATTGCTGGAATGCTAGATGGCGTTAAAGTAGTCAAATAGCCAGATGTAGAGGTATTATTGGCTAAACAAGTTCTTTATTTTATTTCAAAAATAATTTTTTTTATTAAATAAAAAGTAGCCTATAACCAACCATTCGGGGACCACTAAGAATATGTGTAAAAATTTTCATGATGATCGGTTAAGTTGTTTTTGCGTGAAAGTGTAACAAACATCAGGACTTTCGCATTTTTAATATTAGTAGGGATAAAGAGGTTATGTGTCATTTTGAGGTTGTTTTCTGTTAATGTACGCTAAAAAATAAAAATTTTGTATTTTAAGGTTAGTTTCATGTGTAAATTGATGTGCAAAAGTAAAAAAGGTAAAAATAACAAAATTTCTACTTATTTTTGAGGCAATTTAAGCAGTTTTTCTTAAAATAACCTCAAATTTAGACTTTTCCTGAAAATATAACCTTAAATTTATAACTTGCTATCATATTTCAAACACAGTCTGTTCTAAATTAATGATTAATCCAGATATAAAAAGAAAAGAATCATTATTTTCTATTTTTGTCTTTTTTTTTTATATTTTAACTCTAAACTGTTCTCGAAATTCAATTTAAATGTAGCATGCAATTCCAATTTCCGAAAACGTAACCTCAAGGTCGTCCGATAATAGCCACCTTGTTCTTCTTTCCAATTACACATGTGTTTACGTTGACCACTTTTGCCTTCCATCATTAGCCGCGCGCACACAAAATTCGATTTCAAATAAATAACTCAATTAGTATGCGTCGCATGCGCACGCACGCCGCCGCCATATTTAACGAGCGCGCACCTAACTTCAATGTCACTTTTTCGCGCGCGTCGCGTCGCAATCAAATCGAAAAATTGCGCAATCACGCGCTTATTATTTATTTTCTTCTTTATTTCCACTGTGCCTGTGCCTGGAATAATTGATCATAATTGACGCGCGACAAGGTTGTTCACTCGCTGCCATGCCAAGATGGCCGCCGCCGCATCAATTCGAACAATTCGTCTATTCAGCATACAACACACAACATACTTGACCGATAATTCAATTGCTTTGATATACTTACTTAACTCGTGCAGTCACTGTGGCTTAAGTCACTTCAACTTAACTTAACTTAAGTTAACTTAAGTCACAGTGTGTTGAATACGTGTCAACTGTCAACTTGTGTGTGAAATAATACAATTTTCCTGCTTGTGACGAGTGTAATTGACTTGTGCGTTGCTCGAATCTGTCATAACCTCAATTTTGACTGCTTTCAGAAGGTAAAAATGCGTGCAGTGATATAAAAGAAATTGATTAATCACCGGTGTGAACTAGTTGCGCATGTGCATCAGCCGCATCGTGAAACAATACTTTGTATTCATTCATCATGCTGTGTTTAAAGAATTAATTCATTTATTCATGCATTTATTGTGTATTAATTATAGGAACACTTTGTATACTTTGTATAGTTATGCGTAGTGTTTGTGTAATCTGGGTGGACTACTGTCATGATTTAATTACATTTCAGGCGAGTGTTAATTGCCAGCGCGAGCGTGCCAGTTTGCGTGATTGTTTTCAATTAAAAACGATCGGGTTTATTACATCTGCTCTACTCCACAAACGATTTTAGCGTAACTAGTTATTGCTCGGGTTTCAGGCTTGATTTATTTGTGTGTTGGGTTGCATATATCGTAAAATTTTATTGTTTTGAGTAGTCATTTGGATATCAACGGAACAATTACACACGTTTTAGAATATTCATAATAATTTAATGTTTATGATCGTAGAATTGTTTATTACGTTAAATGTAAGAGAAATGTTGCAAATTTTTGGAATGTTTTTGGAGTTTTTGCTTGTTTTTGGCGTAATTTTAGTGTTTTTTCATGAATTTTCTTAAAATTTGATAGTTTTGTTTTATTTATGACAGGTTTTGATTAATATAACCATAAAATTAAAGTTTTTAGGAATTTTTTTTGTTTTTTTTAACAAAATTTTAGTGTTTTTTCATGAAATAACCTCAAATTTATGCTTTTCAACATAATATAACCTTAAATAATTAATATTATATAGTGTTTGAGGTTTAGTATGTTATAAATTATTGATACTATGTAATATGAAGAGGTTATGTGTTATTTTGAGGTTATTTTGAGTTAATGTTTGCTAAAACAGTGAAAATTTAGTATTTTAAGGTTATTTTCGTGTATAAATGAGTGTGGAAATTTGAAAAAGGTAAAAATAACCAAGTTTTAACTCATTTTTAGGTAATTTAAGTATTTTTTCTTGAAATAACCTAAAATTTAAGTTGTTTCATATTTTTTTTTGCATTTGAACAAAATTTTACTGTTTCTGCGTGGAATAACCTCAAATTTATACTTTTCTTGCAATATAACCTTAAATTAATAATTTGATATTGTGTTTTGTAAGAAATATGTTATCAATTAGTGATTAAACGAAATATAAAGAGGTTATGTGTCATTTTGAGGTTATTTATTGTTAATATAAGCCAAAACAGTGAAAATTTGACATTTTAAGGTTATTTCTGTGTGTAAACACGTAAAAAATCAAAAATATCAAATTTTATTTATATTTTCTACGTTTATTAATAATTTGGTGATTTTGTGCATTAAACAAACAAGTAAATCACAAAAAAATTGCAAAAACATGAAATATAAATGGTTTTCTTAATTTATATGTATATTAGGTTGCCTATATTAAAAAATTTTAAATTTTTATATAGCATTTAAATTCTCAGCGAAAACTAACGTTCATAATATTTATTTAAAAATTTTAAAATTGTATGAAAGTAGAACCTAAAATGTGGATGGTATTTGTGCGGAGATAATACACGGGCGAAAAGTATTCAAGTATGTTTTTCACAATTACACAAGTAAGTTTATCTGCAGAATGCAGTTTTAGAGTGCCACGGCACACTTTAGTTTAGACATTTTTCATGCCGTTTCGCGAATAAATAGCGCATCGATTATTTTAAAGCAGTTCAATCGCGCTTAATTGCTAGAGCGGACGTGATTTTCAAAACATTCACAACTTCCACACTTATAATAATTATCTACACTTTAATTTAGTACAGTTAACGCATGGATTTGGTTATAATTTGATGAATTAAAGTGAGTATAATTACAGACAGGAATAATTAAGATTTAGAAACAAAATATAATAATAATTATATGTACGGTAAGTTTTTTTGTAATATTTTTGCGTAAAATGAAGAGATTTTCAATAATTTATTAAACAATTATGTTATTAAGTTGAAAAGGTTAAGTTTGAGGTTATTTTGTAGTAATTTGGTTAAAAACGGACAAAATCATTGAAAAAACGGCTATAAACTTAAGAAAATTATAAAATTTGAGGTTATGTTAAGAAAAAAAGCTAAAATTATTACAAAAAGAAGTTAAAACATGAAAAATGTATCAAATCGTTTTCGAGTGTTACGCAAGCATGACTTGTGGTAATCGAAAACTCTTCACGGTGTTGTGAAGATGATTAACGTGGATTTTGGTTTTGTTGCTTAAAGCTTCTAAAAAGATTTTGAAACATGGCTTAAAATTGGTTTTAAATATAAAGTTTTTGGTATTTTTTAAGTGTTTTGCGTGTTTTTTTAGATTAAAATGTTTATAACTTTTAACGTTTTTGTTGAAATGTTTTTGTTTAAATGTTTTATTAAAGATAATTAAGTAAGGTTTAAAATGACGTATCACAAGTTAAAATTTAATTATTAGTTTAGGAATTATAAGCAATTAAAGTTGAATATTGTTAAAAACTATTTTTTCGACATTTTTTGCAATTTTATTAATTACTCTGATAATAATCAAGTTACAGTCTTTAAAAATTGTTCATTTTGAAGATAATTAAATTCTCTATCTGATTAATTCACCTTTTTAATCTAAATTTACCTAAAATTTTGTTTAAAATTGGTTTTATATTAAAATGTTTATAACTTTTAAAGTTTTTGTTGAAACAATTTGATTTAAAGGTATTATTAAAAGTAATTAAATAAGCTTTAGAATGACGTATTCCAAGTTAAATTTTACTTATTAGTTTAGGAATTATGCGCAGTTAAAGTTGTATGTTGATAAAAACTATTTTTTCGACATATTTTACAATTTTCTTAATTACCTTAATTATAATCAACTTACAGTCTTCAAAAACGCCGCATTTTAAAGATAATTAAATTCTCTATATAATCACCTCCTAAATTAACTCAAAATTCACTTCTAAACCCCTAAAATTCACCCTTAAACTAATTTTTCTCTATTTTTTCAGATTACACTATGTTTCCACTCTGTAAAAACCTCGGCGGGCGCTGGATAACAAAAATCCTCCTCCTGGCCGTGTTCCTCATCAGCTGCCTGATGATCATCGAGCAGCTGACAACCACCATCGACGTGACCATGGTCCCCCACCTGCCATCACGCTTCCTCCTCGCGAAAAACCACGACACACTCACACGCCACGCCGACTCCACCACCGAGGGCTTCGACCAGGACCCATCCATAGACCGCTCACCTTCACTAACCGAAGACAAACTCGTCGAAGAGATCCAAAACAAAATGCCCTCCTTACCCATCGTCTACTGGAACAAATACAAGAATAAACCAATGGGGATGAATTCAACCTGCGCAAGGTTTCCAAGCATGTTCGATCTGGAATTCAACAATCTCTACTGGCAAACGTTGAGGACCAGTGATGGGACTTTTCAATTATATGGTGCTTATTTAGATAAACGTGCACAGAACCGCCTGGGACCAACTGTGAGGATACTGGGGATGATTGATAGAATTGAACCATCTGTAGTAACTTATTGTCAGTTATGGTTCGAAGGGAAGAAGGAACCCGTGATTACAAAATCCTTTGAATATAAGTATATCTGGTATAAGAAGTGGGGTAATTACAAACAGGGTATCTACCAACCTTATTTGACAGCATGTGTCTTACCCATTGGATACAAAAATCAAATTCCTGCAAGTGTTTCACTAGTGGAGAAAAATGCGACAATGCCACGAATAATTTGAGGGTTATTTATGAACGGCCTGAAGTAAAGAAAGATTTTGCTGTTTGTGTCAAAGGATTAGACTTCCTGCATGAGGATCTATCAGTCAGACTGGTTGAATGGATTGAATTGTTGAATATTCTTGGGGCTGATAAGGTTTTCTTTTATAAACTACAAACACATCCTAATATCACCAAAGTTTTGGATCATTATGAACAAGAAGGTCAGTAAAATTAACTTGCTTTAGATTTTTTATACATTTTACATTAAATTAATAACGTAGTACAAGTTAAATTTGAATTATTAGTTTAGGAATTATAAGCAATTAAAGTTGAATAATGTTAAAAACTATTTTTTCGACATTTTTTGCAATTTTATTAATAACTCTGATAATAATCAACTTACAGTTTTTAAAAATCTTTCATTTTGAAGATAATTAAATTCTCTATCTGACTAATTCACCTTTCTAATCTAAATTTACCTAAAAGTTTGTTTAAAATTGATTTAAATAATAAAATTTGTCATATTTTTACGTGTTTTAAGTGTTTTTTTAAATTAAAATGTTTATAACTTTAAAAGTTTTAATTATATCGTTTTGACTGAAATGTTTTATTAAAAGTATTTATATAAGCTTCAAAATAACGTTTTACGAGTTAAATTTGAGTTCTTAGTTTAGGAATTATAAGCAATTAAAGTTGAATATTGTTAAAAACTATTTTTTCGACATTTTTGCAATTTTATTAATTACTCTGATAATAATCAACTTAGAGTTTTTAAAAATCTTTCATTTTGAAGATAATTAAATTCTCTATCTGACTAATTCACCTTTTTAATCTAAATTTACCTAAAAGTTTGTTTAAAATTGATTTAAATAATAAAATTTGTCATATTTTTACGGGTTTTAAGTGTTTTTTTAAAATTAAAATGTTTATAACTTTAAAAGTTTTAATTATATCGTTTTGACTGAAATGTTTTATTAAAAGTATTTATATAAGCTTCAAAATAACGTTTTGCGAGTTAAATTTGAGTTATTAGTTTAGGAATTATACGCAATTAAAATTGATTATTGATAAACGCTATTTTTTCTAAATATTTTACAGTTTTCTTAAATTAATGTTTTTTATGTTTTAGGTAAAGTCCAAGTTACTCCTATATCCCTAGCTGGAGGTCAGCCCAATGTGCCATCCTTCCAACACTTGTACCTCACAAAGAAAACCAACAACAAGCGACAGAATGAGCTGATCCCATACAATGACTGTTTCTATAAGCATATGTACGAATACAAGTACATTGCTCTACTAGACATCGACGAGGTGATCATGCCGAAAGACATGCGCACATGGCGTGAGTTAATGGACGTCGTCCTGCCGAAGTCTCGCAAAATCAACAAGGAAGACCGCGCTTCCTATAATGTCCGCAATGTGTACTTCCTGGATGATTTACTGCATGACCACGGATGGTTTAAAGAAGTCCCTAAGTACATGCATATGTTACAGCATGTTTACCGTGCGAAGAACTTTACTAAACCTGGGCAATACGTGAAATGTTTCCATAATACAGAGAAGGTTTTAACACTGCATAATCACTTCCCACTCTCATGTCTGGGTAGTTCATGCACGTCTTATCCCATAGAAACACAGGATGCACAACTGCATCATTATCGTGCTGATTGTGTGAAGACGCTGAAGAAAAGCTGTGAGGAATACAGGAAGACCAGTGTGATGGATACGACGATCTGGAAGTATAAGGAGCCGTTGGTTGCGAGGGTTTCTAATACCCTGAGGACGCTGGGGTTCTTTGATACGTCGAATAGTGTCAATAACAAGCGATAGTTGAGGTGTTATTGATTTGAGATTATAGATTAGGTAAAGGGGGGTTGATTATGATGTCACAGGGTAACGAGGGTAGTAAGCTAAGGCATTGCTCGGGGCAGGAGTACTTAACTATTTTGTAAGCTCATATAAATGTGATCGAGTGACGGTGCTCAAACTAACACGAGGAGAGGATTTAGCTGCCATTATTATTGTCCACACTATGTCCACCATCTTGAAATTGTGCGAATGTTTTACTTAGGATACTTTATGATTTTGATTTTGATTTTGTTTTATTAGTCATTTTGTTACATTTGTATATAGCGCAACGTATTATCCATACATCCACCTATCATCCACTGTGTATTTTATTCTAGCAGCGTAAGTAATTAATTATGTGATAAAATTTGAAAATGATGGATTTAGCATGATATTTAAGTCAAAGGAAGTCACAAAACGACTGATATACATTGTATTTATTTTCATTTGTGTATTTGAAGCGTAAGAGTTAGGTTTATTTTAGTCTTGTATGTAATATAATGTTTTAAGTGCGATTGAAATAAACTATTTAATTTAAAATTGAGGATAGATGATGTGTTTCTTATTGATAATGCCTTTTAAGGACCTTACAGATGCTGTCAATGTTTTAGTACGATTTTAAAAAGTTGATGTGGAAAACACCCTGTATCTCTGTTGTTTCTTGTTTTATTTGGATGATCTTTTTTTCATTTTATAGAGGGAGAGTTACTGCATCATTTGTTGCGCTTTTCCGGTTTCTAAAGGGCTCAGAAATGGCTAAAATATGTCCTTAAAGGTCCGCTTTTTTTCAAAATCGTTGAAACATGCTCTATTAAACACCCTGTAACTTGGTTATTTCTGGTTCGATTTTGTCGTTCCTAAAGTTGCTTTAAAGAAGAGGAGTTGCTGCATCGTTTGATATATCTTTTGACCACCTAAAACGTCCACAAATGCCCTAAAATCTGCTTTGAAAATTGTCCTTTTTTGAAATTCTTTGAAACACACGTCCAAAAACACCCTGTATCTCAGATGTTTCTGAATAAATCTGCTTGTTCTAAATTTTATTTCATAGAAGAAGAGTTTCTTCATCGTTTGATATATTTTTTGACTTCCTAAAAGCTCTAGAAATGCCCTTAAATCATTTTTGAAAATTGCTTTTTTTTGAAATTCTTAGAAACACGCGCTCGAAAACACCTTGTATCTCAGCTATTTCTGCTTCGATTTGACTGTTCTGTATTTCATTTTGTAGAAGAAGAGTTGCTTCATCGTTTGGTACACCGTTTGACCCCCTAAAAATCTTAGAAATGCCCTAAAATTTACTTTGAAAATTTGCTTTTTTTGCAATCCTTCAAAACACGCTCTCGAAAACACCCTATATCTCAGCTGTTTCTGGTTCAATTTAGTTGTTCTTTGACCTGTTTGATAGAAGAAGAGTTGCTTTATCGTTTGACATCAATTTTAGTATCCTGAAAGGCCTAGAAACGTCCTAAAAACGCCTTTAAAAGTTAGCATTTTTGGCACATTTTTTCATTGAAATCTTAAAAATTTTCGGCGAAATTCACAAAAAATTCGAAATTATATTTTTCCAGCGAACATCAGTCGAAATATTTCAGCCTCCTCGCATTTCTGGGATCCGTATAATCAAACCAATTTTTCCATTGATTTTCGGCTCGAAATTGGCCACAAAAGAGAGAGAAGGAAACAGAAACACAGAGAGAGAAAGAGAAAAAGAGAGAAGGAGGGAAAAAAGAGAAGAAATAAATAAATTATATTTCAAATTCAGTCGAAAATCCCGCGAAAGTTTTCAGCCTCCTCGACATTCTGGGATCCGGATAACACAAACCTATTTTACCATATGATTTTGCCTCGAAATTAGACACACTCACACATATGCAATTTCTCTCTCACACACACACATGCAAATTCACACATACATAAAAAAACAATAAAATTATAATTTTATTTTTTGAGTAGCCCAGTTTGTCCAGAATTTTTCAAGCATCAAGAATCTGAAGTGTTTCTTGTTCTAGCCATTTTAGTTCAGAATTTATTAGCGTTCAAAGTTTTATTTTGATTTCGAGCGAAAAAATTTTAACCGAAAAGTTCGACCCTGTTGTTCGACCGAAAAATTTTAACTCAAAAAGTTCGACCCTGTTGTTCGAGCAAAAATAATTTCTGACAATGAGGTTATGTTGACAAAAGTACGAATAATAATGGTATAAATTACTTTTGAAGGGTATTTCAAAGTATTTTCGAAAGGTTTGAAGGGTGGTGAGTATACTCAAGTTATAAAGGGACTTTTTAGCTATTAAATGACGATGAGATGTCTTAAATTTTGTTATTAATTCAGGAGATATGGGTTGATTTCCACACCAACTCTTCGAAATTTGCGAAAAGCAAAATATTTATAGCTCATTTTAGGGCACATTCAAAGGGTTTAAGGAACTGGAAAGGTATGTATCTTAATAATGCATTCTCAAGCTATAAACTGATGCAGAAATACCCTAAATTCCTCATTTTTTACAGGAAATATGGGCCGTTATTACTTTTTGTTGATGAAGTTTAAGAACAGTGTCAACTTTTGAATGGCATTTTAGGGCAGTTCTCGTGGTTTAAAAGGAATTGAAAAGTTGGCAGATCATTAAGGGACTCCTTAACTATTATATATTGATAAGAAACCCTAAATTGTTTCATTACTTCGGAAAATATGAACTGTTTTCTATGCAAACTGATCAAGATGTGAGAAAAATAAATGTTTGATTGTTATTTTACTGCACTTCCCGCACATTTAAGGGATTGTATTAGTGGGCAGATGTTTAAGGGACTCTTTAGCTATTATTTGTTCATAAGAAACTCTAAATTATTTAATTGATACGAGGGATATGATCTGTTTTGTATGCAAACTTATCAAAACTGAAGAAAAATTTCTTTTTGAATGGCATTTAAAGGCACTTCTCGTTGATTAAAGATATTGAAAAGTGTGCGTGATTTTAAGAGACTTTTTATCTATTATATAACGAAAAGAAATCCTTTATTACTTAATTAAATCGGGATATATGAACTGTTTTCTACGCAAACTTTTTCAAAATGGTTAAAACCATTGATGTTTATCCAAATTAAGAAAATACACGGTTTGTACACAGATTTTGTTAGTATAGGTGTGTAATAAAAGCCCATACATGTTTTTTGGTTCAGTTTACATTTTATGCGAGTTTTGCATGAGTTATTGGTGCAATTAATTTGAATATAAGATGTGACTATAGGCAACCCACAAAACACGCAGCATTTGTAATATCATCGTTTATTTATGTATATTTATGTGAAATCACTCATTAAATATTTTATCACACCTTTTTGTTAAATTATATTTGTTATAACTCATATATTAATTAATAAGCTTTATTTTTATGTAAAATTTGTAACGATTTTATAAATATATGCTTAGTTACGAAGATTTTTGTCTTGTTATTCACGTTCTATGAAAAACACCCTGTATCTCCGTTGTTTTTTGGTTAATTTTGTCACGTTATCTGTTATTACAACGAGAAAGAAATGTTTCATTGTTTGATATGTACTTTTACCTTTTAAAGATACTATAAATGCTTTAAAATCTACTTTGAAAGTCGACCTTTTTTGCAATTTCTTGAAGCACGCCCTCAAAAACACCCTGTATTTCGGCTGTTTCTGGTTTAATTTGACTGTTCTTTATTTTATTCGCTAGAGGAATACTTCTTTCATCGTTTGATATATTTTTCAACCACCTAAAGGCCCTATTAATGCCCTAAAATCTACTTTGAAAGTCAACCTTTTTTGCAATTCTTTGAAACACGCGCTCAAAAACACCCTGTATCTCGGCTGTTTCTGGTTCAATTAGAGCTTTTTTTATTTCATCTGGTAGAGGAATAGTTGTTTCATCGTTTGATATAATTTTCAACGCCCTAGAAGCCCTATAAATGCCCTAAAATATATTTTGAAAGTCGGCCTTTTTTGCAATTCTTTGAAACACGCTCTCGAAAACGCTCTGTATCTCGGCTGTTTCTGATTCAATTTGAGCTTTCTTTATTTCATTTGGTAGAGGAATAGTTGCTTCATCGTTTGATATATTTTCAACGCCCTGAAAGCCCTACAACTGCCCTAAAATCTACTTTGAAAGTCGGCCTTTCTTGCAATTCTTTGAAACACGCTCTCGAAAACGCCCTGTATCTCGGCTGTTTCTGGTTCAATTTGAGCTTTCTTTGTTTCATTTGGTAGAGGAATAGTTGCTTCATTGTTTGATATACTTTTCAACGCCCTAGAAGCCCTATAAATGCCCTAAAATCTACTTTGAAAGTCGGCCTTTTTTGAAATTCTTTGAAACACGCTATCGAAAACGCCCTGTATCTCGGCTGTTTCTGGTTCAATTTGAGCTATCTTTGTTTCATTTGGTAGAGGAATAGTTGCTTCATTGTTTGATATGCTTTTTAATCCCCTAGAAGCCCAATAAATGCCCTAAAATCTACTTTGAAAGTCGGCCTTTTTTGCAATTCTTTGAAACACGCCCTCGAAAACGCCCTGTATCTCGGCTGTTTCTGCTTCAATTTGATTGTTCTTTATTTTATTTGGTAGAAAAAGAGTTGATTCATCGTTTGATATCATTTTCGGTGCCCTAAAAGGCCTAGAAATGCCTTAAAAATACCCCTAAATGTTGGCATTTTTTGCCCATTTTTTTCCATGAAATCTGAAAATTTCCGGCGAAGTTTTTAAAAATAATTCGGAATTATTTTGAATTCGTGCGAAGATCGCGCAAAAATTTTCAGCCTCCTCGCATTTCTGGGTTCCTAATATTAAAATCAATTTTTCCCTTAGTTTCGAGGCAAAATTGAACGAAATGAAAGAGAGAGACGGAGAGAGAAAGAGAGAGGTAGCAAATAGATTTCAAATTCAGTCGAAAATCCCGCGAAAGTTTACAGAGAGAGAGGGTGATATAAAGTCAGAGAGAGAAAGATATAGTTAAAAATCCCACGAAAGTTTTCAGCCTCCTCAACTTTCTGGGATCCGGATAACACAACTCGATTTTACCACTGATTTCAGCCCGAAATTGGACACACACACACATGCATTCACACATACACGAAACAATAAATTGAGAATTTGTTGTTTTTAATAGCCTATGTAATACAGAATTTCTTAAGCATTCAAGATCTGAAGTCCTTTTCTTTCTAGCCCTTTTAGTTCAGGAGTTATAGGCATTTAAAGTTTTATTTTGTTTTCGCAGGAAAAAATTTTAACCGAAAAGTTTGACCCTGTTCTTCGACCGAAAATATTTTAACACAAAAAGTTCGACCCTGTTCTTCGGCGAAAATAATTTAACTCAAACAAGTTCGACCCTGTTGTTCGACCGAAAATAATTTTACACAATGAGGTTATGTCGACGAAAGAACGGAAAATAATGGTTTAAATTACCTTTAAAGGGTATTTTAACGTATTTTCGAAGGGTTTGAAGGATCGGGAATACACTCACGCTATAAAGGGACTCTTTAGCTATTTAATGACGGTGAGATATCTAAAATTGCGTCATTAAATCAGGAGATATGGGCTGATTTCCATGCCAACTTTTCGAAATTTGTAAAAAACTGAATGTTTATTGGTCATTTTAGGGCACATTCAGAGGGTTTAAGGGATTGAAAGGGTATGTACCGTAATAACAGACTCTTTAAGTATAATCTGATGCTGAAAAACCTTAAATTGCTCAATTGGTACAGAAGATATGGACAGTTTTTCACCTCCTGTGTATGAAGTTTTAGAGAAATGTAACATTTGAAGGGCATTTTAGGGCAGTTCTCGTGGATTTAAAGGAGCAAGAAAGTGGGCAGATAAATAAGGGGCTTTTTATCTATTATATGTCGTTAAGAAGGCCTAAATTGCTTGACTAGTTCAGGAGATATGCACTGTTTTCTATGCAAATTATGCGAAATTTGAGAAGAATTGAATTTTTGAAGGGCATTTTAGGGCACTTTTCGTCGATTTCAGGGATCGAGAAAGTGGTAAGGTTATTAAGGGACTCTTTAACTATAATATAATGAAAGGAAACCCGAAATTGCTTGATTAGTTCAGGAGATATGAACAATTTCCTAAGCAAAGTGCAAAATTTGACAAAAATTAAATTTTTGAATGGCCTTTTAGGACAGTTCTCGTGGATTTAAAGGACCAAGAAAGTCGATAGGTCATTAATAGACTTCTTAACTATTATATAACGTTAAGAAACCTTAAATTGCTTAATTAGTTCGGGAGATATGAACTATTTTCTAAGCAAACTGCGAAATTTCACAAAAATTGAGGTTTAAAGGGCATTTTAGGGCACTTCTCGTAGATTCAAGGGAACGGGAAAGCGTGCAGGTTATTAAGGGACTCTTTAACTATTATATAACGGTAAGAAACCTTAAATTGCTTAATTAGTTTGGGAGATATGAACTATTTTCTAAGCTAACCTTGCAAAATTTTAGAAAAATTGAGTTTGATTGGCAATTTAGGGTAATTTCTAATGATTTAGGAAGTAGGAAAGGTATGCAGATTGTAAAGCGTGTTTTTAACTATCACAAACTGATAAGATACTTCAAATAACTTTATCTGTACAGGAAATACAAACACTTTCCTACCTCAACATGTCAACAATTGACATGACCTTCATTTTCTCAAGGAAAACTCAAAGAAAATAACAAACACAAGTATCTTGGCATGTTCTTTATTCTTATCACTTAAACTGTATTCATTCTAGCATTAGATCGGTTAGCATAACTTACAGCTACTATGTACAATATAACATCATAACTTGTATCATTCAAGAAACATATTACTAATAGGTAATTATTATCCTGCCGATCGATTCATTCAATCAAGAATTCGTATAACCTAGGGAGAGTCAAGAGCTAAAACTTGGCGAATCTTCAAAATCATATGTTCTCATGCAACATCGGTGAATTCAAAGACGAAAAGAAAAATAATAATAGATTAACTTAAGACAGTTGCGCCTGCAGCTCGGAAATCTCAGTCATATCAGGCGCTTCGTACTTGGGCTCGACCACCATCACCTCACTGTTGGTATTATCCTGATCCTCAGTGGACGCTGGTAAGCTCCCGATTGGTATCGTATTCTGTGTACCAATACCAACATTACTCGCTGTTTGTGTTTGCGTCGCTGTAGTCTCTTCGAATTTCACAGTTGCATCCGCCGGTGCAGAAGCAACAACGAAAATCTGCTGCGGTTGGATTGCTTCGGCGCTGAGACAAGTCTCGCATTTGGTTTTCATCACCGCGCGCTTCTTGTTGCCCTCCTGTGGTAATGGTGTACCACAAGTCTCGCAGGTTTTGATCTTTTGCGCTTGCTGCGCATGCGTGACTTGCACTTGTTGCTGTTGCGGCTGGTGGTTGTTCTGATGCGTTTGCAGGCGATGCGTCTTGAGGTCGTTCTGTGTGAGAAACGTGAGGCCACACTCATCACAGCTGTACCTAAAATATTGCTCACTTAAAGTTAAGCTTAGCGTTAAATCCGTCGGTGTTTTTATTCAAGCATAAAACTCACCTTATTCGATCCGCCGACACAATTTGAATTTGTTGCGGTTGTTGCTGGACCTGGACAGTGATCTGCTGGGTGCCTTCCGGCTGTTGTTGCTGTGGCTGCTGGTGTATTCTCTTGTGATGATTGAGCAGTGATAAATGCGCAAACATTAAACCACACACATCACACTTGAAAGTGATGTTGCTGATGTTGGTCTGTGCCAGGGACATTTGATTAACCAGTGCATAGTTGTAGCTGAATGGTTGTGTGATGTAGCATTTGTCATCAGCAAGTTGGGACATGTTCACCGTTGAATTGTGTGTTACAGTGTCGGTATTCGGCTCGATTTTGTGAATCATGTTCACGTTGGTATAGCAAAACCCAGAGAAGGTTTGCTGCTTGTTGTCTTGTTGCTGTTGCTGGGTTTGTTGCTGCGTTTGTATCTTGACCACTTCTTTGCTATCCTGCTGCGCCTGCTGCTGTTGCGGCTGGCCGTACTGCACCTGCACCTGCGACTGCTGCGTGGTGATCGTGTTCGGGTCGAACATCTACAAGAAACAAATGTTGAACATGTTGCCATGGCGACACAGGAGGGTAACAAATGAACAAAGAAACAAAAGCGCATATCGTCGAGCGAGCGTTGTTTTGAACCACACCGCGGTCTCTATCGCTCCGTTCTAGTCGAATCTATCGCGTCGCGTCTAGCATTCGAAGCGCGCGTCTCTCTGTTGGACGCCGCCGCGCCGACCGGGCGCCCGCGAAACCATCCCCAGTGCGTAATAATGCGCGCCCGGCGTGGAAATATGATGCGGTGCATGGAGTACGTACCTTGTCGTCCGCCAGGTCGAGCGCCGCCCGCCGTCGATGGGTTTTCACGCCGAAATTCGCGAAAAACTCGAGGAAAACACGCGACGTCTGTCTCACTTTAGAAAATGGCCGCACGACATGTCGCCATCTTCGTTCGCCGCCGCTTGTTGTCAGCGTTCGGGCAGCGTCCACTTCTACGCATGCGCACTCTACAAATCAACGCCGCCATTAAATATTTTCAAATCTCATGAATTACAAATTGATTTTTACGTATTAAAAACTTATATAAATACGTGAAAAGTATTTTTATATTATAGTAAATAATTAATTTTATATTATTCATATTAAATATGAAGTTAAAATTGTTATTTTACTAAATAATTATTACAATAATTTATAGCGATGGTGGCGACATCTAGTGGGGATTTGCCATAATCAGAGTAGCATGGCTATTTGCCCCTGGAACAATAGCAGCGCTGGTGTGTTTCTCGCCTAGCGCTCGCGCCGCGCCGCGGCCCGCGCTCAGTGTCTGTCGGACTGTTAATGCGCAGCGGTTAGCAGGTTGGCAGCCAAACAGTCGCAGGTTCGGTGTAGTGTGTTGGTGCGCCCCGGCCGTGTGAGGAGTGAGGAGCATGTCGGATTTAGGGAGCGGCGATGAGGGGTCGAACTCGCAGAGTAAGTGCGCCCGGATCACATCCACCGCGTATTACGACATGTCGCAGCCGTACAAGCAGCGGGCGCCCGCCGGCCGACCAGCTGACAGGCGGCCCCCGCGGAAGGGCAAGATGGCCGCGGCCGCGCGCAACGTCGCGACCTTCGCGAAATCAACGCGAAGGACGCACGCACCGCCGTCGAACCGCCACCAGCAGGCACGCACATCCCACCGGCATCGACGGCGGTGCGTGTCATTACGTCCAGCGGTCGCCCGGCGCCGCTTTCATTGTCTCTTGCGCCCCCGCCGCCTGCATTACGCGGCGTCGCATTGTCATAGGCCGCGATGACCTTGGCCAATAGCGATTCAGTTGTAGCCTTCGACGTGCGCCGCCCGCGGAAACAAAGCTCGCCGTTTGAGATTTCGCGGCGATGCAAGTTGTGTGTGAAATTTATTGTGTTTTTTAGAATACCACCAAGGGATGGAGCAAGGAAACACGGAGTATGACCCAGGTACAATATTAATATCAAAAAAAAATCATGTGTCTGTCAAAAAATTGCGAAAAAATCTGTCAAAATTTGAATAAAAAATTTGGGAAATTTTTGCGTTTTAGGTCAGCAGGGCGCGATGGAACAGGAGCTTGCCACCAAGATGCTGCAGATACAGAGCAAGCGCTTCTATCTAGACGTGAAACAAAATCGACGCGGGCGTTTTATAAAAGTTGCTGAGGTAAAATCAAAACAAAACCATTTTTGACAGAATAAAACTGTTGAGTAATGCCTATATAGATAGGAGCAGATGGACGAAGATCGCAGATATTCCTCGCGCTGTCAACCGCCGGCGAGTTCCGCGACCACCTCAGCACCTTCAGCGACTTCTACTCGTCGCTGGGGCCGCCCAACCCCGACTCGGTGCCGGAGGACGGCAAGCTGAAGAGCGAGATGATGGTGAAGGACAATCGCCGCTACTACCTGGACCTGAAGGAGAACTCGCGCGGGCGCTTTCTGCGCGTCTCGCAGACGATCACGCGCGGCGGGCCGCGCTCACAGGTCGCCATACCAGCGCAGGGCATGATCGAGTTCCGCGACGCGCTCACCGACCTGCTCGACGAGTTCGGCTGCGACGAGCACGCCTACAAACCGGACCTGCCCGAGGGCCGGCATCTGCACGTCGACTCGAAGAACTTCTACTTCGACGTCGGGCAGAACAATCGCGGCATCTACATGCGCATCTCGGAGGTGAAGACCAACTTCCGCACGGCGATCACGGTGCCGGAGAAGATCTGGCCGCGGTTTCGCGATATTCTCGCCGACTATTGCGACAAGATCAAGCAGAACCACGCCGACCAGCCGCTGGTAAGATCCAGCAGCAGCGGGCGCAACAGTGATGCCGCGTCTAACGATGCATCGTTTACTGTGCAGGGCAATGGCACGGGTGGTGGCGGCGGCGGCGGCAGCGGCGGGCAATCGCAGGACGCCGGCGGCAAGTAAAACTCTCGGAGCGCCGCCTCATCCACAATGCTGCTGCGAGCGCGTCCAGCTCTCCCAACAAACACACAACACACATCCGCTCCGCTCTACTAAAACAGCCTCACAGGTCGCAAGAAAGGCAACACTAAAACAAAAAACAAAACAGTAATCATATAGAAAAGCGCGTTCTTCGATTTAATAATTGAGCAAAATAACTCAGCTAGTAGGAAGCGGGGCATTTTATGCGTACAACTAAACATTCCCACCCTCTTTTTGATAAAAAAAAAAAAACAAAAATTCTAACGCAACTAAATCGAGATTTAACCTTTTGACCTTCAAAAAGAGGGTGTGCGGAGAGTAGTCTACAGTTGTCAGTAACAAAAACAAATGTGTAATTTAATAATAGCGCCTATAAAATAGGACAAAGTAAGGTTTCATTTCTTGCGGAGGTATTGCAAGAAAGTAAAGAAAATGTCGGCGCGCAGTCGCAGCCCCCTCACACACACCATGCGCGCGCATCTTTCGTTTTTATTTGCGTCTTCTTTGGTTTAATTATTTATTTAATTGTTGAGTTTTTAATGTTTAATAGGTCCCACACCCCCCACCCAACTGAGATTGCTAATTACTAATTACTAATCATACTAGTCATATAGTTTTTTTGTTTCGATTGCCACGCCATTATTTTTTTTTTTCATTGTTTGTTTGTTAATATTAATATTAACCTCTCTTTGTCACTTACTTGATCTTTCTGGATATGTAATATGTAATGTTAGTGATATTAGAGAATTGTCGCAGCGCGCCGGCGTTTATTTTTGTTCGCACAGCCGGCGTGCGCGTGGTAACTGCGCATGAATTACTACACAGAGATACAGAGGTGGTGGGCTCGGCTAGCAGCGGCTTGTTCTCTTCGTTTTCCGCCATTTTGTGTGACGCAGCGCCGCAGTGATGATGATGATCACCTCAAACTGTCCACACTCGATTCCAACCTAAAAATCAGGTTAAAAGTGGTTTTTAGGTTGTGAATTCGGTGTGGCTGTGCGTGATTGTTAACCAACTGCCAAAAACAAAACAAATGCAATTTGTTTCTACACACACGTGCGTGAACGTTGTTTTTGAGTTTTTGAAACAACGCTAAACTAAACTTTAAAAAAAAGAAGAAGAAGAAAAAAACGCAAACATTTGTTGAGAATCTTTAGAAATTTACTACCATACACAGAAAAAAAAAGAATTTATTTATTTTACGAATGGATTATATTATTGATTATCGAATAATTATTTATGTTGATTGTTTAAACTGCGTTTAAACGTGACACCCACACGAATACAGTGACACACTAGAATCCAGTTGAAAATGAGATCAAAAAAACAATCACCGAGAATAACTATGAACTAATGCTGGACATTAAATAGGTTATTATAAGCGCGGAGAAAAAACTTTCAAAACATGCGGATGATAAACATATTAATATTATTAAATGATTCTAGTTAGTGAGAGGAGATTTTTCAATTTACGAACATTTGACATTCTGCCACATACACACACACACACAACCAATGTTTCAATTCGATTTGTCCACGAAACAAAGAGAGAACGCGATGATGAAACAATTAAGATATATTGTAGGCTGTTTACAATTAATTATATAATTGATGATAAAGAGAAATATTCAAATCACGCGAGTATCGCGGGTGGCGGACCGCGAACCGCCGCCGGCGACACGTGCATCGTACAAGTACAAGTTGATGTTTAAGTACATAATTAAATTTGAGAATTCCACACACATAGCGAATGCAAAATACAAAAATTATACAAAAACAGTTAAAATCCAGCAGTTGACAGTTGACACCGACGACGGCGCATGCGCATCATGTGTCTGTCATTTTTCACAAGATGATAATGCAGATTGTGTTGTATGCGTCGTGGTTTTAAATGATATTGAATTGAATTGATGTGAAACGTTTCGCTGTGGGAAGGCGGCTGATGATTATGGCGTGTGTGGCGGAGAAATCGAAACAGTATTGATTCAGTACAAAGAAAACCTAAAAATTTATTCAATTGGTCCATGATGATGACAGATGAGATGCGCATGCGCGCCTTCCCGCAGTTCACTTCAGAGCAGTTGAGCAGTTTGTTTTTGTGTTAATTCGGTAGTCTCTCCGAGAGTTTCTCGCGGTGGTTTTTAGTTGGTTTCGTTCGTGTACAACTACTCGCCAAGTGTAAATTTAAATATGAGATGACAGAAAAATAAGTTTGGTTAGATCCGACGCAATTATTCGAAATTACAAAATTCGGGTAACAAAAATTCAAAAAACAGATGAATATTTGATGAATGATTATTATAAATAAGATGATTTAATGATAAAAATAAATAAAATAAATTTTTAATGAGTTTTTCACTTACCAAACACCACAAAACATCTTAACTTGCTTGTCACTCTGTAAGTGAAATTTTGGTGTATATTTGGTTGCCTATGTTACACCACTGCTTATTTTTATTTAAAAAAATAATTTTTAGATTTTTATGAGTTATATATAGTTAAATGATAAAATAAACTGTGTTACTAATATTTCCGACCGTTAAATAATCAAAATTCGGTTAATTGATTATTTATCTATCAATATTTGCAGATAAAACAAAAATTGTGTAAATATTTAACCTTCACTGATATCAGCGCGTTATTAATGCATGAAATACCGTTAAATATTTACCAAGGAGATATCCATGTGAACATTGCACTCAATAACTGTTTATTTAAATAATTAATTGTGAATTTGCACGTTTTACGCATTCGTGAATCATCGTTATTCACCGAATCGTGTTTGTTCGTGTGTGATTTGACACATTTCCCGAATGACAGCCGACAAATGACAAACAAGACGTCAGTAAACAGCCAGTGGTGGGGCGTGCAGTTGACGAATGCTGAATGCCGAAGAGCTTCTGGAAGACTTTCCGACGCGAACTCAAGGTGTGCGTGTAGCCGGTGCACACCGAAATACCATCACAACGCGGAGCTGACACGGCGCGTGAGTGAATTCCAGCTGTTGTGGCTGTCGGCCGGCAAACAATCGCGCATCGTTCGCCGATCGCCGACATTTTGTTTTGGACTGCTGTGAATTCCTATCGAGCCACAGCTACAGCTGGAATCCGACCGAAAAGTGTCTTTAGTATCAACACGAGGAAAGCAAATAAAAATGATGGTTGGACGCGCGGCGTGCTGAAGCAGGTTGAGTTTGCATTTTGGTTTGAGGAGAAAAAAAAGGAAGGACGCAGGTATCGAACGGCAATAATTAATCCGATAATACTTTGATCACCTGCGAGGTGCACACGGCTTCGAAATGGATATGCGAGGCAGGAAATTATCGTAAGTACAAGTTTTATATAGATTTAAGTGAAAAACAAGTGATAGATGTAGGTTATAGATGATTGTTTGTTTAGTCCGTTGATCGTTACTTATGACCAATGATTTCTTATGGTAGAAATGTGTTTGTAACGGTCTAAAGCGAAAGGGAAATTTTGACAGTTGGCAGTTTTAGACCGCTAATCCTAATGTATAACCAATCATTTCTTATGGGAAAATTTACTAGCAACGGTCTAACATGATTTTTTGATGAATTTTTGTAATACAAATTTATAAAAATTTAAAAAATATTTTAAAATTATTAAAAATAGCAAATATTTAATAGAAATAAGTATAATTAATTATTAATTATTGATTTTTGTTAAAAATTTACACTAAAAACTGAAATTTTTATACCAAAGTGTTTTAGACCGTCATCCGTAACATATAACCCATATAATCTTATGGCAATAAAACCCAACTAACGATCTAAACAAATATTCATCAAAAAACTTAAAAAAACATAATAAAATCATTAAATATGCCAAATATTTAACTAAAACAAATAAAACCACTACCAACTACCTCTAAACAACCAATTTATACTAAAATACCCCCAAAAAACTTAAAATTTCATCAAAAAATTCATAGACCGTTACTCTTCACATGCCTCCCATATACTCTTATGACAATAATACACACCCAATGATCTAAACCAAATCTTCAAATTTGTTATTTTTTAGGACGCAAGGGGATTCCCTCTATGAAATCCTCTCGCTGCCGAAAACCGCCACCGGCGACGACATAAAAAAAACCTACCGCCGGCTGGCGCTCAAGTTCCACCCGGACAAGAACCCCGACAATCCGGACGCCGCCGACAAGTTCAAGGAGGTGAATCGCGCGCACTCCATCCTCAGCGACACCACCAAGCGCAACATCTACGACAACTACGGCTCACTGGGCCTGTACATTGGCGAGCAGTTCGGCGACGAGAATGTGAACACTTACTTTGTGGTCACATCCCCGTGGTGCAAGGTATGCAAACGATAAAAGATAAAAAACATGGCGATCGAAAGTAGATTCCTGTAATTTTTCATAGAAATTAATGGTTTTGTTTTTAACCGCCAGGTAGCGTTGGTGGTAAAACACATACACAAGTCATAGTCATCTTAGGTTATCGAAAGGTTATCCATGAAAAATTATATTTTAAGATGAGGTTGAGTGTTAGTAGAATGTGTGCGGTTGTAAAACTGAAATGGGCAATTTTAATTTGTTGTATTTGTATAACTACGCGAAGTTGATTCCGAATAAGGTGCACACAAACAAAAACAAACATGTTTTGTTTTATTTTGTTGATTTTTATGTATTTTATTATTAGTAAATAATGTTTTTTGTTTGTTTTAGGCGTTATTCTTCGTGTGCAGTATCGTGACTTGCTGTTGCTGCTGTTGTTGTCTCTGCTGTTGCTGCAACTTCTGCTGCGGCAAGTGCGCGCCGCGGCCGCCCGAGGATAGCGGCGACTATCACAATCTCCATGTAAGTGATACGAGCTTTATTATGACGATAATGTTTCGCCAGCCTAACCTTAGTTTAGTTGTACATATAACAATATTATGATATGAGACTAACAACGCATTGGGTTTGTGTTTTGGATTGGTTGGTTGGATTCGTAACATGAGAGTATTTTGGTTTTTAGTTTTTAGTTGCTTTTTGCGGAAATACGCGGGTTATTTTTGGAGTATACTGTATATAGATGTATTATAAGTTGATTTTTATTAAAGGGGAATTAGTTTTTGATATTTTGAAAGAATTTTTGGTTTATTTTTAATGGTTTTTTAGTTATTCGTGTTTGAAGTTGAAAATTAAGTTTTAGGTTTTTTAACGTAAATTTTGGTTTATTCGTGTTACACTCGGTAGATTTGGATCAAATGTTCATAGTATGTGTAGAATTAATGTGTTTTTATAACTTTGAAAGAATTTTGTGTTTATTGTTGATAGTTTTCGAATTATTCGATTTTAAAGTCAAGAGTTGCAGAAAATCATAAGTTTTACTTTGAGTTTGAAACATTTTTGGAAAAATTTCGATTTATTCGTGAATCACTCGGTAGAAATTGATGAAACTTTCAAAATAAGTAAATAATTAATATCTCTTTATTCTTCTAAAAGATTCTTGTCATTATTTTCATTAGTTTTTAAATTATTCGTGTTTGAAATCAAAAATTAAAAAAAAATAGTTTTTTGCGTAAATTTTGGTTTATTCGTGCATTACTCAGTAGAATTTGATAAAATTTTCATAATATGTGTACAATTAATGTGTTTATATAACTCTGAAAGAATTTTATGTTTATTGTTGATAGTTTTCTAGTTATTCGATTTTAAAGTCAAAAGTTTTATCAGATCATAAGTTTTACTTTATGTTTGAAAGCTTTTTTGGAAAAATTTCGATTTATTCGTGAACCACTCGGTAGAAAATGATGAAACTTTCAAAATAAGTAAATAATTAATGCCTCTTTAATCTCTTAAAACAATTTTGCGTTTCTTTTTTTTAGTTTTCGATTTCTTCGCTTTTGAAATAAAAAAAAATTAAATTTTAGTTTTTTTTTTGCATAAATATTGATTTATTCTTGTATCACTCGGTAGAAATTAATAAAATGTTCATAATATACAAAGGATTAATGCCGTTTTATAATGCCGAAAGAATTTTTTATTTATTTGTGATAGACTTTGATTTATTCGCGTTTTAAGTTAAATCAAAACACAAAATTATTTTTACATGCAGACACTTTACGAAAAATGTAATTTATTCATGAAACACACAATAGAATTTGATAAACCTTTCAAATTACGTAGAAAACTAACATTTCTTTCTAATTTCAAAAGAATTTTTTAATTCCCCCGAATACTTTTTGAATTATACGTAATCAAAGTAAAAATAACTTAAATCTTGCGCATATTTAGTAAATTTATTTATTTTATTTTACACTGAAAATAGCTAAAAAAAAGTTCATAACAGTTGCTTTGTTTTTTGTTTGTTTGTTGTTTTTCTTTTTGTTTTGCGCTCAGATCATTTTTTGTATTCCGTAGACGGAGAATAATCTAGAGGGCACATCAGGTAGCGCCGGTGCAGGCAACCAAACACGGACGAAGGTGAGTTAACCCCGAACAACCACAAAACCTCGAAAACAAAATCACCGTTCTAGTCGGTATAACCAAATTCATAGCCTTCCAAAAATTATGTCAAATAATTGTTAGAAGGTAGGTTTGCATCCCCAAATTGGCATAATACTACCATAGCTCTACATCAATAAAATAAATTAATCCAATTAATCCAATAAAAAAAAACAATTTTCAGGTTATGTGTGTATTTTACTGTTGCAGGAAGACGTCGATGAAGATTTGGGCCATGGCGACAGTCCACCGGTGACGACACAACCCTCGCCATCGCGTGCGAATGCCTCCGCGCAGCCCGTGTTTGCCATGCCGGCGCCGCCGCCCAAAGACGAGTCCGCAGCGCTCAATTCCGGCGAGCATCCCGTTTACACACCAGGTAGCACTACCTAGGCAACACACATCACATCAAAAAATGACATCATTGCAACAACAGATCATAACAAAACACAATCTGCAACCCAACATACACATTTTTCAACACATAATATAAAACCGCTGCCGATGAATAAATGTGTCTATTTTAGGTATGACGACGAATTCGTGGTAGTCAAGCACTGGAATTCACTTCACTAATCTGGATGGACGGATGCGTGTGGAATCGTCGCGAAATTGCTGAAGATACAGAAAAATACCAAACACCAAACGACGCGCGCGCCACCACACATGATAACTACCTATTACCTCCTCTGTCTTGTTATAATTATGCGATTATTCTCTTGTCCTCCATGTTTACACACCATTCACACACACACTACACACGCGTCTGCGCACTAACAGTATAAGCTGACCAAAGCTATATTTTATCCGCTCTTAATCACGACACTTCTTCGTTCGCGATCTCGAAAATGATACATATACATGCTATCCGGAATTACGACACTAATGTCTTATATTATGATGTATATCAATAGCGTTGCCTTTTGTTATTATTATTACTATTACTACGATTATTTGTTGGTTGTTGATTTGTAAGAGAAAACGGTTACGTCCACATACACACTGCGAGATGCAGGCGCAGAGATTTTCGAAACATACGAACGAAATGTCAAATATTTAGCCTACTTATACACACTTATTGAGTATTGAACTATTGAAGATCTACGAGTAATTAAATGATACTTATTCTAATCGATATATTAATATGCAGGATTATTGCGTGTGAATGCGGATGCAAGGAGTAAAAGTTTACGAAATTAAGCACGCCTTATGTAGGTATACGCTGTGCGTGTGTGTCATTCAAGTTTTGAGGCCTATGTAATAAATTATTCATTGATAATTGTGCAAAAATTAAGTTGTTTGGGTGTAGGTCTTGAAATGTGTATTTTGGGTTGCATACTGTTAAGTGGTGAGTGATTTTTAGTGAAAAATTGTGAAAAACGCATTTATTTAGGGAAAAATGGGTTGCATAATTTATTATGCGAAATTATGTGTTTTTAATTGATTTTTGAAAAATAGTGAAAAACGCATTTATTTAGGTTTAAAATAACGAAAATGATTGTTTTCAACGCAATTTTTATTGTTACGTATGAAGTTATGTGTTTTTTAATTGATTTTTATGTATTTTTTAACTAATTTATACTTAAGGTGTATTGTGGGTTGCATATGGTTAAGCGGTGAGTGATTTTTGTTTAGAAATAGTGAAAAACACGTTTATTTAGGTTAAAATTTAGAAAAACAATTATTTTACACATAATTTATTATGTTGTGCATGAAATTTTATGTATTTTAATCGATATTTATATATTTTTCATCTAATTTAAATTTAAGGTGTATTGTGGGTTGCCTAGCACAATACCTAATAATTTTCAAATATTCACTGAATTTCTTTAAAAATAACTCAAGATAACAACAATCTACACACTTTTAACTATAAAAATCCTACAAAACAATGTTTTATCAACACTTTTATCATGTTAAACATTCATATTTATTGTTTACTCTAGTTTTGTACATTTTATATCTTTATTTAAATTTCTAGTGTACATAACCCCCAAATCACAAGTATGCGTAAAAGTTTTGCCGACGCAGTGAAAACGTGAAAACGATGAAATTCAACGTGATACATATACTATGAGACTGGGAAATGACGAAAACTAAAAATAAACAAGAGAATAAGGTCGCCGCGGGCCATGCGCTCAGTCGGGCGCACGTTGTCGCCGGGCGAAGAAGCAAAATGGAGAAGGAAAAATTCCTTGCGCCGAACACCTTCTGGAAGTGCTACGACTACGCGCAGAAGTTGATTTTCGACCCCAACTACGTGGCCACAGCGTGTTATCTCATCCTGCTCGCTGAAGTCGTGCTCAATTATATTATTGTCGAGAATGTTGCGTACACCGAGATTGATTGGAAAGCTTATATGCAGGAGGTGGAAGGGTTTTTGAATGGGACATTGGACTATGCTCAAATTAAAGGTAAAATTTTTGGTTTTTTGTTGGATAAAGTATGAAGTACTTGGGTGAAAGTGATGAAACTTTGTAGTTGTACAAAGGATTAGTGTATTTTTGTTGTGTGGAAGGAATTTTGTTGTTATTTTGGTTAGTTTTTGAGTTATTTGATTTTAAAGTGAGCAGTAGTGACGTTAGTTTTTATAAGTTGCATTTTTTTCAAAAATCATAGTTTATGTATGAATCATATGGAATTTTTGTGTGAAACTTTCCAATTATACCGGGGATTAACTCTGTTATGCAATTCTGAAAGCGCTTTGTTAATCTAATTGATAGTTTTTGAGTTATATTCGTTTAATGTTGGGAAGTATTAATTTTTATGTTAAAATTGCGTTTTGGTGGAAAATTGTAGTTTATTCGTGAAACACTGGGTGAAAGTTGATGAAACTTACAAATTACACAAAGAAAAAACACCTATTTATAAATCCGAAATAATATCTTGATTATATTTAACAGTTTTTAAATTTGAAGCAACAAAAGTGCAAAAAAAATGAAAAATTCGCACTTTCGGTAAAAAATTCAAATTTATTCGGGAAACACTTGCTAGAAATTAATGACATTTTTAAGTTATTATAGAGAATTGCTTTCTTTATAATATTCAGATGGAATTGCATTAATATAATCAATAGTATTTGTGTTATGCACATTTTAAATGCAAAAAATCTATTTTTTTTTTTGTTAAAAGCGCGTTTTTTTGTGAAATTTATAGTTTATTCGTGAAACACTAGGTGTAAGTTGAGGAAACTCTCGAATTATACTAAGAAATGACACCTATTTATTAATCCGAAAGAATTTCTTGATTATATTTAATAGTTTTTAAATTAGAAGCGACAAAAGTGTAAATATATGAAAAAATGCGCGTTTTTGCCGAAAATGTCAATTTATTCATGAAATACTTCGTAGAAATTAAAGAAACGTTGTAATTGTATACAGAATTAACTCATTTACATAATTCAGAAGCAATTTTGTTAATATAATTAATAGTTTTTGAGTTATGCGCGTTTAACGTAAGAAAATGTTAAATAAATGCGTGTTAACGAAAATCATAGATTTTTCTAATTTATTACCGATCCACTCGGTATATGTTGATCAAAATTCGCTCATCTCTAGAATATTGTACACTTTATCAATTTCTGAAGGAATTTTATCAATATCTTTGATACTATTTGAATTACACCTGTTTAAAGTGCAAAATTTCAATTTTCACAAAACAAAAGCATAAAATTGTAATTTATTCGTGAACCACCCAGTAGACATGGATGCAACATTCAAATTAATTAGATTATTAATGTTTCTTTATTATCCTGAAAGAATTTTATTCTTATCTTTATTAGTTTCTGAATTATTCGACTTTGAAGTCAAACATTACGAATTTTTAATTTTCTGCGTAAATTCCAATTTATACTTGTATCACCCAGTAGAAATTCCCAAAACTTCCCTAAACCATTAACCATCCCCAACCTAATCCGCTCCCTTAAAAATATCATCAAAAACTCCAACCATTTCTAAATTAAACGTCTCCAAAACCAAAATAAAATTAAAAATCAAAATTAAAAAAAAATAATACTAATTTCAAATCATTTTCTAGGTGACACCGGCCCGTGCGTCTACCCCGCCGGCTTCCTCTACGTCTACACCGCCTTCTACTACCTCACCTCCGCCGGCGCCAACATCCGCCTCGCCCAATACATCTTCATCGGCATCTATGCGTTTGGGTGGAAAATTATAGTTTATTCGCGAAACACTAGGTGGAAGTTGATGAAACTTAGAAACTAGACAAGGAAAAAATAGCTATTTATAAATCGGAAAGATTTTCATGATTATATATTTTATAACAGTTTTTTAATTAGAGCGACAAAAATGACAAAAAAATTAGAAAAATGCGCGTTTCTTGTCGACAATTTGAATTTATTCGTAAAACATTTGAGAGAAATTAATGAAATTTTCAACTTATTACAGGGAAGTACCTCCTTTATAAGATTCAGAAGGAATTGCGTTAATACAATCAATAGTTTTTGAGTTATATGCATTTAAAATGCAAAAATCTAAGTTTTTTTGTTAAAAGCGCGTTTTTTTGTGAAATTTATAGTTTATTCGTGAAACACTAGGTGTAAGTTGAGGAAACTCTCGAATTATACTAAGAAATGACACCTATTTATTAATCCGAAAGAATTTCTTGATTATATTTAATAGTTTTTAAATTAGAAGCAACAAAAGTGAAAAAAATATATGAAAAAATGCGCGTTTTTGTCGAAACTGTCAATTTATTCACGAAACACTCGGTAGAAATCAATGAAACACCCTAATTGTCTAGAGAATTAACTCATTTACATAAACCAGAAAAAAATTTGTTAATATAATTAACAGTTTTTTAGTTATATGCGTTTAACATAAGAAAATGTAAAATAAAAGCATGTTAACGCAAAATCATTGATTTTTCTAATTTATTACCAATTCACTCGGTATACATTGATCAAAATTTGCTCATCTCTAGAATATTGTACACTTTATCAAATTCTGAAGGAATTTTATCAATATCTTTGATAATATTTGAATTACACGTGTTTATAACGCATAAAATTATAATTTCTTCGTGAACCACCCAGTAGAAATTGATGCAATATTCAAATTAATTTGATTATTAATATATTTTTATTATCCTGAAAGAATTTTTTGTTAATTTATGTTAGTTTTTGAATTATTCGACTTTGAAGTCAAACTTAAATTTTTTATTTTTTTTATTTTTTGCGTAAATTTTGATTTATTCGTGTATTGCCCAGTAGAAATTGCCAAAACTCCCCTAAACTATAAACCGTCCTTTCATTAATCACCTCCCTTAAAAATATCACCATAAACTCCAACAATTTTCAAATTAAACACCTCCAACATCAAAATAAAAATCAAAATTAAATAAAAAACACACAAAATTTGCTAATTACTAATTTTAAATTCATTCTCAGGTGACACCGGCCCGTGCGTCTACCCCGCCGGCTTCCTCTACGTCTACACCGCCTTCTACTACCTCACCTCCGCCGGCGCCAACATCCGCCTCGCCCAATACATCTTCATCGGCATCTACGTAACACAATCCTACCTCACCTACACCATCACCATCAAAACCTGCAAACTCCCCGGCTACGCGCTCATCCTCAGCTTCCTCACCTCCTACCGCATCCACTCCATCTACGTCCTGCGCCTCTTCAACGACCCCATCGCCGTTCTGTTCTTCTGGGCCGCACTCAACGCCTTCATCAGCGACCGCTGGAAAACCGGCAGTCTCTTATTCTCACTCGCAGTATCAATCAAAATGAACATCCTGCTGTATTCACCATGTTTACTACTAGCATACATGGCGAATCTCAACTGGAAACAAACAATTAGTAATCTATTCATCTGTGGCATTGTACAACTGTTTCTAGGCTTACCATTCTTACTGACACATCCATGGAGTTACCTCAAAGCGAGTTTTGACCTTGGACGAGTCTTCCAACACCAATGGACGGTGAATTATCGATTTCTCGACGAGGAAATCTTCACAGATATGAGATTTCATATAGGTTTACTTGTTTTACACATAACTTTACTGGGGATATTCACTCCGTTGATCTGGAAGTATTTCAAAGCGTATAATACCTTAAAGAAAACATTATCAGACATGAAACAGCAGGTAACCTGAACGTAACAATGAGAAAAAACGTGTTAAACATACCAAAACACCTCAAAAACCCATTGAGGAAGATGCTCCACTCACACAAGAACAACAAGACTTCCTAAACTCATTCGAGAAGCAGATAAAGGTGGAGAAACCTAATAAACCACCTGGAAACACCAAGAAAACAAATAAATCCCTGCAGCATAAACAAAGCAAGGTGAAGAATGCAAATGCAAAGTTGCATGTTGAGAAGGTGAATCAAGATCCCCCGGAGCCGAAGTATGAGATTAATTTCAGTAAAGTGACGCAGTTGTTTGTGTTGCCGTTCTTTGTCACTAATCTCATTGGGATTGCGTGTGCGAGGAGTCTGCATTATCAGTTCTACTCGTGGTATTTTCATTCGTTGTTGTATTTGGCGTTTAGTACGCCGTTTAGTAAACCGATGGCGCTGTTGTTGCTGGGGTTGTTGGAGTCGTCGTGGAATATTTATCCCAGTACGGAGTGGAGTAGTGCGACGCTGCATGTGGTTCATGCGGGGTTGTTGTATGGTTTGTATAAGACTATGCGGGGATGAATTGTAAAGAGAGCAGATTATTAAAAGAAAATTGTTATATATAAAGATGTTGTGTTGTTGTATGTTGGAGGTTATGTATGGTGATTTGTTCGTGAAACACTCGGTGGAAATTGATGAAATTTTTATGTTATATGGGGGATTAGATGGTTTAGGTAATTCAGGTGGATTTGTTATTATGATTAATAGTTTTTGAGTTATACGCGTTTAAAATTAAATATTTCGTTTTTTTGTGGTTAAAAACACTTTTTGTTGGAAAATTATAGTTTATTCGTGTGGCACTCGGTAGAAGTTGATGAAACTGGCAAATTATACAGAGAATTAAATGTTTTATATAATTCAGAAGGAATTTTGGTAGTATAAGATTCACGTCATCGTTATTTTCGGCACTTTCTGAAGACTGTTCGACAGACACTCTCCTTGCCTCAGTTTTCGCTGGTTCTGTGCTGTTAGAATTTTGCAGGATCATCATTGCTTCAAGCTCCTGTAGCACACTGTCGATGTTTAGATTTTTCTCGTATATCTGACGGCGTTCCATGATGACATCCTTGTTGTCGTTGTATAATTGTAGAAATTTATTGCAATCAACAATTTCAGATAATTCATTGCGGAAGGGCAGATACAGCAGCACCATCTCACGTTGATAGTTGACAATTTCATCTACTTCGTAATGCCTGTATCGTATGATCCGTCCCATCTGTCGTCTGCGATATTGTCTTGACGTCGTTTTTTTTTCGGTCTCTGGTTCCAAATTTTCATACTCATGCACGTCCACGTCGTCTTCATTGTCGATGAAATCTTGACATTTAGCATACCACGAAGCAAACTCGGCCAAATATACAGGTTCCAAGGAAGGAGGTCGTTCTTCATATCGCTGAATGATATTTTTGGTCCATACGTCTGTACTGTCAGCATCAATTCCTTCGCGATTCATTTGTACACGACGTTTGCGGCAACGTTGTCTCTCCGATGGCCATACTGTTGGTATGTACACGACTTGACGACTTGTTTCGCTCATCGGTTGTCGTAATAAATACCACGCTGCTTCTTGGGCCGACATTTCAACTGCATTTAGAAGTTTAATACTCAAAGCCTTCAATTGGCCCGTGTAGTCCCGTTCAGGATGCTCTTGCATCATTTTCGCCAGCTCTCTATTCAAGTTACCCATTCCGCGAGCCGATTTGTTAACGTATTCCACGACGTACTGTGCGCAGCTATAATCATCTAAGACAAACTGGATGTCAATGTTGGAATTAATTTCACCAGCAAGGTAAGGGTTGAATGTGTTCGTTATCAGTTGGTCGAAGTTGCGTTTGAACAACAATGTTGGCCTGCGCAGAGTTGAACGCACTACGTCGAGGTATGCATCGAACGTCAAACTATGATCACTCAGAAAGTCGTCCATGCTAGCATATGTACGGTCGCTAAGGGAAGTTCGTAGGTCTTTACCCTTTTTCTGGAATGCAACGCGGCGTCCATCAGTTTTTGGCATTGGTACCAATACACGGGTAGTCAGCATTGGCCAGTACGGGATTCCAAATCTGCAAGTCGTTTCGCCTCGTTTCGTGCAGGTGAAAGTGTGCTTATGTATTTGGTTGGAGTAGATGGTATCGTTAGGCACATCTTCTTTTGCAACTGAACTTAGTTTCTCCACAAGTTCGATGGTGTTGGGCATATTTTCTGAAACGGTTTCGAGGGGGTCGTTGTTCAACCACAGTAAAATATGAGCGTGGGGACATCCGCGATGCTGGAACTCAATGCGAAGAAAATAATCCTTAACAAAGTATTGGCCGAACGGATTATAATTCGACTTTGCTTTCAACATGTTCATCAATGTACCAACAAGTTTGTGAAAATATATGCAGCACGTAACTGGATCGTCACTTACTAAGCTGCACCGCTCTGATGTGTTTAGATCTTCAGCAACTTTGCCAGGATATTTGTTACTCAATTTGACGAGTAAGTTCAGTAATGTCAACCAGCGTACTTCATTTGCACTTAGAGTGAGAAAGATGGTCGGCTTCCCAAGTTGACGGAGCATAGCAAAGAGATCCCGTTTGCGAGAGGCCCAGTACTGGACGGAGTTTGGCACTGATTTCATAAAGGCAAGGTTTTGTATAACAAATTCTTTAAGAAATTCTGGGTCTTCTAACATTCGTCGAGTTACGTTTTCTGTAACCGGCACTTTCCGGAACGTGCTGTAAATTCCATCCACCATGCGTTGACGTAAGATCTTCATAGCAACGTACAAGATTTTTTGAGGCGTGGCGCCGCGTCTGTCACTTCGTCTTATTTCACTGGTCGCCATCATATAAGGTGTCACCGAAACTCCCATGTTGAAACGACGTGGTTCTCCGAAGTATATTGCAGGAAATGATAATTCTTCAGCATGACGGTCATAAATGATGTTGAGAGGCGTTGCCCGATGTCCTGGTGCGATGTCAAGACAATCCTCTTCATTCCACAATAGTGTGTGCTGTCTAGCAGCAAGAATTTCAGAGTCAGGTGTATATTCAGCAGAAATTGCTTCGATGCGAGGACCAGGTTCATCCGGCAGGATTTCTTCTGATGGCACTGTAAGCTGTAGCTTCGACAAATCTACTTTGATATCGTATAAACGATAAAGGCTCGACTTCTGAAGTACATCCAACCATTCCTTGATCGTACGTTTAGACGTGTATCCGCTAACGTAATTCGTTTTGTGCGCAAGATTCCGTTTTATGTTGACATTGATTACTTCGTCCTCATCCAGTTGCCGAGGTAAGCATTTCACCATTTCTTGCACGTCGACTGGAACGTTGATCACTTGTCCAATGATCCCATATGAGAAATCATGACGGAGTCGACGTACTTGCATAAATGGCAGACGTGGTGAGATCAACCGTTCACTGATTGGATCCAATGGCGGTAGACCTGGAGGTACCTCAGGATATGTGAAGCCGTTCATCTTCGCAAGACTCGGAAGCTTTCCTGTATTCAGCGAACGTTTACAGTTGGCGCAAACCAATGTAAATTCCTGGGCGTGTACTTGCCGATTTTCCTTAACACACCAATCTGAGATTATCTGCATTTGTACAGCAGTGATGGCTTTAAGGTCATTTCTGAACCATAATCTATCGCAAACCGAACAAGTATGGCCAAAATCGTTATCCAGGAAAGTAGATTTGAATCGATGTATTGACGAAGACCATTTTGTAGACCAGGTAGGTTGTTCTTGATGCACTGCTGGTACCGTGCCGCTGGCGAGAGCTAAATTTGCAGCTCTACGTAGATGGTACGATTTGCGTCGTCTTTCAGCGGCTTTTCTTGCAAACGCCGCGGCCTGTTCTGGGGTTCTAATAGCTGCTGCACGTTTTCTGTACTCACGATTTCGCAGGGCCTTCTTTTCGGCAGTGGTGGGTATTGCAGACGTTGACGGCAAAGCATCCTCGGTCTCCATCGGCGTACTGGATGTTGAAGGAATGTGCGCACAGGGATCCATCATGTTGAGCGTGGTGATTTCTTCAGTCTCCATCATTGAAACACTACGTTCATTTTATTATCATAACATAACCTCTAAATTTCGAAGGAATTTTATTGTTATCTGTATTACTTATTGAGTTATTGTCTTTTAAAGTGAACAAAACTAAAGTCAATTTTCTTAATTCGCATTCTTTTATGGAAAATCATAATTTATTCATTAACCGTTTCAAGTTTTCATATGAAACTTTCAAATTAGATAGATAATTAACTCCTTTATATAATTCAGAAGGAATTTTGTTATTATAATTAATAGTTTTTGCGTTATGCGCAATTTAAATTTCAAAAAAATCAAATTTTTCGTGTTAAAAGCGCGTTTTGTGAGAAATTAACAGTTTATTCGTGAAACACTCGGTGGAAGTTGATGAAACTCTCAAATTATACCAAGAAATAACACCTATTTATTAATTCGAATGAATGTCTTGATTATATTTAACCGTTTTTAATTTAGAAGCCCCGAAAGTGAAAAAATTGGAAAAAAATGCGCGTTTTTGTCGAAAATGTCAATTTATTCACGAAACACTCGGTAGAATTGAATGAAATTTTCTAATTGTATAGAGAATTAACTCATTTACATAATGCAGAAGGAATTTTGTTATTATAATTAATAGTTTTTGCGTTATGCGCAATTTAAATTTCAAAAAAAATCAAATTTTTCGTGTTAAAAGCGCGTTTTGTGAGAAATTAACAGTTTATTCGTGAAACACTCGGTGGAAGTTGATGAAACTCTCAAATTATACCAAGAAATAACACCTATTTATTAATTCGAATGAATGTCTTGATTATATTTAACAGTTTTTAATTTAGAAGCCCCTAAAGTGAAAAAATTGGAAAAAAAATGCGCGTTTTTGTCGAAAATGTCAATTTATTCACGAAACACTCGGTAGAATTCAATGAAATTTTCTAATTGTATAGAGAATTAACTCATTTACATAATGCAGAAGGAATTTTGTTATTATAATTAATAGTTTTTGCGTTATGCGCAATTTAAATTTCAAAAAAAATCAAATTTTTCGTGTTAAAAGCGCGTTTTGTGAGAAATTAACAGTTTATTCGTGAAACACTCGGTGGAAGTTGATGAAACTCTCAAATTATACCAAGAAATAACACCTATTTATTAATTCGAATGAATGTCTTGATTATATTTAACAGTTTTCAATTTAGAAGCCCCTAAAGTGAGAAAATTGGAAAAAAATGCGCGTTTTTGTCGAAAATGTCAATTTATTCACGAAACACTCGGTAGAATTCAATGAAATTTTCTAATTGTATAGAGAATTAACTCATTTACATAATGCAGAAGGAATTTTGTTATTATAATTAATAGTTTTTGCGTTATGCGCAATTTAAATTTAAAAAAATCAAATTTTTTAGTTAAAAGCGCCTTTTGTGAGAAATTAACAGTTTATTCGTGAAACACTCGGTGGAAGTTGATGAAACTCTCAAATTATACCAAGAAATAACACCTATTTATTAATTCGAATGAATGTCTTGATTATATTTAACCGTTTTTAATTTAGAAGCCCCGAAATTGAAAAAATTGAAAAAAATGCGCGTTTTTGTCGAAAATGTCAATTTATTCACGAAACACTCGGTAGAATTCAATGAAATTTTCTAATTGTATAGAGAATTAACTCATTTACATAATACAGAAGGAATTTTGTTATTATAATTAATAGTTTTTGCGTTATGCGCAATTTAAATTTCAAAAAAATCAAATTTTTCGTGTTAAAAGCGCGTTTTGTGAGAAATGAACAGTTTATTCGTGAAACACTCGGTGGAAGTTGATGAAACTCTCAAATTATACCCAGAAATAACACCTATTTATTAATTCGAATGAATGTCTTGATTATATTTAACAGTTTTTAATTTAGAAGCCCCTAAAGTGAAAAAATTGGAAAAAAATGCGCGTTTTTGTCGAAAATGTCAATTTATTCACGAAACACTCGGTAGAATTCAATGAAATTTTCTAATTGTATAGAGAATTAACTCATTTACATAATACAGAAGGAATTTTGTTATTATAATTAATAGTTTTTGCGTTGTGCGCAATTTAAATTTCAAAAAAATCAAATTTTTTAGTTAAAAGCGCGTTTTGTGAGAAATTAACAGTTTATTCGTGAAACACTCGGTGGAAGTTGATGAAACTCTCAAATTATACCAAGAAATAACACCTATTTATTAATTCGAATGAATGTCTTGATTATATTTAACAGTTTTCAATTTAGAAGCCCCTAAAGTGAGAAAATTGGAAAAAATGCGCGTTTTTGTCGAAAATGTCAATTTATTCACGAAACACTCGGTAGAATTCAATGAAATTTTCTAATTGTATAGAGAATTAACTCATTTACATAATGCAGGCGGAATTTTGTTAATATAATTAATGGTTTTTGAGTTATACGCGTTTAACCAAAGAAAATATTTTAAAACAGCGTTCTAACACAAAATCATAGATTTTTCTAATTTATTACCGATCCACTGGGTATATATTGATCAAAATTCTCTCATCTCCAGAATATTATACACTTTATCAACCCCCGAAAGAATTTTAATAATAACTATGATAACATCCAAGTTACACGCGTTTAAAATGAAACATAACCTCGAAATTTTCACAAAACGCGCATAAAATCACCATTTATTCGCGAAACACTGCGTAAAACCGCCTAAAACTTTCAAACAATACAAAAAATTAATCAAATAAACCAATCCCTGCAAAAATCCCAACAAAAAAACACATCATATCATTTAATTTAATAACATTTATCTAAGTCTTCCTTGAATATTTTCATATATTATGACTAGAATATTGTACATTGTCGCGGAACATGTTAAAATTTGCAAACTTTCAGAGTTTCGATACAACAAAACACAACATACACGCATTTCAATTTGTTTTCAACAAAGCGCCATTTTGTCACACGCGCACATACGCATGCGCGCGCGCATACGGTAACAATTCGAGATATTGCGTATTGTACGCATACACGTTATTATTTCTATATATATATAGATTTAATTAAAATTTATTTAATTTGCATTCATTTAAGCTTACTAGAGCGCGTTGTGTTCACGTTCATTGCCGTAGTTCTTGTACTTGTTGTCTCGTAGCGCCACCGCCGAGTGCTGCGGTGGTTGCATCAATTATCGTCGCTGTGCAGACTATACTCGTCCGTAGATCGAACAACGTCGGCGGTGATATATGTCGCAACACCTCACGACATTTATCCACTGCCATTTCGTGTGTGTTCACATCATCGATGAGGTTTTGTAATAGCTCTACACCGTGTTCTTCTTTCAACATGTCGCAGTAACGTTTCGCTGAAAAATATGACAGGTTAGTAACTTGAATTTATGATTGTCATTCAAAATTTGTAACAACGTCTGTGATTGGCTGCAACCCACATCACACATCTAACAAGTCTTCTGATTGGTTATATACTCACAGTTTTTCGTGCAGACATGATGCACAGCCCACACAGCCCACAACTGCACACGATAATCCACACCGACTTTCAGCAGTGGAAAAAACGGTTTGAAACTTCGATACGCCACCATTTCGTTATCCGGCACACCCCAGTTGACAACAGCCGCTTCCAGCGCTTGCAATAACTTCTCACGAGGTAATTCATGCACCGTCCAGCTGTCAGCGCCATCACTAGCCAAATGCGCAACTATACCAGCAGCAAAGTAACTCACGTCAATCATATCGTAAGTTAACAATCCGTATAATTCCTGCACCAGCGGCTCAACCAACAATCGTCCACGTAGAATATCCACTTCAGCGATGTTATTCAACAAACCCAACACTTTCGTCTCCACAGCCGTGTCGGTTTTGAACACTTTCAGCACATCCAGAAACAACTCAGCGCCGCCATTTTCCAAGAACACCGCACAAGTGGCGGCGCTCTCATCGGTCAAATTCCACAACGCGCTGAGCGTGAACTTCATCGTGATATCCGAATTGCCATTATCCACACGCTGTTGCACCATGGCAAGCAACTTCTTCATGTATGCAGTCTGCCCACCAAGCTCCGAAGTTTCACGAGTGGAAATCTTCGCGGCGAGTATACTACAAATGGCGACCGACATCCGGTTCATATTAACCTCTTCAAACGTACAGAGTGAGTCCAACACGATCTTCGCACAGCGATACCGATCGAAATCCACATCCTGCAGGATTCGATCACTACACAACGTAAGTAACGCATTCTTTTGCAGTTGATACTCGCCTGGAAAACTCTCCATGGCATCCAGGGTTAAATCCACAGCCCGACTGAGATATTTCGGATGGATTTGTTTCGAAATCTCACCGCGTGTCAGATTATACAGACACGCCGTGGCGGCCATTTGCACACCGAAGCGCTTCGGATGTGTCGCCATTGCCAAGATGACCAATTGAAAAACATCCGAACGACTCGCCGCAAAACCATCTGTAAGTTGAAAGAGGTGATACAAAGCCTTCTGGACGTAATTATGTCTGTCATAATGTCTTCTCAACGCTAAAATAATCTGTTCTTCATTTCCTAGACCAGCAACACGCAGTTCCAATTCCGTTTCAGGGTCATGCTCAGGTTCAGACAGGAATAATTCAAACGCGATGGGATTCAGCACGAGTCCGAGGTATTTCATCCGTGGATGATGTTTCAAGTAAGTTAACATCGTGCCCTTGGGGATGAGATCCCTCCATCCGCTGATATCCAACGAAACAAGATTGGGTAGTGTTTCTGGTGACTCTAAAATGTCACAAATCGCTGTATTCTGTATGCTTTCGAATCTTTCATGTATGAGACTGATATCTAGATGGCGCAGCATGTCCAGTTTGATAATATACTGCGTCATCAAGTTAATCCATCGTAAATCACTTGCTACCAAAGCAAGCAGACGATGTTTAAGTAAAAGTAGCGGTTTCACACATTGCACCCACGTCCCGCTGATGTTCAAATACTCCAGCTGGGTGAGATCCTCGCAAATCATCTCCAACGTCTGTTGGTTGAACTCCGTGAATGACACGTTGAGTGATTTCAATTGTTTTAGGTTCGTCAGGTGCATCATCATGCTGTGCCGCGAGATGTCGATGAATGTGCAGCGGGATACGTCGAGTGAGGTTAGGTTACGTATGGTGTCCTCGCTGAGGCAGTCGAGGATCAGCCCGACGGTGAGGCTCTCCATGCGCGTGCAATGTAGTTCGGTGAGTTTGTGTTCGCGCAGCGTGCGGAGGCCTTCGGGGGTGATGGCCGGTGAGTCCGAGATGCGCACGCATTTCAGGCGTGTGTTGCGTGATCGGAAGAGGTTGAGCGTGCGGTCGTCGAGGCGGCGTTTGGAGTTGATGCGTTCGAGCAGTTGCTCGGAGAGCTTGTTGAAGAGGTAGAAGTCTGCGTCAGCTTGCAGAAGGCTTTTGCGCTCCTCCAGTTTCGTTAGCGCAAAGTGCGCGCCGCCCGTCGGGCCTGAAACGCGCACGTAGCACGTGCGAAGATCCCATGTCGCCCCACGATGCACCCAGGCAGAGTTCGGAGTAATGGCACGGCGCCGTAACATTTTTCTGGGGATAACCTAGAAATTTCATGGTTTTTAGGTTATAACTTTTAAAGTATCAGAGGTTGGGATGAAATTTTTTTTGTGGGTTATTAAGAATTTTATTCTGCATATTTTAAGCGGAAAATATGTTATTTTTCTAATTGCGTTTAAAAGTTATTAATTAATTATTAATTAATAATTAACAAAAAATTTATTAGACAAAATTTTAGTGGAATCCGATTCAGAATTTAATTTCTATTCTATTGGTACAAAAATTTTGAATTTATCTTTAAAATTACAAAAGTTACGAGCAAGTTTCTCCAAAATTCCACAAAAAAATAATTAATTTCACTCATAATTAATTACCTATCACTCATAACACAAACCACTCTACATGATATTATCCACAATTTAATTCTCTATCACCCACTGAAAAAATCACCTCCCTAACTTATTCCCTCCGTGAGTAATTAATAAATTACTGATTGCGCGCTTAAACCACCCAAATCAATTCCCCGCGAAACGCTATGATTATTACTAAATGATCAACACTTACTTAATAATACTGATTAATGATTACAATTTCAGTGATTTTCGATCAGCGTAGCAGCAACCCACTTTACACCATTGTACGGCGCATGTAGTGCATGCGCAAACAAACAAAATCAATGCGATAATGTTTCATATTATCTAAACGCCAAAGATCGTTAAAATGTAGTTAATTTTTGTGTAATTTATAATTAATTTGTATTGTTAATGAGTGTATTATGTATGTGATATGATTGTTATGCGGTTTAATTTGTTGTTTGTTTGTGTAGGCGTTTTTGTTTGTTTGGACACTCGGTGTACTAAATTTCGGTCATAACATAACCTCGGAATAATACAAAAGTCATCCTGTTGTGCATCAGGATTTTTTACGAAATTTGTGCACAATTATCGCTTGAGAAAGGTTTACAACATACAAAATCACAATGGTACGTGATAAACTTAATATTTACACTGATTTAATGTATAATTATACTTAAAATATGTATTTTTATGTATATTGTGTCATTTTGTCATATTTTTCATTGTCTTTGTCATAGTATTTCAAAATTTCTGTGAATTTACTCGTTTTTGTAAATGTTTTAGTTTCAATTTGGGTTCAATGTGTTTCCTGAGATGCCCCGGCCGTTCAACGTCACGTATCAGTGCTTTTCAGTGGCGATGATACCCGGTAACGAGCGTCAAGATGTCGAAAAGGTGGAAAAAGTACGTTTTCCACTACTTTTTTACTATTTACCAACATAAAAACATGATTTTTCTTAGTTATAATGCCGCCATCTGCATTGGAGCACTCCACACGCTTGAACATCAACTATCCGATGCTGTTCAAGCTCACCAACAAGAAAACCTCACGGCAAACACATTGCGGAGTGCTGGAATTCATCGCCGACGAGGGTAAATGCTACCTCCCGCTGTGGATGATGCACAATCTGGTGCTATCCGAAGGCGACGCGCTGCAAATCGAGTCAATTAACCTCCCCGTCGGGTCATTTTCCAAATTCCAACCGTTAAATCCCGACTTTTTGGATATAACCAACCCGAAAGCGGTGTTGGAGAACTGCTTACGCACGTTTGCATGTCTCACCACTGGCGATGTCATCGCAGTGCAGTATAATCAGAAAGCTTACGAGCTGTGCGTGCTCGAAACAAAACCTAGTAATGCAATCAGCATTATTGAGTGTGATATGAATGTAAGTAACAAAAAATGTGAAAAAATTGATTAATTTTATGTTTATGATGATTTTTAGGTTGAATTCGCTGCGCCTGTCGGTTATCGAGAACCAAAAGTGGCGAAAAAAGACGAGGATGACGAAGCGGTTGATCCTGCTTACCTGATGCCTGGCCCATCGCACTTTGTCCCTTTTGCAGGCAGCGGCAATCGCCTCGATGGCAAACGGCGCAAAAACTCAGGTTCGGCGGATTGCCCACCGCCGAAACCGGTTTATGTACGTGGTATTCCCGATTACGATTACAAACCCGGCTTTTTGCGCTTTATACGCCGCGTGGACAAACCCGCCGCCGCCAAGGAAGAGAAACCCGAGGAATTCAAGCCGTTTCAGGGCGCCGGCAAGACTCTCACCGTCAAGTAAGCCCAATTTCTCCTTCCTACTTCCCAATCGTTTAGCTGTGAAGCAACGTGAACGATTTAAATATTAATTTATAAAATAAATCTTAATAAACACGCGTATTTTGTGCAAAGGAGTGATGACAGTAAGAAACGCAAGGATGTTGATGATGAGAGTATGGTTAACGCGAAAAGAATGCGTCTGGATTAGCCGCCATTTTGTCACCAGAAATAATCAGGTTGGTGGTGTTTTATACACTTGGTATATTTTTGCTGTATATTTGGTTGCCTAACTCATTACGTTTTGTGTCGTTTAGGATCAGCTGGTCGCAAACATTCGCAGCGAAAATATTAATTATTGAAGTAATTTATTATAAATGGAGAGTCCGAAGACGCCAGGGCAGAATGCCATCGTCGCCATGCAGGAATTCAACAAGGCTGTGGTGTTTAAAGTGCCGAAAATGGTGAAAAAGAAACGCGCACAGCTTGTTTTGGATGATGACAGATTTGTTGAGGTAAAAAATCATTTTTAAACGTTAAAAATAAATAAATTAGATAATAATTACCAAATTTTATGTATAGGAACTGGGAAAAATCATTGAAAGAGATTTTTTTCCTGATCTTGAAAAACTAAAAGCAAAAACTGAATATTTAGAGGCTGTGGAAAACAACGATGTGATAAAAATCAGAGAATTACATTTAAAATACACTGGATCAAGACGAGCACCAAGCAGATGTAAGTTTTAACACATTTTTTCATAATTTTAGACAAAAATTTCATTAAAAACTTATTTTTTGGTTATGTTGCTTTTAGTACCAAGTCCTGCCACCTTCGAAACGCCTGCCAACATTCACAACTCACAAGACCCTGCCCCCAGCCCAGTGCACAGTCAGCCATCTTGTGAAACCAATGACAAAACACAAAAATTATCCCTGGATCAGTACCTCAACTCACACACATCCGAAGATAATCAAAGCTTTGAGGAAATCATGACTGAATCCGAACGTAAGCATCGTTTAAAATACTCTTATCTATATCAAGAGGAAGATAAATCATTGCAAGATCAGCAGAATGCTTTGGCGTTGCCTAGTGTTGAACAACAGGCGGCGCTGCCTGCAAAAAAGCTCAACATTGACACATGGACGTATAAAAACAAGAATTACATCATGTACGTCCCGGATGGTGTGGATTTAACACCAGAGGAAGAGATAGAGTATAATAAAAAGCGTCAGGAGGTAGTGCATTCGAATACTCGGCTGCAGTTGAATCCGTTCAATGATTCGCAGAGTAAGGAAACCATTACAGAGTTGGCCAAGAAACAAGCGCGCGGATTGGACGGTAAGATTGGCGTGGATGGCAAGGAGTTGTTGACAGGCACACCGCAGATCAACGGCTTCGGGTTGGTTCGGACACCGTCGCCATGTCCGGGCGTAGCCGAAAGCCCGTTGATGACATGGGGTGAAGTTGAAGGCACGCCATTTAGACTCGACGGTAGCGACACGCCGCTGATGCGCACGCAAGGTCCATCGTTCAAAATGAACGCACCGCCGAAACGCGAGCAGTTGGCGTTTGCACTCGCGGAGAAAGCCAGTGAACGACATCGGGATAAGAAAAAGAAAGCCATGGACGCAGCAAGGAAACAATTTCAAAGGTTAGTGTTTAAAATTATAAAATTACTCACAATACTCATAAAGGTTATGCATCCGCCATGTTTTTTTTCGTTTGACAGCCCGTCACCTTACACAGGGTCATCCCGTGAAAGACTATTCAGCATGTCACCCGCTGCGCAACGCCTAGCCACATCAAAACTAAGATTAGACTTATCACGAACACCCAGAACACCAAAAACGCCATTGATGACCACAATAGGCACACCGAAACGTAACCTAGGTATTAAAAAGAGCGATGATAACCTCACTGATGATCTATTGAAGATTAAAGTACCTCGGAGGCAAACCGCTTCGGATTTTTTCTAGAACACAAAGAAAACAAGATGGCGTCCAAACAGTAAGTTATAATTTATTATAATCTCTTAATAAATACTAAAATTGTTATTCTGATAATTAAAACACGTGTACAATGCTACCGCTGTGAGCGTTCACGTTCTATCTCTTCAATAACAGCAAAAAGTCTTTGTTTCGACTTTTTGTTATTCTGACATGCGCAACTCACGAGGCCATAGAGATGCTTCGATGAGTATTCGCCATGCGCGCGCATCCATTCGTCCAGCTCCAGTTCGGGAATATAGAACGCGTTTATATAGTTATCTACGTAGTCTTTGTGCGGCACGGGGCGTACACGAGTGATTTGCTCGAAGGTTTGCAGGAAGTGCGTGAAGTCGAGGCGCATGAGTGCGCGACCGCAAGGCGTGCACTTTTTAGCTTCGGCGAAACCCTGTACGAATGTGTGCGTGATTATATGCGCTATGTTTTCCCATAGGAGGACATAATGGCGTCGTTGATGTGGACTTGTGCGTTGATTTGCTCCAAACGCATGGTGAAAATTTGAATTTCCTGCAGAGTAAAGGTTAGAAGTAAAATAATCAAAATGGCGGATTGTGTGTGATGTGTTGTGTGAACTTACCCTTAGAACAATGTCAATGTAGTTGTTGTGCTGCGACATTACTTCCTTGACTTCCCAGTTAATCTTCGCCATTGAGGATAAAATCTGTCGCAGGTCGAAAGCCTGCGCGCAGACGGTCATGTAAACCGGACGGCGTAAATCTATCGCGCTGCTGATTGTCTGAAATATAAATTTAAAATAAAATAAAATACGAACATACACGACAACACCCGAGTGTAATCCACCACACATGTTGCATGTTTGCGAATTAATTTAACGAATATTTCGTTATTAACAACAATTACACAGTGTATATCAACAAAAATCACAACCACAAAATAATTACTACATAATTACGGTAATAATTCATTAAATCTTTGATTACTTTTCGAATAATCACCAAAAATACAAAAATAACCTCAAATTAAACTCGCATTTGTATATTTACAGTTAAAAAACATGCAGGAAACAATAAACCAAGGCGATTACGTCCTGATTCAACGCCAGGACTACATGAAACTCCACCGCGTGAAAGAACGCAACACCGTTAAACTCGGCATTAACAACATCGAATGCTCCGCGTTGATCGGCGAGAAATTCATGGACAACTTCAAAATGGTACGCAAATCCAAACTCACCCTGATTGAAAAACTGCTGCAGGATGCTTTTGTTTTGCGATGGTACTAATGATTCCAAGTAAGTTTGTAGTCCTTCGTATTGCCGAGCGAGGAATATCAGGCTTTCGACGCCAACCACGCGCTCGGCGAAACCATGCAGCATTTCCGGCTTTTTCAGGTCTACTAATGGTGAGACTATGGGTTTTGTTATTTTATTTCATCCTGCGCGTCGTCATTGGTCAGGAAAAGAGATTCTTGGATTCTTTTCAGTGTGGAACTCAATGAGAGTGAATACAAAGCACTTGAAGACACTGTCTATAAAATAAATAGAAGTTAATTGAGGTTAAGTTAAAAAATGGAAATTTTTGAGGTTATGATGTAATACTTACTAAATCCGATGCAAAGAAGCAATGGACTGAATACAAATAGAAGTCAAATAACTGATTCATGTATTTGATGATATCAAACGCAATTGGTTTAAAAAGTCTGGACATCTGTAAGTATTTTCCCATCTGTCGTAGGACACTGAGTGTTGTGTTGGTTAACACATGATGATTTATACGTTTTTCTTTCTTTTGATTTGACTAATTCTTTTCTTTCTCCTTCGAAATATTTTTCTTTTCTCCTTAATATTCATCAACATAATCTTTATGCAGTTCTTCATTCTCTTCTTCACTATCATCACTGAAATACTCGCCATCTGATAGAAGGATATCTTCATCTATGATTTCCTCCGGAGTGAAGTCAAAAGGTGTTCCATGATCGCCATACCGGATGAAATAATTGCCAGTCACACTGCTGCCGTCTTGAGAGTGGGTGGAACTCGCCCCGTCGGTGGATATGCCGCTTGGTGTGAAGTATTGCCCGCCTGTGCGTTTGAAGTTCTTGAGGACGTGCTTCATTGCTTTGAATTCCTGCAGTTGGAGGATGTCGAAGGTGGATTTCACCGGGCAGATTGTCCATGATTCATTCTCGAGGAAGATTTTGAGTTCTTCCAGGCGTTGAGTGTGGTAATGTTGGAAGTAATTCACGCTTTGATGGCGGATGGATTCGTGGAGTTCTTCGGATTTACTTCCGGAGAATTCTTCACCCACTTCAATTAATCTGGAAATATTGGGGGTTTGTTAGGGTTTTATTGTTTTTTAGGGTTTATTTTCATTTTTAGAGAGATTTATCGTGTTGTGTTATTATTTTGATGGCATTTTCAATGATTTAAGCTTGAAAATCGGTGATTTTCTTCTAAAAACGTGAAATCTCATAGTATTTTCATTATTAAAGAGATTTTCTTATAAATTATTAAGTTAATTGTGGTAATCATCTAAAATGTTGTGTTTTTTATGTGAATTTTGGTTTTAAAACACACAAAAATCAATATTTCACATAAAAAATATGATTTTTCACTTATAACATCTTAAAAACAACATTTTTACACTTAAAAATGCCAAAAATTGAAATAATTAACCAAATAACACAACACGATGCTCTTAAAAATGAAAATTAACCAAAATTTTAGTTTTTTAGGTTTTCTTTTTGTAAAAACTTCAATTACCTGTGCACAACACCCAATACTTGCACAAACTGATCGAATTTATACATCCCAAGGTCACTGTTCATCAGCAAACTGGAAACTTTACTCTGCACATCCTGCCAGATCTTCAACAGATTATGCTCAAGTTTCTGCTTGATATACTCCTTGGTAAAATCCGCATCTTTCTCATCTTCTACAACAATATCATGCGCATCATGCCAACGCACCAAGTTCCGATAGCTTAAAACTATCTTAAACAATGATTTACACAAATCAAGCAGACATGGAATGAAATTTTCTTGATTCACAGCCTAAAAATCAACAATCAACATTAATTAAATTCAACACAAGTTAAATTTCTCAAAAAAAAAAACTTACTAAACATAAGTTTTTATAAGGTTTCTTCGTGTTATCACCAACAGGCATCTCCATACCCTCATGCTGTATGTACACATACACAATATTCACCGAAGTATTATAAATACTGCTGATGTAATGCATGTGCAGATGATCCACAGCAATCTGTGTCTTTCCCAGCAGCTTATAAGCATCCTGGAGTTTTCTATATCGTGTCGCATCGAAATAATAACACATCTGTGCCAGGACACGATCTAGTTGCTCTTCTGTATACTCTAATGTCTCTTGTAGTTTGTTGGTCAAAGCTGCGACGCAGTTAAAGTGTCTGTAACGCTGCGCTGCCGCTTGACACTCGAGAATCAATTCAATAGCACCGGCGTAGTTTTCATTCTTTAGTAAAATATGCAACCGGTTGTCTGTTTGATACTAAAATAGGTAATAAATTAGGTTATGTGGGTTTTAATTTTAAATGAGGTTATGTTATACTAAGGCTTTGATTGTGTTTAGATTGTTGAGTAGGTGCTGAACACATTTTCGCTTCCTGTGATTGGCTAATACTCCAAGCGTGGCAGCGACTTGACGTTCCGCAGAGTGTAATTTGCCCCGCCCATCGCGACATAACCGCAATGTATCGCCCAATTTCTCACACAACGCTAACATTTCCTTAAATTCATCGCCGCATGCGTTTTGATGTTCTAATATTAATTGTAAGACTTTTTTTGAGACAACTTGATGCTGTCGTTTTAACAGCTTGAAATCTGCTTGGATTCTGTCACAGTCGAGGACTGCGGGGAGTTTTTCAAGTTCAAAACGGCAGATGTCGAAGTTGTTTGGTGCGAAATACGCAGCTTCGATACTTTCTAATATTTCTTGATCGGCAGGGCGGTCGGCCTCCGGGGCGGTTTTACTGTTGATGCAGAGAGTTTCTGCTTTGGGGAAGTGGTAATTTGCGTCTGAGAAACCCATAGATGGGATTTTAGGGCTCTAAAATAGGCGAAAATGTTTAGATAACCTTCAAATATTGCTTGTTTTTGGGTGTTTTTGGGGTTTAGAAAGGCATACCTGCTTGTTAAGCAGACTTAATATCTTCGATTTGAATTCGTCCATGTTTATGATTAGGAATTGTGTTTCATATGTTGATTTTAAGCAGTTTTTCCAGTAGATTTTGTTGTCTTTTGCTGCAATGTTGACGATTTTTGACTTTTGTCTACTGTGACCTTAACTGACAGATGTAAAGCTAAGTTATCACTATAATTACTTTTCATGAAAGAAATTTGAGGAGAAATGTGGTAATTACACATTAAATTTATAAATAATTTGATCAAAAATAATATTTAAGTAATATTTACAACTTTTAATTAGTTTATATATAATTTATTATTAATTAATCATGTTTTTTTCTATAAACAAAAATTTGTGTAGAGTCATCCTTAGAATTTCGAACAACTTCGTGCATCTTCGGGTTCCAGTCAACTAGCGCCACAGTGGACGCCGCTGGTACTACCCGCCTCAGTAAACTCGCGTCGAATGGGGCAGAAGACACACGAAACACCGACGACGTCAAGATGGCCGACTGATCGATAAATCGAACGCGAACCCCCGACCGACTCGGTGAACGCACACGCACGCACGCTCGCGAAAACCCCCAGCGCCGGGCGTCGAGGAAGTCGTGCGGGTACAAACAATCCGTGTGGTGCGCGTCCGCATCGCACGCAACGCCCGTACGAACCCACAACGGCAGTGAATAAGTGCGCGCCCGACCGCCCGAAGGAGACGAGACCCAGCGGGCGAACCAACAACGACGCGCGCCCCTTTCGAACCGCACGCGTGTGTCTATCTCCACCATCCGAACGACATCCGCACCATAAACTCAACAGTGCACACAGAAAACAATCCCACAACGCATAATATAATAAACACAAGTGTGAGTTCTCATCGTCTGCGTACTGTAGTATAATCATGTGCATGTGCAATTTGTGAGGTGCGTACGTGATCGCAACGCATCTCAACGAAAAGGTTTTGTTTCGGTTGTAGATTTGTACATTCAAGTGTGGAGTTGAGCATCGATCGGCTGTAAACATAAACAATGAGCGGCCGCCGCCGCACGCCGAGCCGCAAATAAACAACACCGGAAGCGGCCGGAAGAAGACACCGCCATCATTCGTCAATCAAATCATTAAGGTACACATATATTACAACCCACTAATAATAATAATAATAACAATCACACATTATTCATATATATTAATTTTATTACACTTGTCATATAATTATACTAACATACAATGTGTTTCAGTTGAGTTACATATGTACGCGTGCGTGCGACAAATTCGATTAGCGCGTTATTGATAGCTTAATAATCTGTTTGACTTTCACGCGAGCCGCGGCAGATTTCCGCATAAATTACACACACATTCACATATCATGTGAGTGAAGTGAACTGCAGTGCTTATTTTAGTGACTCACACACATGTAGAAAATAAACATTGTGTTGATGGAAATGTCACTGAACACAGCTTCGCTTTAATATATATAGGTATATATTAATGTCCATCATGGTATGTTGGTGTTGGTGTGTATGTGAGGCACATTATGAAGAGTCGACGAGTCGACTAATCGCCGCGCTAATCGCCCCTTGTCGCTGCTAATTAGCGTTTTACGTGTGCTGCACACATACATATAGAGTGTATTCGCATTGTATTTCGGTTTGTTTCGTATAGTTGTAAATGTAATTTATATTTTTTTGTGTGTGTGAATGAGTATGAGTGTTTTGTTTGTTTAATGTTGTTTTAATGTTGATAGTTAACGTGTAATCGTGTAGTTTTTATTTTGTATTATTTTTTTTAATTTGTTTTATTTATTTTATTCATTTCACACTTGCTTAGGTATTTTTTTGGTTTGTTTTGTGTGTTTATGGATACACTCTGTATGTAGTCGTAAATTTTATGGCTGTGTGTGTGTATGTGAGTGTTTTTAACGTGTGTTTCCTCGCTTCCTCGTCAATTATACGCGATGCGATGCGACGCGACGCACCCGACGAAATATGCTCCGAAATACTTCGTTGGTTGGATTTTGTATTTCGTATTCTCGGCGTGTATGCATTCGAGCGCGTCCGCTTTTTATTTATTTACACGCACACGCACACACGACCGCAATGAATAACTTAACGCGGTTGTAATTGTGTATTGTATTTGTATGTATGAAATGAATGTGTGTGTGTATGTGCAATCGGACAATCAGTCGATTTGTTGTACGTTTTATTTTTATTACCTTATGCTAAGTGTTTCTTTCTTTTACTTTACTTATTTTTTTCTTTTATTTTATTTTTTTATTTTAATGTAATGTGTTAGTATTGAGTGTAATACTCAATATGATTGTCGTTTGTTACACGGCGCGCGCGCTAATTAACTCTCTGGCATTTGTTTTACGTTATTGTTTAATCGATACCGCGAACGCGACACCGCCACCGCCACCGCTGCTGCTGGTGCCGCGGAAGGCGGCAAGTGAGAAAACAAAATGGTGGGAACAAGTGGGAGGCGCCTAATGACTAATGTCGTAATTCCTCAACCTCCTCAAGTGGGAGGCGCCTAATGACTAATGTCGTAATTCCTCAACCTCCTCAACCATTTATTATGTTATATATTATCTCATACCCCTTGCAAGTATAATTACATAATTTAATTAATTACATTCAATTTTGGTTGCTATGACAATAACTATAGAAAAACAAACAATTTTTTTTAATTTATTACTTTCTTTGGTGAATACGTAATCCATGTTGTATATTTATAAAAAATTTATTTATTAAACATTATACGTGATTTTGGATTTACAATTTTATTTTTGAGTTGACATGTTTCGCCCAGAGGGCATCTTCAAAATCACGTATAATGTTTAATAAATAAATTTTTTATAAAAATTTTTTTTAAGGTGTAAAATTTAAATTTAAGTTGGTTTAGACGGGTTTCAAGTAGTATGCGAAATGAAATTTGTTTGTTGTTATCGCTGCGGCGAGTTAATTAACCGCCGTTGCCGCCGCTGATAACACTAATAATGATAATTCGTTATTGTTTGCGGTTGTTGTATGGCGCGCGCAGTAAATTGACGATTTGCGCCGCTCGCTGCATGTGTGTGTGTGTGCTGCGTTTATTACTCGTTAATCTTGCGAGCGCACGCGCTGTTTATGTCTCACCTCTCCTCATTTGTCGGCGTCACCCACACACATTCACTGCGAATGAAGAAACAAATTCTTTTTATTTTCTCCTTGTGTGTGTTTGTGTGTAGATGTGTGGTGAATGGGTAAAAGGGCGTTATGATTGTTATGAAAACCGCAATCGCAGGATGGCAATCGTTTTTATGGCCCTCTTCATTTCACATCTTTTGTAGATGTATGTGTGTGGGTTGTTTTTATTGTGTTGAACATTTTATTGGCTCGACACTCTATTACGATGAGCAATGGTCAAACGCAGCACAAAAAAGGAGAACAAATGTGTGAATGTGTGTGTGGGTTAGTCATGCTTAGTATAAGGGTGGTTTCCGTTCGTGCCCAGCGGTTCGCACTTAATTTCATTTGCGCTCGGCTTTCTTTCCAGCAGCGCAGAACATCTATCTTTGTTATAGTTGTAAATGTAATTTATTTTTTTTGTGTGTGTGAATGAGTATGAGTGTTTTGTTTGTTTAATGTTGTTTTAATGTTGATAGTTAAGGTGTAATCGTGTAGTTTTTATTTTGTATTATTTTTTTTATTTGTTTTATTTATTTTATTCATTTCACACTGGCTTAGGTATTGTTTTTGTTTGTTTTGTTTCATGTTATGGATACACTCTGTATGTAGTCGTAAATTTTATGTCTGTGTGTGTGTATGTGAGTGTTTTTAACGTGTGTTTCCTCGCTTCCTCGTCAATTATACGCGATGCGACGCGACGCACTCCGCCGAAATACTTCGTTGGTTGGATTTTGTATTTCGTATTTCGTATTCTCGGCGTGTGTGCATTCGAGCGCGTCCGCTTTTTATTTATTTACACGCACACGCACACACGACCGCAATGAATAACTTAACGCGGTTGTAATTGTGTATTGTATTTGTATGTATGAATGTAATGTGTGTATGTGCAATCGGACAATCAGTCGATTTGTTGTACGTTTTATTTTTATTACCGTATGCTAAGTGTTTCTTTTCTTTTTCTTTTACTTATTTTTTCTGTTTTACTTTATTTTTAATGTAATGTGTTAGTATTGAGTGTAATACTCAATATGATTGTCGTTTGTTACACGGCGCGCGCGCTAATTAACTCTCTGGCATTTGTTTTACGTTATTGTTTAATCGATACCGCGAACGCGACACCGCCACCGCCGCTGCCGCCGCTGCTGGTGCCGCGGAAGGCGGCAAGTGAGAAAACAAAATGGTGGGAACAACCATTCATTATGGTATATATTATCTCATACCCCTTGCATGTATAATTACATAATTTAATTAATTACATTCAATTTTGGTTGCTATGACTATAACTATAGAAAAACAAATTAATTTTTTTTGGGTGTAAAATTTAAATGTAAATTTAAGTTGGTTTAGACGGGTTTCAAGTACTATGCGAAATGAAATTTGTTTGTTGTTATCGCTGCGGCGAGTTAATTAACCGCCGTTGCCGCCGCTGATAACACTAATAATGATAATTCGTTATTGTTTGCGGTTGTTGTATGGCGCGCGCAGTAAATTGACGATTTGCGCCGCTTGCTGCATGTGTGTGTGTGTGTGTGTGTGTGTGTGTGCTGCGTTTATTACTCGTTAATCTTGCGAGCGCACGCGCTGTTTATGTCTCACCTCTCCTCATTTGTCGGCGTCACCCACACACACATTGCGAATGAAGAAACAAATTATTTTTATTCTATCTGTGTGTGTGTGTGTTTGTGTGAATATGTGTTGAATGGGTAAAAGGGCGTTATGATTGTTATGAAAACCACAATCGCAGGATGGCAATCGTTTTTATGGCCCTCTTCATTTCACATCTTTTGTAGATGTTTATTTCTCTGTGTGTGTGTGTGTATGTGAGGGTTGTTTTTATTGTGTTGAACATTTTATTGGCTCGGCACTCTATTACGATGAGCAATGGTCAAACGCAGCACAAAAAAGGAGAACAAATGTGCTGCGAATGTTGTGAATGTGTGTGTGTGGGTTAGTCATGCTTAGTATAAGGGTGGTTTCCGTTCGTGCCCAGCGGTTCGCACTTAATTTCATTTGCGCTCGGCTTTCTTTCCAGCAGCGCAGAACATCTATCTTTGTCTTTTTTGTCTTCTCTCATCTCCCACACATAAAGTTAAAACTAGCCGTACACTTTTCCGCTCTCTTCGCCGTAACGTGAAAAGAGGATGTTGCTAAGAGGTGAAAAACGATTGAGGGGTGTGCGCGCGATGTGTTGGGGTGCGCGAAACGAGCACATGTTTTGTCGCACCAGCGCGAGAGAAGGAGATAAGCCGAGAGGGTGGCGTTATTAGAGGGATGAAAAAGGCACGCTTGACTGCGCAAAGTATACAATCGCATAATGTTTCTATACTACTGCATGTGGTGGTGATGGTAGTAGAGCAGTGGTGGTGGTGTTGGTGGGATGATGATACCTCTCTCTTCTTTCTGCTTTACTCTGATTTTGATTTTACTCTGGTAGTTGTAGTTGTAGGATGGATGCACACGCGAAAACGACGGAAATGTGTACTTTACGTTGAGGGTCGTGATTTTCGATCGAGTACGTGAGATTACACGTTTAAACACTTATTAAATGAAGCACGCCACGCGGAGGAGAAACAAGATGGCTGTGCGTGTACTTTTAATGGATTAGCTGATTAACAGATTAGGTTCTAATGTTGTTTTATTTTTTTGATTTTGATTTATGAGTGGAGTACTCGATTGGGAAAGTGATAATATAGTTGAGGTATTTGGGGAATTTGTAGTATTTTGTCAGTTTGGAGTGGGTTTCAATGGGTTGCAAGTATAAGTACATAGAAACTAGTCTTATCAGTGTTTTATTTTATTGTTGAATGGATTTGTGGATTATTTGTGGGAAAATTTACGGAAATTATTGAATAGAACTGTTTTTGTTGATAGTTTAGGTAAAATATTGATATGAAGTGAGTGTGGGGAGATTAAAGTGGAGGTTGAAGGTCTTTCTGCAACACCCTGTATAATAAATTATTAAAAGATAGAGAATGGGGAACACTAGCAACTTGTTAGTATTTTTCTAGACGATTTTAGACAGATTTGAGCATTTTTTACTTGTGGCCGACCTGCAAAAAGTGGTGGGGGTAATCCGTTGCTATCTAGCGTATGATACAGTCGCGTGCTATGTTTCTACACATGGATAACTGTTAAATAAGGTGGTAAAGTGGGGGAAAGTACAAATTCACATGTGGTTCCTAAACTTTCTCATTTTACTGCGTAAATATTGATTTATTCGTGAACCACTTTGTATAATCTATCAAAATTCTCAAAATATACAGGGGATAATATTCTTCATAAGATCCCGAAGGAATTTTATATTAAACTTTGATAGTTTTGGAATTACTAGCTTTTGAAGTCAAAAGATATAAACTTTTTTTTGACAAATACGTTTCTAATAGCAAAAATCTTATTTATTCGTGAACCACTCGGTATAATTTGACCAAACTTTCAAATTTGATAAATAATAAACCACTCTTTGCAAGTCCACAAACATTTTGAATTTATCCCCTATTGTTTAAAAGATATTAGCTGTGAAAGTCATAAGATATAAAAATACATCCAATTTCAACAAATACGTTCTCTCCAACAAAAAATCTAATTTATTCGCGAACCACTTGGTAGAATTTGACCAAACTTTCAAATTTGATAAACGATAAACCCCTCTTTACAAATCCACAAACATATTTAATTTATCCCCTATTGTTTAAAAGATATTCGCTTTCAAAGTCAACAATATATTAAACAATCTCATTTTGCACATACATACACACTTAACTACTTAACTTAAGTCACTCTTCCTCCATCTTGCATAAAGCCTTACTTTAAGCAGGTGTTAATCATTCCGGATAAAATCCTCGCTTGTCTTGTTGATTTTTCCAACTCATTTCACACATTTACACATTGTGCATGTGCTAACAATCAGCGCAAACAAAGTTTGGACCAGCATCGATTTCTCTGAATACCCTGCATATACTCTGCATATACCTACGAGTACATATGTTGTGTGTTTGACACGCGCTAACAAGTGATAATTTTATCAATATGTAGCTTGTAAACACAAACACAAACACACACTTATACCAGTTGAACACTACGCAAATATCAAACACCAAACACACCACCAACACCCGGGAACGCAAATGTGTGATCAATTTGTGAATGAAATGTTTGTGTTTGTTTGATTGCAGATGATACGAATGCGTAGATAACTCCCACCACCCCATCGTCGCCAATAGCAACTACCACCGTTCTTTTGTTTCGCCCATCAGCAGCCGCCAGCCACGCCTCCGCCATGTCGCCGCCAATGACACGCTGGTAACCATCATCCAGCGAAGAGCAGGAGCAGGAGAGGAGGGAGCAGCGAGGAGCGCGAGGGGAAGCTCTGCAGCTGGTCAACTTCTTGGTTGGTTTGGTTCGGACGCGAGATTTCACCTTGGCGCACGCAGCCGCCGCTTAGATGGCACAGGCGCAAGGTGAAATACGGGTTGGTCCTAACAACCAGGTAAAGGACATTTATGTACGTATCAAATGACGGAAACGAACGCATCCCAAAGGATCTTATTGTAATTGGAAGTATTTAGTAGTTATGCATGTTTTATTATTAAAATTTTGGAGAAATTTGGAAAGAAAAACGTACTTTTGACGTATGACTCGTTCGCTTTCGTTGTTTGTGTATGCGTAATTGATTTGGACTCGTCCTCTGGTGGGTTATGGTTTTGTGTGTTAGGACGTGGGAATAATACGACGGTCGAGACTGAGTCGAGGCCATCACCACAACCTGGTAAGGAACCGGGTGAAACGAGTTCTGTGACGGAGGACGACGCATCTGAAGACGATAGTGATAGTCGTGAGGCGCAATATCGCTGCTCGCATTGTTTCACTACAAGTAAGTTTTATCCGCCATTTTGTTTTATTAAATACAAAACTATATAATATAATTTATATTTAGACTCACGTGATTGGGCTACTGGTGGTAAAGATCGCCAATTGCTCTGCTACGACTGTCGCGCCTATTACAAGAAAACCAACGAATTACCGCTGGTCAAGGATAAGGATAAAAACGCCAACGCAAGCAGCGACAAGGAATCAACGTATCTATTCCGCCCTGTTGCCGAATCGCCGGACGCCAGTCCACAACGCATGCGCACGCGTAACAAAGCCAAGGAACAGACGAGTAATCGCGGCCAGCGCCCGAAACGCGGCGCGGAGACACCCGAACCCAAAACGCCCGTCAAGCAAGCAACCACAAACACATCCGGCTCTCCAATGGAGAAAACAGCGAACAACGGCACTCCTGGCAAGAGTAGCAAGAAAGGCACCAGCGGGAGTAAGGATTCATCACGCCAGGATAAAGATAAAGAAACGCCGAGTAAGAGTCGCAAGCGTGGACAAGAGAAGCCCGAAGATGTGGGCGATGACGACAAGGATCTCTCGCTGTATAAAAAGAAGCGACCTGGTGAACGCGCCGAGAGTCCATCGAGTATCACGACTGATTCCGGCAGTATTAACGACGAAGCGGAGGCGAATGATGCGGAGAGTGAGAGCGCCAGGGATGTATCATCGCCTGCGCCACCAACGAGCGCTGTAGTTCCGATTATCGAGAAGGAAAAGGAGCAAACACCTGCGCAGACTCCAGAAAAAGAAACTCCTGTTAATATTAAAGACAATAAAGAGAAGAAAACGTCGAAAGTGGAGACATCTACTGTGGCAGAGAATAAACCACCAGTGGTGCAACCAACACCGGTTATAACCACCAAACCGGAAGCAGCGCCATTGAACGTCTCCATTCGTCTACCAGATGATATCAACGAGAGGAAAAATCTCATGAAGAGGAATATTGAACACACTGATATGAAATACTCTTCAGATGCGTTGAAATCCTTCCCGGAAGTCAAAAAAGAAATAAAATCTGAAGTTAAAGCGGAAGCTGATATAAAAGAAGAACAACCGGAACCTAAGGAGCAGATCCCAGCGCCACCTATGAGTCATTCTATCCCTAACCCTGTCACACCTCCGGTTTTACCTCCTGTGACACCAGTGGTATCCGCACCTGCTGCTCCTGCACCGGAAAAGTTCAAAACAGAGTTGATTATACCCAAGATCAACATGGATAAAGTCCAGGTGCATATTAAGGAGGAGATTATGGATACTCCTGAAGCTTTGAACCTCAAAGACCATGACCCTTATAAAGATGCGTATAAACCACCGGAAATGTTACACCTGGGACCTAATCATCCTTTGAATCTGAAGGAATCTTCGATGGAGAGGCCCAAAGAGCAGGTGTTGACTGTAAACCCACAGTTTGTTAATAAAGATAAGGAACCCAGTGGGTTTAATGTGGTACCACCTGGAGGGATGACCCAAGGAGGACCTCCGCCGCCTCCAATGGCGACGAGTGTTCCAGGACCTGCTCCAGGCCCACCTCCGGTAATGCATCCGCAACCATTGAATCATATCAAGATTGAACCGAGGGATGAACCCATGGAGCTGACGAATAACAGTAATAGGGAGTATATGCCCATTGGACCACCTCCACCGCCTATATCACAACCATTGAATATCCCTACGGTGATACCCATGATACCATCGAGGTCCATGGGAGAGTATCCGAATATGCCTGGGTTGCCTCCGCCTTTACCTGGGGTAGTACCTGTTTCCAGTGGTGGGGAGGAGGAAAAACGTGTTGATCCTGCTAAAGATCGTGTGGATAGACAGGAGAGACCAGAAAGGTCTGATTTGAACCTATCTGCACCTCCCATTGGTCAACCTCCTTTACCCTCACTAATGCAGAATAGTAATCTGGTGACCATTGGAGGTAACCAACCCATGAACTCATACTTTATGCCTTATGGACAACATCAACATGGCCCACATCCGCATCATGGTCAGCATTCACCTAGGGATACCAAACCACTGGGTTTACCACCAGCGCCACCTGTCTCCAGTGCTGCACCTCCTATTTTAGGACAAAACGAACCGCAGAATTTGAAAATCAAACAAGAACCTGAGTTGGTAACACCAAGTGGTTTACCATCTTCTATTGCAACAGCTTATGGTCAACACCCTCCATTATCAGTTGGACAGGATAGAGGACCAGGACCAGGACCAGGTGCGTTTGGTCCACCTCCACCTTCAATCATCTCAGACCCTCTACAGAGTTTGAAAGATGTAAAGGTACCAGGGTTCAGTCTCCCTAATGCTGTTGGGCAGATTGATCCACCTGGACCAACTGGACAGAACCACTCATCACATTCTGCAAACATAAACACAAACACAGGAACAGGTGGTACTTCCTCCACGGATATAAACATCAAAAAAGAAGTCCCGGAGTATTCCCTACCACCACCGAGTGCGTCACCTAGTCAAGCGCATCTACCACCAACGATACCCCCACATCCAGGCATGCCACCCATGCAACATCATCCGGGCCTACCACCACACCCACCTCCGAGTTTATCCCGGAATCATCAGCGTCACGTGACCGAGATAGAGACCGTGACAGGGATAGAGAAAGAGACAGGGAACGTGATCGTGATAGAGATAGAGAACGAGACAGAGAGCGAGATCGTGAACGTGATGAGAAACGCGATAGGGAGAGTATCACCCCAAAGCGCACCAGCAGTACCCCCACTCCTATCGTGGTCAGTCAAACACCTCCTCTAAGAGTAATGGCCACCAACTCCCCACAACCCATGTCCAATCATTCAGCGATCAATTTGATCAGTCCCACATCAGCCCTGCATCAAGTACCCACATCACTAGCCCAACAGATGCAACAACATTCACCCTATGGCCCAATGCCACCTCCACATCACCTCATGCATCCCTCACATCTCTTCCCGCATATCCCTCCGTTCCATTCACACCCTTATGGGGCTTATGGGTTTGGTTATCCGTATCCTTACGGGCCCGTGCCACAACCCCATCCGATTCCACCTCCGTCAAGTCAAAGGTCCGTGGAGAAAGCGATTGAGACCTCGACGACCATGTTGTCCGCGCACAATACAAACTCAACCAGTAGTGTCACCACTCGAAGAGAAATCCGTGATGCTGATGAGCATGGATTGGAACGCCATCAGACTCAGGAAACCACTCTGACGCACCATCAAAGCACCTCGAATCACAGCGCTGTGCATCAGTCCATTGAAAAACACCCGTATGGTTCGAATCATTCAATGACCATTTCCCACTCGACTAGTTCCAGTAGTTCGCAGAGTGTGCAGCATAAGGTTAAGCAGAATGTGGTGAGGACTTCATCGCCGCATGGCGCTGCGGTGACGCAAAGCGCGAGTATGAATCATACTAGTGGAGGTGGGCAGCATTCTCATACGCATTCGCATATACATCATCATGAAAGGTTGTCGCCGTTGGGGTTGAGGCATGTGCCGGGTGGGTTGAAACCGCCTGGTGGGCCACCGCCGCAGACTAACCCGCATCATTTGATGATACAACCGCCGAGTATGGGGCATCATCCTCCGCCGCCATTGGGCCCGCCTAGTATGGCGAATTCGTCGCTAGAGCAGTTGAGAGCGCATGCGGCGCAGGCTGCGGCGAATATGCAACAACAACAGCATGCGATGCATGCGGCTGCTGGTGCGCATGCGCCGCCGACGATATCGCCGATTACGCCGAAGGTTGAAGAGGTTAAGATTGAACCGGAGCCGGAGATTGTCGCTGAGGAAGAGCAGACTAGTCCGCTTGGACCACCGAGGGGACCATCACCGGAACCGAGGATAGAGGATTCGGAATGTCATCGAAGTCAAAGCGCAATGTAATTATTTCTGTTAATATTTATATTTTATTGGTTTATAACCTAAATTTTGTATTTATGTTTAGATTCTTGAGGCATTGGAACCGTGGTGATTACAATTCGTGCACACGCACGGATCTAACCTTCAAACCCGTGCCGGATTCGAAATTAGCGCGCAAGCGCGAAGAACGCCTTCGTAAACAAGCAGAAAAAGAACGTGAGGAACGTGAACGCGCCGCGCAGCACCAACAGAGTCGCAAAATCACCACGCCGGATAAACCCGATGTTAAACCGCCATCTCGCGGACCAATGGAAACTGTCACATCACCGTATGACAGATTTCCACGGCCTGGCTTCACCGATACGCCTGCATTGCGGCAACTCTCCGAGTATGCGCGTCCGCATGCCGGATTCAGCCCAGGTAAAGGTAAAGCTCATCCATTTCATTATCATTATCACATCATATCACATCACATTCATTCCATCAACATTAGTATTTAGTTCTGGGGCTGGTTTATTAACTTTTTGTTGTCTTTGCTCACTATGGGCGGTCTAGGTCACATGCAGCGATCGATGATGCAGTCGCATTGTATTGATCCCCTCCTGCAATACCAGATCAATACGGCGGCCATGTACGGACCTGGTGCGCGTGAGCGACTTGAATTGGAACACTTGGAACGCGAGAAGCGTGAGAGGGAGATTAGGGAGTTGAGGGAGCGTGAGTTGAATGATCGATTGAAGGAGGAGATTATGAAGACGGGGATACGCGCGCCGCCCAATCCGATGGATCCGCATTGGTTGGAGTTGCAGAGGCGGTATGCAGCTGGCATGGCTGGACCTGGAGGTAATGTTTTTATATTATATTATATTATTTTAGGTTATGTTTTGTTTTTTGGTTAATTTTTGTTGGTTTTTATAGGACCTGGTGTACCTTTGCATCACTTGGCGTTTTACCCAGGCGCCGGTGCAAGCAGCGCACAACTAAATCAATTGGAACGTGAAAGACTGGAGCGTTTAGGTATACCACCACCGCCCGGCCCGCAGGGGCCACCTGGCGGACCACAGGGACATCATCCACATCCGCATGCAGCACAATTGGAAGCGGAGAGATTGGCGTTGGCGACTGATCCAATGGTATGTTTATAAGTTATGATTTTATTTGTGTTTTTTTTGTTTTGTTTATTTTTCGTTTGTGGATATTTGTACGTTTTGTTTTTGTTGAATAGGTGCGTTTACAGATGGCCGGCATCTCGCCGGAGTACCATGCGCACACGCACGCACACACGCATGCGCACACACACCTCCACCTGCATCCGCAGCAGCAACAAGCGCAGCAGGAGGCGGCTGCGGCTGCTGCTGGTTTTCCACTACCAGGTAAATAATTGCAATACATTCAATAAAATGATAAATATATTAAACATGATTGTGTAAGCATCAGGAACGCCAGGATACCCGCGACCAGGGCTTATTCCGGGCAGGGATGGGCCGCTCGGGTTGCATCATCCGGATATTTTAGGTCGGCCTTATGCTGATCAACTAGCACACCAGGTAAGAGATGCATTTTGATGTGTTTTAAATAAAAATATACATTTTATACACACACGACACTTACACTAGAAACAATTGCAACACACGATTCAGCAACAGTTCAATGGCAACTTTCCACCGATCGGTGCGCTATTTTAAACATGTACACACAAAACAACACAAACAACACACATATTGGTAGTTAGATTGTAGTTTTATTTTGAGAAACATAATAATCATGTTTTGACGGTTTACAGAGACAGATGTTATTGGAACGCGATAGATTCCCACCGCATCCGTCAATTGTCGCTCAGCACGAAGAATATTTAAGGTAAATATTCGGCATTTTTAATTTAAATAAGTTGAAAGACATGCAAAGACACTTTGTATGAAATAAGTTAGTTTTTCATTTGTTACAATTCAAATCGAAAGTGTCAAACATATGAAAGTTAGAGTTAAATGTCAAATATTAGAGGTTGACAGCAGCATTATGGCGCGATATTCAAAATTTGCTCAAAAAGTTACATTGATATATCATCACAGCTGTTAAAATTGCCTATCCATTGTATATCTCCATTGAGGTATACAACATAAACCATCCATGTCATCTATATGATCCCATAAAGCCTCTCACACAAAATGACAACTGTGACTCTTAACATTTCAACCAATCAGCAACCAGGATTTATACACGTCAACCCCCAACTTTTATCCGCCTAGTTTTTGGTAAAAATAATAATCAAATATATTAATAAATGTTTTTGTTTGTAGGCAACGCGACCGTGAGATGAAAGTCCGAGCGCTAGAGGAAGCCGCCCGAGGCGGTTCAAGACAGTAAGGTATCCACCCGCAGCGAACAATCGCTCACTAACACTGATTTTCTTGACTTGTTGCAGGCGCTAGTGACTTTTCAGCAGCTGACTATTTGTACAACATAATTTATAAACCAACCACACACACACACACATTAATTCTAAGGCGTAATTAGCAACTACTAATGAAGCAACAACCATCAAAACAATTTATTTATGAAGTAAAAACGATATCGGCGTGCGCACGCGCGGTTTTGTACATATATACATATAGACGATAACAACTATTATTTTACTACGGACGGTTTTGAATCTAGCGCGTATATTGTATTTGTAAACATGAATTCTGAGATCGCGTTGTGCATTGTATTGTAAATAGGTTTTGCAAGTCAATCATTGCTGCTTTAATATATATCGGAATTTATTTTTAACGAACGACATATATGAATAGGACCAAAAATGGTTTAGGATCAGAAATTGTGTGTGATTTATGTAATTGTTTCCAACGCAAGATGACAGAAAATGATAATACAGGTTTCTTCATTTTCTGTGCGTTGTGGAAACAAAAGCGCATGCGCATACATTTGTACATATAATGACATAGCGTTATTTTCGTAAGGTTTATTACGTTCTCTTCACAATTCGAGTTCTGATTTGGTGATCAAAGTATTATTCTAAATTTATTATCTCCACCGCGATGCTAGATTGTAAGCGTTTTTTGATCGTTTAATATCGGATGTAAGGTTGTTCATGTGCAGATCATGTGCGAAGCGCAAGACATTATACAAAATGGTGGATGGAAGTGTGGCTAAAGAAATATCACACGCGTTTGCACATGAAGCGTCATGTCATGAGACTTGGTGATGTGTTGTTGTACACGCATGCGCAACATGGCGAGTCTTTCGATGGAACGTTTGACACTTAGGTGAAGTAATAATTTATTCAGGTGACGAATGCGCATTAACTTTTAGAAATCTCCCATGTACTAATCTCTATTGTAAAATAATATAAATATATATTTCGCAAGACGGAATGGACGCGGACGCGGAGGCACCACGACGATGCTACATTGGAATATGCGTCAGTGCGCACTGGAAATGGTGTTTGTTGACGTGCGCGTTGGTTTCCAGAATACATTCGCAGAATTATTTATGTTAACGAGAGTATACCAAATTAAACTATGGAAATGGAAAAACTGTAAGAATAACTTTTATTACGTCTGGTGTGGTACATGACTAATTGAAGAGATTAATTTTTGTTTTGTCATTAAGTTTGTGTTAAAGAGGGGTTTGCATACGTTTAAATGTGTTGGAATTCAAAAAAAGAGGTAGAAAAAAGTTGGTTACCCTGGAAGAGTGCAAAATTGACGTAAAACAAGAAAAACACGTTTTAATTTTATAGTAAATAAGCGAAAATACACAAACACTCGTTTGTGCATACCTAACAGAAGAAACACGAAATAATTACTTTTTAAGTTTTTTATAACTTATTTATTCAAAACTAAAGTGTCAAACATGACAATTTCATTTGGTTGGGATTGAAATGTCAAATATCAGAGGTTGACATGCAGCATTTTGGCGCGATATTCAAAATTTGCTAATTTAATACCTCGAAAAATTACATTGATACATCCCCACTGCTCTTAAAAATTCACTTCCATTGTATGTATACACCATTAAGGTATACAACATAAACCATCCATGTCATCTACATGATCTTATAAAGCCTCTCACACAAAATGACAACTGTCACTCAAAACTTTCAACCAATCACCATCCGATTTCAACACGTCTACCTCAACTATCCCTCTTCCATTCCAACCATATCACACACCACAATCCACTGTATTTATGCATCAACCACGCCACCCGTACTAGTTTCACGTACTACTCCTGAGTTAGTCAGTCAGTCAGCCGCCACCAGCGCGAGTGTCCGCACGTCGCTGCCACTGACACGCGTGCCGAGAAACAAAAACACTTTCCTCGCCCCCCCGGGGCGATTGTTTACGCCGTGTGAGTGTGTGCTGCGGTCCGTGCGCGTCAAAAGTGTTTTCTCGTTTTCCATCCCCGTGCACGTCATATACATCCACCGCAGCGATGTCCCTCAACTAGAATCAGCCGCATTAGTTATTCATACACGCGCGTTTTGTACTCATTGTTTTGGTCTGCGCACACACAGCCACGCAACGCACACAATATTTCAACATACGAATTCAAGAAATTCAGTTCTAATGAACTCGATGCTCGGTTTACAACGTTTACAATGGTTATGTTAAAATTAGAGGAACAGGTCAGTGCTGCAAATACAAATTAAATTCATGAAAATTATATGAAAAATAATTAAATTATTGATAAATTTTTTAGCCGCTGTTGATTCAGGCTATATTCAATGGTGAATTGGAGGATGTCCGGCAGTTATTAGCATTCAAACCGGACGTGAATTACCAGGATGCGGAAAAACGCAGTCCGTTACGCAGCTGCCTTCAAAAGGTGATCGCGATTTGTGGTTATTGCTTGCTGGTGCAAGGTGCTGGGATCAATACAGAAGATTCAGCTGGTTGACACCATTGCGCATGAGGGCTTGTGGTGTTTGTGTGCTGATGTAAGTTATAAAGCTTTGATTGATATAATGTGATTGGATTTCATGTTTTTAAGTTGCTTATAAAAACTGCAATTTTCGGCACTTTTTCGTAGGGTTTTCTATGAAATAATTGCGTATTGGTGATAGAAACTGATTTAGCTATGATTTTATACAAAGTATAAAGATTCTGTTCTAATTTATACGCGAATTATAATTTTAGAAAACCCTTTAAAAATGAAATACTTGCAAAAATTGCATTTTTCGCTACTTTTGCGTTAAACTTGGAAGCAAATGATTGTTTAGAGTGATAAACAACATCGTATCTATTGTTTAATGCAAAACAGAAGATTTAGTCATTTGTTTGCGAGAGTTATAGCAAAATTTTACAAGAAAAACCTTTGAAAAATGATAAATATTTATAAAAACTGCAATTTTTGGTAGTTTTCGGTCGGATTTTCTGTGAAATAATTGCCTGTGGTGATAGATAATTTAGTTATCTATGATTTTATATAAATTGTAAGATTTTATCTTGATTTATTCGCGAATTATAACAACAAAATCAAGAAAAACCTTAGAAAAATAAGAAATTCTTATAAAAATTACAATTTTGCTACTTTTCCGGTGAATTTTGTATAAAATGATTATCTATAGTGATAAACAACAACATTAGCTCTTGTTTAATGCAAAATAGAAGACTTTGCAGTTATCTATTTGCGCGTTATAGCGAAAAATGCACGAAAAAGACTAAAATTCTTAAGAAATATATAAAAATCGCAATTTTTCATAATTTTTCGTCGGAATTTCTTGAATATAATTGCATGTGGTAATAGACAATTGAATTGTCTATGATTTTATACAAAGTATAAGATTCTATCCTAATTTATTCATGAGTTATAACAGAAATTTCAAGAAAAAACTTAAAAAAATGAGATAGTATTATGAAAATTGCAATTTTTGCTAGTTTTGCGTTAAATTATGAAGAAAATGAATGTCTACAGTGATGAACAATATTATTAGCTATTGTTTTATGCAAATTACAAGGCTTTGTGATAATTTATTTACAAGATATTGCAAAATATGCCAGAAAAAGCCCAAATTTTTTTTAAAAACTTATAGAAATCACAATTTTTTTTAGTTTTCCGTGGGATTTTCTTTAAAATAATGGCCTCTGGCAATAGACAATTTGATTATCTATGATTTTATAAAAGTTCTACCATTCTATCTTAATTTATTCGCGAATTATAACAAAAATTTCAAGAAAATTCTTCAAAAAATGAGAAATATTTATAAAAATTGCAATTTTTGCTACTTTCTCGTTACATTTTTAAGAAAATGATTGCCTACAGTGATAAACAATATCATTATCTATTGTTTAATGCAAATCAGAAGACTTTCTGATAATTTATTTGCACGCAAAATGCTAAAATTCTTAAAAAACTTGCAAACTTTCAAGTTAAAAGTTTGCTAATTTTCCCGTTTTTTAGGATACAGTCGAGTTGCTCTTAAAACACAAAGCCGACACAACCGCCCGCGACAGACAATGGCAAACACCCCTACACATCGCCGCCGCCCACAACGCCCTCGGCTGCATCCAGCACCTACTCAACCACATCACCAACGTGAACGTCACCGACCGTTCCGGCTGCACGGCGCTGCATCACGCCGCCCTGAATGGCCACAACGAAGTGGTGGAACTCCTCCTCTCGAAAGGAAGTATAGTTAATGCCTGTGATAAAAAAGATTGTCGTCCAATCCATTGGGCCGCGCATCTCGGCCATGTCGACACCGTTAGCATCCTGATTCAAAAGGGCGCTGATATCAACGTGAAAGATCGCAATCAGTACACGCCATTGCACGCGGCGGTCGCTTCCGGTATGGTGTACGTGTGTAGTCTGTTGCTCAGAATTGGAGGATGTCCGGCAGTTATTAGCATTCAAACCGGACGTGAATTACCAGGATGCGGAAAAACGCAGTCCGTTGCACGCAGCTGCCTTCAAAGGTGATCGCGATTTGGCTGAGTTATTGCTGGTGCAAGGTGCTAGAGTCAATACGAAAGATTCCAGCTGGTTGACACCATTGCATAGGGCTTGTGGTGTTTGTGCTGATGTAAGTTACATAAACTTTATATTTTGATTGATTTAATGTGATTGGATTACTAGTTTTTGAGTTGCTTATAAAAACTGCAATTTTTGGTACTTTTCCCTTGGGTTTTCGGTGAAATAATTGCATGTGGTGATAGAAACTGATTTAGCTATGATTTTATACAAAGTATAAGATTCTGTTCTAATTTATACGCGAATTATAACAAAATTTTAAGAAAACCCTTTAAAAAATGAGAAATACTTGCAAAAATTGCATTTTTTCGCTACTTTTGCGTTAAACTTGGAAGCAAATGATTGTTTAGAGTGATAAACAACATCATTATCTATTGTTTAATGCAAAACAGAAGATTTTGAGGTCATTTATTTGCGAGTTATAGCAAAATTTGCAAGAAAAAACTTTAAAAAATGTGACATTTTTATAAAAACTACAATTTTTGCTACTTTTCCATCGGATTTTCTATGAAATAATTGACTGTGGTAATAGATAATTTAAATATCTATGATTTTATATAAATTGTAAGATTTTATCTTGATTTATTCGCGAATTATAACAAAAAAATCAAGAAAAACCTTTGAAAAATAAGAAATTCTTATAAAAATTGCAATTTTTGCTACTTTTCTGGTGAATTTTGTATAAAATGATTGTCTATAGTGATAAATAACAACAATAGCTCTTGTTTAATGCAAAATAGAAGACTTTGCAGTAATCTATTTGCGCGTTATAGCGAAAAATGCACGAAAAAGACTAAAATTCTTAAGAAATTTATAAAAATCGCAATTTTTCTTAATTTTTCGTCGGATTTTCTTGAATATAATTGCATGTGGTAATAGATAATTTAATTATCTATGATTTTATATAAAGCATAACATTCCATCTTAATTTATTCGCGAATTATAACAAAAAATTCAAGAAAAAAAATAAGAAAAATAAGAAATTCTTTAAAAAATTGCAATTTTTGCTGGTTTTGCGTTAATTTTTTAAGAAAATTATTAACGACATTGATAAACAATATCATTATCTTTTGTTCAATACCAAACTGATAACTTTTCGGTCATTTATTTGCAAATTATACAAAAAAAATGAACGAAAAATGCTAAAATTCTTTAAAAAACTTATAAAAATAACAATTTTTGTTAATTTTCCGTAGAATTTTCTATAAAATAATTGTCTACAGCAACAGACAATTCAAATATCTATAGTTTTAAACAAATTGCATGTTGCTGTTAATTTATTCGCCAGTTATAGCAAAAAATCTAAAAAACAAACTAAAAGATAGGAAATACTTATAAAAATTGCAATTTTGCCACGTTTTAGTTAAATTTTGCATTAAATGATTGTCTACAGTGATAAACAATATAATTAACTCTTGTTTAATGCAAAACAGAAGACTTTGTTGTTATTTATTTGCAAGTTTTAGCCAAAAACGCACGAAAAGAGCTAAGATTCTTAAGAAACTTATAAAAATTACATTTTTTTGTTCATTTTCCGTAGAAAATTCTATAAAATAATTGGTTATTGTAATAGACAATTTAATTATCTATGATTTTATACAAATTACAAGGTTCTACCTTAACTTATTTGCGAATTATAACGAAAAATTCAAAACAAATCTGTAAAAATATTTATAAAAATTGCAATTTTTGCTACTTTCTCGTTACATTTTTAAGAAAATGATTGCCTGCAATGATAAACAATATCAATATCTATTGTTTAATGCAAATCAGAAGACTTTCTGATAATTTATTTGTACGCAAAATGCTAAAATTCTTAAAAAACTTGCAAATCTTCAATCCAATCATGGTAAATCACTAATCTATAATTTAAAACATAAAATTTGGTTATGTTTCATACTAATTTTCCCCTGTTTTTTAGGATACAGTCGAGTTGCTCCTAAAGCACAAAGCAGACACAACCGCTCGCGACAGACAATGGCAAACACCCCTACACATCGCCGCCGCCCACAACGCCCTCGGCTGCATCCAGCACTTACTCAACCACATCACCAACGTGAATGTCACCGACCGTTCCGGCTGCACGGCGCTGCATCACGCCGCCCTGAATGGCCACAACGAAGTGGTGGAGCTCCTCCTCTCGAAAGGAAGTATAGTTAATGCCTGTGATAAAAAAGATTGTCGTCCAATTCATTGGGCCGCGCATCTCGGCCACGTCGACACCGTCAGCATCCTGATCCAAAAAGGCGCTGATATCAACGTGAAAGATCGCAATCAGTACACGCCATTGCACGCGGCGGTCGCTTCCGGTATGGTGTACGTGTGCAGTCTGTTGCTCAACGCTGGTGCTGATGCAAACGCACAGAATGCGTTCGGCAACACGCCATTGCACATCGCGTGTCTCAATGGCCATCTATCGGTGTGTCAGATTTTACTCGCGCATGATGCCAATCTCGAAGCGGCGAATTATAAAGGGCAGACACCGTTGCATATCGCTGCGGCGAGCACGCAAGGTGTGGGATGCCTGGCGTATTTGCTAGAACAGGAGAATATTGATATTAATCGGCAGAGTGCGGATGGACGGACGCCATTACACATGAGTGCGATTTATGGTAGGTTTACACGGAGTAAGCGGTTGATTGACAAGGGCGCCGTGGTGGATAAAGCGGACAAGAATGGAAACACGGCGTTGCATATCGCTGCGCAGTATGGACACGATATACTTACAGCGACTTTGTTGGATTTTGGTGCTGATCCAGTCAAACGAGGGTAAAACATTTAAAAATTAGTTTTATTGTTTATAATGATTGTTTTCTTTGTAGATATGAAGGAAGAACACCGTTGCATGCCTGTTGCTTGTCGGGTTATGTTGAAGTCTGCAGGAAATTTTTACAGAGACCTGTAGATTTGAACATTGTGGATGATCATGGCAGAACGCCGATTCATTGTGCAGCGTATAAAGGGTGAGTGGTATGCAACCAATTATACAGATATACATTCTTATGCGCCTAACATTTAAAAATCATAGTATGCAACCATTTATACAGATATACATTTATATACACGTAACTTGTCAAAATCATGCTATGCAACCAATCATACACCTATAAGTTTATATACACATGACATATAATAATCATGGTATGCAACCAATTATACTCTTTTTTAACATTTCAGGTCCGTTGAGTGTTTGGATTTATTAGTCTCTCGCGGTGGTGATTTCAAACTACAAGACAGCATCGGCCGCACAGCGTTACACTACGCCGCCGTGCGAGGTCACTACAACTGTGTGTACACACTAGTTGGCATTGGTTCCAAGGTAAATGTATTAGACTCGGAGGGTTGCAGCGCGTTGCATCTTGCGGCTGCGTACGACATGGAAGCCAAATGCGTCGAATATCTCATCGCGCATAAAGCTGATCCTCTACTAAAAGACATCCGAGGTTTCACACCAATACATTACGCCGTCAACGGCAGTAATCGCCTCTCATTGGAGTTGTTACTCAAAGCAATCGGTAAAAATATCAATTTTCTCGATGTTGACATGCCGGAAACGACGCCATTGCACTTGGCTGCGCGTCATGGTGAACTCGACATTCTGCGCTCGATTATCCCCTACTTTCCCGAGACGAATATCAAAACAAAAGAGGGTTATACACCATTATTGGTTGCTGCGCGTGAAGGCCACACGCCCAATGTGCAGATGTTGTTGCGTTACGGCGCAAAAGTAGCGATTTGTGACGATGTCGCCGGAATGTCACCCGTGCATCATTCGGCGAAGAACGGCCATTTGCATTGTCTCGCGCTATTGGTTGACAACTCCGAGGTGAAGAGTGTGATTGACAGACGGGATAAATACGAGCGCACGGCGCTGATGTTGGCGATTTCGGGTGCGCATCAGGATTGCGCACTGACACTGCTAAAGAGCAACTCGGATCCGAATATTGTCGACGCCGATCAGCACTCGTCGCTGTTTCGTGCCGTGGTGACGGATCAGAATAGCGTGGTGCAGTTGCTCATCGCGTGCGGGTCGAATCTCACCGCGCCGGATGTCAACGGCAAGACTGTGCTGCATTTAGCGGCGGCGTGCGGCCATCTTAAATGTCTACAGAAGATTCTACAGAGTGTGGATGAGCAGGATGCGTTGGTGCTGGATAAGAATGGGTTTAGTGCGTTGCACTGGGCGTGCTACTATGGGAATACTAGTTGTTTGGATTATTTACTGCAGAGGAATATTTATCATAAGTTGGATGGGAATATTTTTACACCAGTGCATTGCGCAGCGTAAGTGTTAATATAGTTGCCTATAGTTATACTATAGTAGTATATGTATGGGTATACTATAGGCAACCAATCATACACATTTATGACATTTTGTTAAATTCCGTGTTTTTTGTCAGTTTTACAGGTTCAGAAAGGTGTCTGGAACTCCTGCATACGAAATTTGGCGTAGATTGCCTGCGTGCGAAGGACAGCCGCAATCGCACGCCGTTGCACTTGGCCGCATGGCATGGACACGCTGATTGCGTGCGCTTCCTGCTCGATAATGGCGGCGATGTCGAAGCGAAGGACGAGATTGGCCGAAGTCCACTAATCTCGGCTGCGCAGAACGGTCAAAGTCAAGTCATAGGTAAAAAAAAATTAATCTATTCTTTATTAATATTTGTTTAAAATTATTTGTTTAATTAGATTTATTACTGGCGCACAAAGCTGATCTCAAAGCCGCTGACGCCAACGGCTGCACAGCGCTGCACGTTGCTTGTCTCAGGAAGCACAATCACACTGCCCTGCTCCTACTCGAATACATCAACGACGTGGAGATTATCAATATGGTGGATAACGATAAAAAAACGTAAGTTTAATCTTTAAAATTACTAAAATTTTAGGTTATGTATGTTTTTTTTGTTTGTTTTGTATTAGTGCCTTACATTTATCTGCACGCAACGGATTGGTGGAAGTCACCGCTGAGTTGATAAAGAAGGGCGCATCGGTTGTAGCGACGGATAACAATGGCCTCACCCCAGCGCTGTACTGCGCGCCGAACGCATGCGTCGCCCAATGCCTCGCCATTATTCTCGCGCATCATCCAAGCGAGATGCGCGTCGGTGGGTTGCATACCAAAGGTACGTGAAATAACCATAACCCCTCAAATCCTTGATTTAACATAAAAAAAACCTTTATTTCACATCCTAGAATGTATATCCGTGCTGAAAAAACTCTCCCGCACCTCAACACGCTCCTCTAACCTCCTAATCAAATCCTGCCAGACGGAAATGTCCCTTTTACGCAACCAGCATGAATTATTCCTCGTTGACGTGGCGAAACACCGCCGAAAAAAACGCTCACCACATGAATTACCTCCACCCAAACGCGAATCATTTAATAAATCAGCGAAATACACCGCGGATAAGAAACTAGTTCTAATTGAAAACTACGACAGTGAAGAATTCGACGTCGCGCCGCTCAAAAACCAAAAAGGTTTGTCTTTACACCGCAGTTATTCGGACATGTCATTGGTCGCGGCGAATACACACGAGAATAATCGGTTTACCACGGCAAACAACGACGATGATTATAACACCGAAGAAAACAAAGATGGCCGGCACGCGCATGACACCCGCGAGGCCACCTATCAGCGCCTCATCGACGGGTATAAAACAATCGCGTTGAAAATGGCGCGTGTGTCGAGTAAGTACGATGTCTCCGTCGACGATATACAGAAAGCATATGTTGATCAATACGCAAAACATCGAAAGAAGAAGTTATCCGCGTGCGGGTTGCCATTACCATCGGTATCATGTCCGATTTTAACACCGAAGAAACACGAGTTGGAAACTGTAGATGAAACTAACATAGAGGGCGCGCAAGTTGATGTAGAGGTGACGTGTACAACCGAAACTGAACGAACAGAAGATATCATCATAGCCGATCGAAGTGAAGAGCAGGAGAATAAAGGGTTGCCGCCATATGCGACGATTGTTTTTTCACCACCGCCGCCATCTTTGTGTTTCGCATCATTCAACAAAGTGGAAAACGACGCGACGACATCCACGGAAGAAACATCCACATCCTCATCGGATATTCTACTCAACGGTGAATTCTTATATGAGAGTTATACAATCCCCGATCCGCCGAAGCCATATTGCGACTGTCAATTTGTATGCAAAAATTGTGTTCTCCTGAATCGTTATGATTTCGACAATTTGGAGGCGGGCGATGCGCGGGGTGATGCAGAAAAAGGTTTGCAATGTTCACATTCACAGGAATCCGTCGCTGAAGACTACAAAGGTAATTTTCCTTGTTATAATCCCTCGCAAGGTGAATGTCAAGGTCAAGCTCAAGGTCAAAATGTCATAGATGTGGATGATGATGACCAGCATGAAATAATCCCTCTGGAGAATTTGACAGTTGGTGATACAAAGGTTTTCATCGGTGAGGGCGCCATTAGAAAAACTCTTCAAGGTCAACGCAGTGAAGAGAAAGAAGTTCTTATTAAGGATCAATGCGCAGGTGAGAAGACCAACGCTGATGAACAAATCGAAACGCTGGATATCACGCTAGAGGGTTTAGAATGTCCGTTGAATGACTTTCTGGATGAAGATGGCGACGTGGATGTCAATTGGCCCAAGGTGACCTTTGATGAAGGTCGCGTGAAGATCCCGACGGATATCAATGAAAATCCAACGCGTGATTTGGATTGGTCGTTGTTCACAGATGATATTGACTTGAAGGCGTCGGAGTCACTGACGAATGTTGCATGCGCATGCGCGGCTAATGATTATGTCGGTTTGAGTTGTGTGACATCTTCATGTACACATATACCTTGCTCAGCGTCGGGTACGGTTGATGAGTTTAGTGTTAATGATTCGTTGCATGTGGCCACGTCGGCGACTGAGTTGATTCCGGTGGTTTCAGAGGGGTGTTGTACACAACAGGTTAGGAATGACTCAGAAACGGTTAGGAATAATCATAACCTTAAATTGCATCAGAGCGGGTTGACATTGAATGAAATACCGTCGAGTTTATTGACTACAACTACTTCTACTACTTCTACTGAGGTTAGTGATACTAGTCCGAAACATAACCCCAAATTATTGCGTGATTCCGTCGCCATTGTTGACTTTTCCGCGTTGTTTCCCAAACAAAACGCGAAAAAATTAAAGCCTTGCATGTCTACGGATAATCTAGAACAACAGGAGCAAGAGAAAGAGTTGTTGAAGGTGATTTGTCATGCGCAGGACAAAATAAAACGGTTTAGTTATCAAGAGATGGTTGATTTAAGCGAAGGGTTGAATATGTCACAAGAAGCCAAAGCAATGGCGCGGAGGTTAATCGAACAATTCGCAAATACCCAACCACAACACTTAAAAATAAACAATGAATCACAAGAAGAAGATTTAGCGTTGAAGTTGAGTGATTCTGGTTCTGATTCAGGCTGTGAATCACTAAATACCAGTTCATTGGAAAGTGTGCCCAGCGCGCCATCTTTATGGGAAATCACACAACTAAAACACGATGCAGATGAAGATGACGAACATGATGAACACAAAGAGGTTAATGATGCGAAGAAGGCGCTGAACAGCGGGAAAGGTAAAAAGACGAAGCGGCAAGATGACAATAAATGCCACCTGCAATAATATTCCTGTATAAAATCCTATTAATCATGATTTGAATGCAATGTAAATTCCTGTAAGATTTCAACCGCGTTGTTTTATTTGTGGTTTGTTTTGGTTTGCATTGTTGCAGTTCATCAGTCGAATTCGCACGAGTCCTTCCTTACCGACGGCAAGAAGCAGCGTCATGTGAATCATGTGCGCACGGATGCGCATGCACCGTATTACATGCAAATGGCGGCGAATTCAGCGCACAATTTGACAGCCGACGAGGATGGTAGTTTCGACGGCAGCGATCCCGAGTTTTATTGAGTTTACAACTAGTTTTGTTTTTATATTATTACCAGTTACAGTTTACCTGATGACGATATTTGATTGATATTGATGAGAGAGGTTTGAATACTCATGAGTTTTGTTATGTTAGGCATTATTTAACTAGCGTGAATATCATTCCAATTTAATTATAGGTTAGGTGCGTTTTAACCTAACTGTAAGCAATTGTTACATTAATACTAAATTTTAGGCGGAATTCCGAGCAGAAACAAACAAAAATGGCGCGCGCGCGGGCGAGGCGGAAATGTAAAAGACTGACAAATGGAATCTTTTTTACATGTTTTTATTATGATGATCTTTAAATTATTATTGGTGTGCGGGTGGATGAAAATGATGATGAATTGTGTATTTGTACGCATTTATAAATAATTGCAATCGAAAAACAAAGCAAAACACAATTTTTACCTACTAATTACTAATATAATATGTGATTGATAGAGCGCCATCTGTGGTGAATGCCCGTAACTAAAATAAGGGTTGCTTGCGTTGTCAGGGTGAAAGTGGAGCACGTTTGACAGCCGCACAAAACGTTGCCCGCAAGGCGTTCTCTCCCGACCTGGGCCAACTGCGCCAGTGTGCGCGCTCTGCGATGGCGGACGGCTTCCTGCAGGTGGAGAACGTCGTCGAGGTGTCGCCGCCCACGCCGAAGCCGTTCTCCTTCGCCAAGGAGGACTGGCCCGACTGGATCGCGCACTTCGAGCGCTATCGGCGCGCCACCAAGCTGGACACCTCCGATGCACGCGTGCAAACCTCATCACTCCTGCTGCACATGGGTCCACGCAGCACACGCATCCTGGAGGAGATGCAGCAACCCGAAGAAGCTTTCATCTCCTATGAACAACTCGTACGTGCCATCGAAGCATACTTTCAAAGCCGAACAAATGTGGTCTTTGAACGCGCCAGATTCAATCTACGAGCACAAAAAGAAGGCGAACCCGTTGAAACCTACATAGCTGCTGTATGTCGACTTGCAAAAGGTTGCAATTATGGCGAATTGGAAGCGGAATTGGTGCGTGATCGACTCGTGGTCGGTATACGCGATAAAAAGTGCTCGGAAGCGCTGCAAATGGAAGAGAATTTAACCCTGGAGAAGGCCAAAGCGATTATAATCCACGCCGAGAATATAAAACGTGTGAAACATGCGAATGCGGCGAAAGGCAGAGGGAATGGTTGCACGAATGGATCGGATGCATGTGGTAGATGTGGGAAGCGACCTAGTCATCCACTTGGAAGCTGCCCGGCACGTGATGCCAAGTGCACGAAATGTGCCAAAAAGGGACACTTTGCGAAGTGTTGTCAAACCAGCCAGAAGGTCATTGATAAATGCAAAGAAAAAGAGAAGCAAAAGGAAGCCGAAGCGACTGCTACAACGACAGGGGATAAAGAAAAACGCGGCGCGACGCAGAAGGAGGAAAGCTTCGAGTTTATTTAACACACGACGCCATTACGCTCTGCTCATCTCTGCCATGGAAACATTTCCAAGACTTATAGTAATATAATTACATTCTCCACACACACAAAAAGATATCAAAAATATATTAGATTCTAAGCTATACATAATACAACATCTAGTTAATAAGTTATCGAAGCGAGTTATTGAATGAACGTGCAATAATATGTAATAATTCGAAACTACGCTCAATTGTTTCACTTTTACGAAAAAACGAAAAACCTTTTTGACAGTTTAGTTTTAGTTTAGTTTTAGTTTTAGTTCATAAAACCACCACTGGTGGATTTCAATGTAATCGTGTAACATCGGGTGGGATCGTCATGCGGCCATGTTTGATTTGACGGCCGCTGCGACATGTTTTCGACAGTCGTCGATCACCTGTTGGGCGTGCTGGTGCTGGTGCTGGTGCTGCATCACGTAATTCATCCGTGTATCCCTGTGTGTACCGTGATCGTCGTTTGTTTTTGCACGGCGTGATGGAGGATAGACTGCGTGAATTGTTTCTGGAACTCGTGTAATCCATACAGGCATGGGTGCGAAGGATAGCAAGCGCACCTGCCTCGGCTACGACGATGCCGTCAAACGCAGTGAGTATTCACCATTCACCATTCACGACGACTGGCAACGCAATAAACAACAATCGCGATTTGTTTTTTTTTTTCATTCTGCATCGCTTGCATTTACAGTGCAGGCGCGCGTTGTTCATTATCTAATCACGTCGTGTGCATACAAACCGTCTCGTTTTAATGCCCGTTTCCGATTGTTTTCATTAGTCAGCGTGTTGTGCATCCGCGCAGCTCGCTGGGGACACACATTTCCACACTTCGGCTGCCTTCGCGCACGCACGACGCCAATGTCGCAATTTGTTTATTTGTTATTCTTTCTTTTGCGCTTGTTTACTCGCGCCTGCGCCATCTTGAATCTTTTCGCGTTTTCTTCGTTATCTCGCTGAGTGATTAGCGTGATAACGACGACGTCATACGAAATCACATGATGACAATTTAATTTAATTTATTGTTTGGTATTAAATGTGCGCGCACAATTACATCACATTCGCGGTGTGTGTGTTAATTGCGTGCCGGCGCACGTCAATCGCGTAATTAATCAATGCGCACGTTTTTTTGAGCTGGACGTGCGCATGTTTTATTTTATATATTTTTTATTGAGAAAATGCATGGAGATAGATTTTGAGGGGACATAAATCAGTTTTGTTATGGAGGAGAGGTGTAGAGTGAGTTTGTGACCTTGACGCGATGCTAATTAACATTAACAGCAATAGCGGCGACGTCATGATGCAACTAGTATGCAGGCTGGAATAATAACAATGTTGTGATTGTTTTGTAGTGTCGGATGCGGAGTTCAAGAGAGTATGCGAAGCATTCAAGCGTCTTACCGGGGAAGCCGCTGCTGGTGCAGCAGGCGTTCGTGCAGTATGTGTTGGGTGATGGGGTGCCATCGACGATTGCTGATTCGTTGTACACGGCGTGTGGAGGTAGTCCAAAGGGGATTCATTTGAGGGATCTTATTTGTGGGCTGGTGTTGCTTACGAAAGGGACTAAAGATGAGAAGATTAAGTGAGTATTATCAGTATTATTTTGTTTATTTTTGTTAGTTTTGGTTAAAATCAGCTTGAAATTGGCAAAATCTTGAAATAAACAATAGTTTTATATGAAAACACTTGAAAAACTATCAGGAAATTGTTGTTATTAACGTTTTTGGTAAAATTATTGCAAATCAATGTAATTTTTGTTTCTTTAGCAGATTTACCTGTTTAATACACTTCTGTATTGTTTATAAAAGTGTCTTGTGTAAAACTATTGTTTATTTTAGTATTTCTGCAAGTTTTATGCTGATTTTACTCAAAACTTACATCAGAAAACAAAATTTCTTCTTGTTTTCTTCTTTTTTTTCTTTTTTTTTCTTTTCTTATTTTTTGTTTGATTTTACATAAATATAAGTCTACACATGTATTTATTATTTTTATTGTCCAGGTTCTTGTGGAATTTATACTCGAACGATGCATGTACGCAAATCACAAAATCCGACTTCCTGCAAGCTCTGCAAGCCGAAGGAACACTATCACCACAGCGGAATGCATCGAATCACTATTGGGATACGACTCTCCTGAGTCTGTTTGGTAATGGACATGATCGTGTTGGATACGAGCAGTTTCGTGATTTCATTGTGCGCTTTGAGGATGCTACAGTTCTTTCAAAATGGTGAGTATAATAATTATAATAATGACAAATATCTAATCTAATTGGATATTTATTTATTTTATTTTATATATTTTTGATTTTGTAGGCTGTTAACGTCGAATGGTGTGAGTCTAAGTTCGGAACTGGAGACGCCTACGTTCTACCAGTCATTGGCAGGCGTTACGCATTTAGAAGAGTGGGATATCTGCGAGTTGGAGAAGTGTTTCTGGTCGTTGCAAGGCACTTCACCGTCGGGGCAATTGGATATCAATGCGTTTATGGCTTTGGTTAGCCCGCCGGTGCCGACTAGTGCTTGTACAGGGTAAGTTAAAGGGGTTTATTTGTATTATGGGACATTACTTGGGGTAGAGAGGGAAAGCAAAGGGAAAGTTTCTTGTAATGTTAGTTTATACCTGTAGAAAGTGGTGGGGGAAGGTATATATGCGAGGATTATCCGCACTCATTGATTGCGGGAGGTAACTACAAGTCTTCCCCCACCACTTTTTGTGGGTTTTGAAGGATTTGTCTCTTTTTTCTTTTTTTTCTTTTGGTCTTTCATTAGAGTAGAGGTTGTTGGTGATTTAATTTTACAAGTAGTCTATGATTTAACCGAGTTTTTTTTATGTAATACTAATAAATTTTATATTTTTTAGGTTATTTCTTGCTCTTGATGTCAACCGTGATGGACACATCGACTTCAAAGAACTCTGCTGTGGTATCTCCGCTGCCTGTCGAGGTCCAGTCGCAGAAAGAACCAAATGTAAGTTATTATCAACTTTTATTTATAAAATTTTAAAAACTTTCCCTCAGTTTGTTTCAAAATCTTCGACGTTGACCGCGACAACCAACTCGACGCGAAAGAATACCAACACATGATCGAAATCCTCCTCATGGTGATGAAAGAGCACCGCAACGTCGTCTGCAAGAAGAACTCCACCAACGGCACCACCACCCTCGAACGCCGCCTCTCCAACGAGCAAAAGAACGAAAAATACTGCACCAAAGCCCTCGAAGAACTCCGCACGCATCTCGACGACAAAGGCTGCTTATCCCAAGAGGACTTCCTCGTCTGGTGCGTGGAACACAGCGTGATGGTCGCACCACTCCTCGAACTCCTCTTCCAAGTCTGCCATGTATCCCTAGGCCTGCGCCCAAAATGCCGCCATCACGAGCACGAAATCGTCACCGGGTGGCTAGAACGCGAACAACACCGCGGGTATCGCGTCGGCCAGTTCTGGTACCTCATCGCCAACGACTGGTGGCAGACGTGGTTCACCCATACAACCGCACCACGCAACGGGCATGATTATTGCACATGCAGACCGGAAATGCGTCTACCTATAGACCCAGCTGAGGAAATCGTGTGTGATGAGAGTTTTACATCCAACTCTACAGATTACACCTCACATTCGAATGAATTCACATCAAACTCCACGGATTCTATGGGTGATCTACTCAGTCGGGGTGATAGTTGCAGTATTGCATCCAGCAGCGGGGTTTCAAGCAGTTCCGGGACACTTACCAAGCGCCTAACACCAGGTCCCATTGATAATAATGCTTTGGTATGTGATCCTATCTCTGAACAGTTGAAAGTCATCCCGTTGACTGGTGAAGGATCACGTCTACGGCGTGATACACCATTGGTCCAAGGTAGGGATTTTGAATTGATTCCGGATTCACTCTGGAAAGCCCTTGCGTTATGGTATGGTAGTCCATTACCCCTCCCAAGACAGGTGATAAAACCACCGGGGAGTAACGAAATGGAACTTGAATTATACCCGTTGAATCTGAAGATATTCCGACATCAGAACCAAGGCGGTGTTGGTTTTGCCCAAGGTGGTAGCGCCACTGCTTCCCAGGGTACATGGGCGACTGTTGGTGGGTATGGAGCTGCAGCGTTGTCATCCGCTGGTATATCCGCGCAACCCTCAGCACCACGCAGGTTTTTAACTCATACAGCTGCATTCAGTCGTTTGTCTAATATCAGACAAGTCACGGAGTTTCTAGCTGCGCGTCTGGGTCTGCGCATGGAAGATGTCCGCCTGTGGTTGTTAAAAGACAACACACAACCGATTCTACTCGAGGAAGACGCCGCGACTTTACAGGATTTATCTATTGTTGATTCTGATTCTATTTTATTGGAGGTTAGGAATAAGGATTTAACATGGCCGGAGGAACTGGGTGCGTTGGCTTGTGGCACGAATAATATGTTAACGGTGCATGCGAGTTCGGAACGCCGTCCGACGATTTCACTACCGCCTGGCGCCACTGGTCTGCATAATCTAGGCAACACGTGTTTCATGAACGCGGCGCTGCAAGCGGTGAGTAACACACGGCCATTAACGCAGTATTTCCGGCGTGATGCGCAGCTTTGTGAGTTGAATTCAACGAATCCGCTGGGGACAAAGGGACAAGTCGCCAAGCGTTACGCGGAATTATGTCGGGAGTTATGGGCTGGATCAACACGTTCTGTAGCTCCGTTGAAGCTACGATGGTGTGTGAGTAAACACGCGCCGAATCTCGGCGGTGGTGGGCAGCATGACTCGCAGGAATTACTCGCGTGGTTGCTGGATACTCTCCATGAAGATTTAAACAGAGTACATCGTAAGCAATACACGGAATTACGCGATTCCGATGGCCGACCGGATGCGATTGTTGCCGACGAGGCATGGGCGCAGCATTTAGCGAGAGATCATTCGATTATTACGGATTTATTCTATGGGCAGTTGAAGAGTAAGGTTACGTGTCAGACGTGCGGGCATGAGTCGGTGCGTTTCGATGCGTTTAATCTGTTGAGTCTGCCGTTGCCAATGGAGTCGTATACGTTGTGTGAGGTGCTTGTGGTAAGACTGGATGGGGATATACCGATCAAATATGGCCTCCGGTTGAATTCCGAAGCGAGGTATATTGATCTAAAGCATGATTTGGAGAAGTTGTCCGGGGTGAATGCCAATCGGCTGCTGATTGCCGAGGTGGCGTACTCGAGGATTCGGCAGATGATGAAGGATAATGCCAGGATTAATCCTGCCAGCGCCACGGAGTTGTACGCGTATGAATTACCTGCGGAGGATGAGGTTTTCACTTCGGATGAAATAGGTAATAGTAATATTATTAAATTTAATTAATAAAGTATGTTTTTAATTTGAATGTGAATAAATGTTTAGATGGTGATGTTACGGCGATAACAGCTTCCCCAGCGGGTGTGTCCATCAACGATGGAGGCGGCACGACGGGTGTAAGCGCTGCGCATAATCAAATGGCGCGCAGTCCAGAGGTAAGAAGCAGGTCGGCATTATGCATGCCCAACATTCTGTGCTTTAAGGTACGCACTGTTTATTTGTTTACTTTTTTTCTTCACGACATTCACTCATCAATCAATGGGGTGTATATATTTTTGATCATCTCACGCCTCCTTTAGATTTTTTTTTATTGTACAGTGTAGCCTCTATGAAAACATGAAAATTTTGGGGTTATACGCGCATTTGCATTTGGCTTTGGCCCCAGCGTATTTCGTGGATAATTCGTCAACTTTCGCTCGGCAGCTTACTGCAGCGCATAATTCCAATTCATTTAGCTCGGGAACGAATATACGCGCAACTGGTGTCAATTTTGCATCTATAGCTGCCACCAGGTGGCGTTTCAATGTTACCAACTTACTATGTTGCTCATACTAGTACTATTAGTATTGTCACACGTGTAGATATAATTTCAATAGGCTTATGACAATACTAATGCTTTTAGCAGAAAAATTCGTCATTAACCGTAAACGTAATTTTCTGGGTAAAATTACATAAAATTTAAGCCAAATTATTATCAAAATAGTCGAAAAAAAGCAAGAAATTTTATTGATAACCAATTTATTGACTGTTTTCTCAGTGATAAATCAAATTATATTTTTTGCTTTTAAATACAAATAATTACTTAAATATTTGGGTTTCATGCGAACTGTCATCTGTCAAATCTAAAATTGCTAGAAATAGAAATATTTTTCGTTGGCTAAAGACAAAGGTTTAAAGACTTTGTTTATGTAAAATGAGTATACACTGTATCTCAATTTGGGGTTTTATTTCCAAATGTAAAATAGCTTCTTAAGTGTAAGTTATTCGTCTCTAGGCTCCTCCCCGATGACAGAAATTCCATCTTAAAACTGCCAGTAGTAGTAAAATTACAATCTAAAACTCTTGTTACCACCTCTTTTTAAAAAATTCTATTTTGATTATGATTACCCTCGAATCATTTTATTTAATTTATTATCTTGTTTGTAATTAACGAAAGCAAGTTTTGAGTGTGGCGATGATTGCAGAATGCTCGAGCGAATAGCATTGACATGACCTCGGCGGCGCGACGATTCTCGAACGGTATGCATATGCGACGACCGTTACATTCCAATATTTACACAGGTATATAAATGTTTTTTTTTAGTCGGTATAACAGGTTGCATAATCGAATGTTTTGTTGTGTTGTGTTGTAGACGTGCCGGTCAAAAGTCCGAGTTATTTAGTCGCTGTGCATCGAAAATGCGTGCGGCAGGAGACGTATTTCCTGTCGCAGCATAAATCCAAACCCAGTCTGTTTGGTGTGCCATTGTTGTTGGGCTGCACGCCGCACAGCACGTGTCAGAGTATCTACGAAGCCGTCTGGGAGCAGGTTACTCGACTGTTGAGTCCTCTGCCGCAGAGCGATCAAACTAATCATGCAACTGACTGGTTAGTATCAAATTTATTGCGTATTTGCATAATATTTTTAGATTTTATAAAGTATTTAGAGGTTATGTTCTCTTTTTGCTCATAAATGTTTAAATGAAGTATTATTTAAGAGATTGAGGCGGTTTTCAAACGAATTATTAGAAAGTAAGCTTTAGGTTTCATAAAAAATGGTTCACATCACGTGACCAGCCCCCTGTCACTTAAATGGGGGAAATAATCGCAAAGCGTTAGCGTATGTCGCGTAATTTTAGTACCTTTGGGTGGCGCTGGTAGTTTAGTTGCACGACCGCTGTTTACTGTTTGTGTTGTTATCATATGTCTAAACTACGCAACTATACTACTAGCGCTCTCTGTAAATTGCGACAAAATTGAGTCGTTTTCTGAAACACGGAGTTGAACGGGGCAGCACGTTATGTTTATCGGCCATTTTATTTCTTCAACTCTCGCTTCTTCTGTAAAATTACCTCTTTTAATTTTTACTCAAGATTTGTTATTAGCCATTAATTTTATTTCCTAGTGATGATTCCCTGGCTATGAATTCCCATTCGCCCCAGTGTGCGCAGTCCTCGGCGCGGCCAAATCTGCGCACTCTGCCACTGGACACAATTCTGTCGCGGATGTCGCCTGCCATGTTCCGACGAACTCCTCTTCGACGTCTGCCGCTCCGGCCAGGCTGTAATGTGCGTCGCCATCGACTGGGATCCCACCGCACTCCACCTGCGCTACCAGTGTTCACGAGAGAAAGTCTGGCGCGAGCATGAATCCGTCTCGATCTGCCGCAAATTACACACCGAACCAATCGATCTGGATCATTGCCTCAAAGCGTTCACATCCGAGGAACGCCTGGAAGCTAAGTACCACTGCAGTAATTGTAAAGACAAACAACCAGCGACCAAAAATCCATGTACGCGCGTATATACGTATCACCTACTTTAATTGTCCATCTAAACGATTTGATTATGTGAACAACAAACGGGTGAAACACAAAAAGTCACCAATTTCCCCATTCAGGAGTTTGATCCAACCGGATATCTTGCTTCCCCTGTTCCACAAGAGACAATTCCCTACGCCATAAGCAGTATTGCTTTACAAACGGAAAGAAGCTTTTGTTTCTTTCTCTTTATCTCTTAATGTCTAGATATGATGAATCGATGTGTTGCGGACGTAACGATGCCATAACGATGTTTGAAATGATTGCAGACACTATTGCGGGACGGACACAGACGAGTTGGCACTCGATTTTTGAAAATATTTGTTTGGTTGCGGCCGAGTGTGGTGCGTGCATTCACTTCACACATACGCAAAGTACGCAGAACATATACTGTAAAACTAACATATGTACACTATTTAGTCCAGTTTACATATTTGAATGCTGTGCAAATTATTATATAATTTAATACGAAGTTTGTGTTTTGAATGTTTTTATATCGGTTGTTTTTGGGGATTGGTGTGTGTCAGGTGCGATTTTTGTGCATATAGATCAATGTGATCTCTTATTTTTATTGAAAAGAGATAGATTTATGGTATACTGTTGAGTGCGAGTGAGACAAATTCTCTTGTCTCGATCAATGTGATATATATGATCCTCGGGAATTTTGGTGTATTTTCAGCGAGCGCGGACTGCTGTGCGCCGGTACTGTTCAGTCGCGTGCCGTTCACGGTGCGGGTAGGACGTGTTTCGGTCGAGGTGCTACGCGTCGCTACGGGCGCATTATCCTCAGCCATGTTTGCGAATATTTGAGTCATTTTTGTTTCGAATATCGTATTTTGTTTCCTAGTTCAGTGATAACGTAAAGTACATGAAGGAAGTGCCGTCAGCAGCCATTTAAAAGAAGGTAAAGATTTTAATAAATTACGTTCATGAGTTGCAAATAACTTTTAAATTTACTAAAATGTCCTGGCCATGCATCCTGCTAATTTCCGTGGAAATTTAATAGAGTACAATTTTTCTATTGCATTATTGTAAATTGACATTACAATAATTATAACAACAATTTATAACATTAACATACAACTAGAATTGTTTTCGTTCTCTACGCTAGATACTTGTCAGTGTTTTTTGTATAAACAAGTTTTTTCGTTAAGTTTGCCATCCTGCATGCGTCTTCGTTCTTGCAAATAGTGCGCATGAGTAACGGGATGTGCGCAGTCTTATCAGCCATTGCGCGGAATGCTTACTCGTAGTTTCGTGCGGGTTGTTGATCGTGTTAGACGCGTTTCGTGCGGCCCGTGTCTTGTTCATAAATTTTATGCAATAAGTGTTTTATTTTCGTTTATCGGTCACCTGTATTTACGAGTACTTGTGTTTGGCGTGTTTAGGGCTTTGTTAATGATTAATCGGGTGTCGAATATTTAAATCTGTTCGTGTATAAATCGTCATCGGTTCTTAGCGTCGTTGCATGTTTGTTCCACGGTCAACCGCCATATTGTCCTTGTGAATGTTCCTAAGGAATTGTGTGGAAGTCAAGAAAGAATTGTAAGTGTATAAGTGCAACTTTTCTTAATTTTCCTTAGTTGTAATGTTGTGTTTAATTCACCTATTCGCGAATGCATCGTTCTAGAATTTTTATTAATACGCGTGCACGCCATGTTAGAACGACAAGAGATAAGATTTGTTGTTGTTGTGCACATTCTTATCTATTTGCGTGCGGTGAATCAACCATCTCAAACCTGTATTACCTTGTTCTGAGATATTATATTTAAATATGATGCATCTTAGTTCTTGGTGAATTCTGCGCGCAATATATCCACAAGGATCGTTTTCTTATCGACGGCGTCATACTTTCATAACCAGTGACGTTGTAACGAAGCAGCCATGGGCTTCATCATTCCACAAAAGGTATAGTGGTTACTTTCATTATTGCCTTATTGCAACTGCTAACTTGCATAGTCGTCGTTGTTTTATTTATTTCATTTTGATATTAAATATTGATATTTGCCCTTGAAATAAACACATTTTCCCGTGATTGTGTAATTTTTGCAGCATTGTTGCAGATTAATCATTACTTACTTTAGTATCTGGAAGAATTGCGAAATATACGCCCGAAGATCGCTCTCCTTTATCGCTACCAGCTGTGATGTATGCCATTTTAAGTAGGTTGCCGTGCACACTGGAAAAGGTATTACTGTAAATTTTCATTATTTTCCCTGAAATTGTAAATCAGGTTTGTCAATTCAGTTTCTTGACGATACTAATCCTTGACATTAACTTAAATCACATATTTTCTTTGTTCCAATATCAAATTTTTATATTTGACCACCGTTATGATTAATTTATATATTTAATTTTAGTAATTTGGAGCTTTGATACATACTCGCACTGGAATATACCACTGATGGATTGTACGCCCTTCAATCAGATCGCACATCATCAAACTTTACCACAACTTCAACGGCAGAGAAGTCAACTGGCGGGTGCAGACCTTGATGAGTATAGCCGTTCTACGACGGATAAACCCTGGCCTGCTAAAGATTGGAGCAAGTTAGCGACATTTGCGCCTATTATTTAAAATCGAACAGATGACACACATTATTTTTAAACCAGTACAAATAATGTGCACAGGGAAGGACACAAAAAATTCCTGACTTTTAAAACCACGAACGCATTCTGAACTTAACTTATACTAGAATAGCAATACGTAAACTGAACGAAGTACAACAAATCGGTGTACTTCGTTTCAGTTGCGTATTGCTGTAATATTCAAAGAAAGGTCCACAAAAATTCGTGGCCAGAAAACTATCCAAATTTTATTTTAAACGAGTTTGTCCTAAAGTAAAATCGGAGATAAAAGTTTTAAGTCAGCTATATATCCGTGACGGTTGCTTTGCGGACACGTGTGAAATGCCGTTTTGGGCGCCAAGTGAAAACCAATACGTTATTCATAAAGGCTGAGGTCAAAACCAACTGATGAAGTATTTGTGGAATTACTATGTCTATATGGGACATATAAGTGCCAGGGGCCCCTCAGGCAGCCGGGGCCCTAGGCGCGCGCCTAGTGCGCCTAGGCCGTAATCCGCCACTGATTATATTTAAATATGATTTAATTTTAGTTCTTGGAGAATTCTGCGCGAAATATATTCCTACCCAAGGATCGTTTTCTAATCGACGGCATTGTAATTGTTATCAATTGTCATCATCACCATCAAAAAGGTATAGTGCACATTTATATTATTTTTCTTTATTGCAACTGTTGTTCTTTTTCAATAAATAGTTTGTTATTTTATTTATTTATTTATTAATGAATATTGATATAAGCTTTGAATTTAACATATTTGGAACATATTATTGTGATTAATTGTGATTTATTTTTAGTATTTGGAAACTTTGCGCGAAATATACGCTCGAAAATCGTTTTCTTATCGCTACCAACTGTGACGGATGCCATCTTTCAGTTGTCCCTTGCACTCGGAAAAAGGTATAGTGCAAATTTTTATTCCTTTACTGTAATTGTAAATTCTGTTTGTCAAGTCAGTTTTATTTATACTTAACTTGACCTTAACTTAGCATCACATATTTTTTTGTTCCAATATGAAATTTCTATATTTGACCACTGTTATCATTATAAGTTTTATTTAATTTTAGTACTTGGAGCGTTGATACATACTGCATCGGAATATACACTCGAGGATTTTTTGCCCTTCGATCAAATCGTACATCATTCAACTTACTACAACTTCAACGGCAGAGAAGTCTACCAGCGGGTGGAGACCTTGGAGAAGAGGAGCTGCCTTACGACGGATATCTCGGCCCGCTAAAGATTGGCGTGTTAGCGACATTATTTTTTGCGCCCATTTTTTAAAATCGAACAGATGACAGACACATTATTTTTTTAAACCAGTTCAATTAATGCGCACATGGGAGAACGAAAAAAACTTCCCCACTTTTAAACCACGAACGCATTCTTTAAGTTCACTTATAATTAGAATTGTATATATTTAGGAACCTTTAACAATTAATTTGATGAATGCTAGTGGAATAACATGCAGTGTAAACTCTTTATAACGATGATCAAGAGTTGTGTAATTAGTTTTTGCTTCAATTAGTTCATTAGTTCATAAAGACGGATTGTAAAGTTATTAAGAGTTTAGATTGTAATGCAAATTTAGTCGCATCACGACTTGAACTGAAAACTGGTAGTGTTGTCTCTGTATCGCTATTACTTGAAATCATGCAATTTATTGTCTGCGCTTTATTTGTTAGTAGTAATGCGTAATGGGAAGTATTGGGTAATTGTCGCACTGCTGCCTAGGTTTTGCTCGCGAGAGGGGCGTTTTAAAATTTCACTTGCTCGTGAGAAAAGCGCCTTTGAATTATCACAGCGGTCTCTAGAGATATCGTATTAGATTTTCCGTGTTGTATTAGTGTGTTACAACATGTGTAAATTCGAAAATAGGGTGGTTCAGTGGGATTTTCACCGGAAGTATGAAATTGTTTTAGTATTTTTGGTGTAGCTCGCGAATGGGGCGGGACAGAATTTTCAACGCGGTCTCTAGAGATGACGAATTACATTCTTCGCATTGTTATATTAGTTTGTTGCTGAAGTTGCATCTGCAACATATGAATATTTAAAAATTGAGGGGTTCAGTTAGATTTTTAGCGCGGTCTCTAGAGACATCGAATTAAATTGTCCGTAGGGTTAGTAAATTCGAAAATACGGTGGTTCAATGGGATTTAAACCTAAAGTGTGAAAATGTTGTGCGCGCAGTGGTAGATTGTTTATTAGCGTGTCCTCCTGTCTTCCGCGTTTCTTATCTTTTGTGTAGTTTGTGTTGTCCATGTAGAACTTGAGATCTTGTTTAATTGTGTATATGACGTGTGTTTTTTTCCTATGTATTAATATGTAGCTATATTTGTTGTTGTCTATGTAGAATTTGTTGTCATATGTAGATGTTTTGTATTAATTTGTTCATGTATGTGTATAGAATAGCTGCTTTGTACAGTAGTTGTTTGTGTTTTAATGTTTGCTTGCACCTTGTGTTGTGTGTTTTAATGTCTCTTGTTGTTGTGTGTAAACTAATAAATGTCTTTTGTGTAGTATCTAGAAATAGTGTTAGTTTGTGTATAAATAGTATTGTCCGTGTCTCGTAAATATGAAATGTAAACATGTTATCTGTTTAGAGTAGTCGTATTGACTTGCAGTTGACTTGTGTTTAGGTGTGCCATAGTTGTAACTTGTTGATATATCTATTGTGTTATCTCTGCAGGTATAGGAACCAGTATTGCAACAGCTTGTAACATGTATTGCTATAGCAATACTAGTAACACTGTGTTGCATAGGCAACACAGGTAGTATGGTATTGCTATGGCAGTACAAGTAACATGCCTTGCTGTTGCAATACAATATGTATAGGTATAAATAAAGAAGTCTTTTAATATATTGTTTAAAATATTTATTTATTATCCTTATTTCCCCACCACAAGGACTGTCCCCACTAAGAATATTGTTGATGTGGCTAAGAAACCCGGGGATGAAGCGCAGAGACATCGCAGCTGTAGGTTGGGGCCGGCAATTATTCTTTCTTACGTTAACGCAATCGAAGTGGTTAACTGTCTTATTGAACGCGATCTCGAAGTGGTCCGTCGATAAGTTCGGAGCGCCTGCGGCTGTTCGACTACAAGACCGACACGCCAAAATCCGAATGAAAAATTACGAATTTTTCATGGATATTTTGCAAGTTTCGACTTGTAAAATTGAAATCTGAAACATAAAAAAAGATATTGTTAGTTTATATTTTCAAGTTGGCAATTTTACAACAAATTAATTGGTGTGATAAAAATTCCGCGCTGAAAACATCTATTTGCCCCAAAGAACAAAAATACCAAATAAATACACAATTTACGAGGTTACGCGCGTTACAGAATTTAATTCTGTTCTTCTGAAAACCAAAAAATTACAACATATTAACACGAGGGAGAAAACAACATTTAAATATCGTTTTTTCGACTCTACTCGCGTGCAAGGTGAGTCCTGCAACGCATAGAACCCCACGGAGAATTTAATTCTACATCTCTGAACAACGCGCACCCTGTTTGCGGTTTGCCCCAAAGGACAAAAATGCCAAATACCCTACTTACGAATTTACGCGCGTTGTAGTTTCCTTAACAAACAAATATAGAAGCATAAAAACAATTAGACGACAATTAGACAATTAGAACATGGTGCACAAGTTGAGATAGTCTAAGGCAGAAACAAAACACGCAATAAAACTGCTCTGCGAATTGTAGAATATGATTACTACCTTCTAATATTCTATTAAATGCGGCTAGAAAACTTCTTTATATACAAACAAGCGATAGTGGAACTTCGCGAGCAAAATCGTATTAAAAACAATCGAACATCACTACGCGATTATATCTGTCCTACTCGAGCACAATATAAACATATCTATCTATCACGCTTCCACGCACGAAAGGCAACTTCTTCACCATCCACATGCTTTAAACTAAAGTCAAATTACGGACATGCCATAGGTATTGTCACATGACATATTGGAACTATATGGCCACTTGCGACAGTACTAAATATATGCAAATGGGTTATAAAAATATGAAATAATATAAGTATTGTCATTATGCGTCTATTGACATCATATGACCACGCGCCACAGCAGAAAGTACAAATTATATGCATTAAAAATTATGCCAATAATACAGTAGCGCGACATATATTTTCTTTCTCGTAGAATAATCCGAGTTACATTTGCTTAAATTTACGATTGAATCACATTTATCTGAGTAAAACATGTTTTACCCGCGCGCGCAAATCAAACGTTTAACTGTAAAATGTACCTCAATCACGTAAACATTTCATGCCAGTACGCACAATCTCATGTTGGCCAAACCGTACAACCCGACAATCACCGATCTATATACGATAGAAGTACTCGTAAACGTGCATAACAAGGCCACGGATCATTTAAAATATCATGAATCCCAAAATATGGGTCAATAGTGCTTTAGGTGGAGTCAGAGATCTAAAGCATAATTTTTCTATCATAAAACATGCTGAAACACCAGCGCCACCAAAGGGTTCCCGATATGGCCTGTTTTCCACCGCGTGCCGTGAAAAATGCAAGAAAAGGGCAAACTTTGGCGGCCATTTTTGGGCAGTTACGACCAAATTTCGCGGGGTTCTGCCCCGCATGCATTCTTTCCGTTATAAGCGAACACGAGTCAATGAAGGGTTCGAGCGGCGGCCTGCTTCACCGCGTGTTTTGAAAATGCAAGTTGTGCGGCAACTTTTGGCAATATTTTGCGTTAGACCGAATTTCGTCTAGGGTGCGCTCCAAGATGCACTTTTCATCATAAAAACATTGCGAAATCAATAAAAATATTTAGCGTTCCCGAGGTGGCCTGCTTCCACCGCGCGCAAAGCAGCAAACTTTGCGCTCTCATTTTAAAGCAGACCGATTTCGCGGCCCCAGTGGGTGCGTCTTAAAGTATTTTACCTTCCGATCATAGCAAAATGTGGCGAAACTAATGCGCGCCGACCACTTTGTGCGTTCCTGATATGGCCTGTTTGAAAAATGCAAACAAAGCGCGTACTTGGCGGCCATTTTATGCGCGTTATAATCGGAATGCTGGGGTTCGGGCGTCTTAACTCTTTTTCCCTATCATAAAATGTGGCGAACACGAAAAATATCACGAAGGGTTCCCGAGATATGGCCTGTTTCACCACACGTGTTTTGAAAATTTTAAAGAAAACTCAAGCAGGCAGTTATGACTCAATTTGGGGTTCTAGGTGCTCTTAAAGATGCACCTCTTTTCCTATCATAAAATGTGGCGAACGAAAATATCACGAAGCGGGTTCCCCGAGATATGGCCTCGTTCACGTGTTTTGAAAATGCCAGTGGCAAAACTTTGGCGGCCATTTGAGGCAGTTATGACCGAATTTCGCGGTTCTGGAAAAGGTGCGTCTTAAAGAGTAACTTCCTTTTCCTATGGTTCATACGCGAACACGAAAATATCGAAGGGCTCCCGAGCAAAAGCCTGCTTCTTCCACCGCGTAAGCCGCAAACAAAATTGGCGTCATTTGCGTGCTGTATCTCGCGGGGTTCTAGGGTGCGCCTTAAAGCATGCACTTTTTCTATCATAAAATATATGGCGAATGAAAATACATCACGAAGGGTTCCCGAGATATGGCCTGCCTTCCTTCCAATCGCGCGTTTCGGAAAATGCAAAAGGGGTAAATTTTTATGGCTATTTGAGGCAGAAGTTATGACCGAAATTTCGTGGGTCTTAGGTGCCCTCAAAGACGCACCTTTTCATTCATAAAATATGCGCGCAGAAATTCCAGTGATCAATGAAGGGTTCCCGAGATATGGCCTGCTTCTTCACAATCGCGTGCTTGAAAAATGTAACGCAAGAAAAGGGCGGTACTTTGGCGGCCATTTGAGTGTTATGGCCCCTAATTGCCAGTGGTTCTAGGCGTCTACGCAAACCTTTCCTGGTATCATAAAATGGCGAACACGAAAATATCAATGGGTTCCTCGGATATGGCCTGTTTTCCACCACGTGTTGAAAAATGCAAGAAAAGGGCGTAAACTTTTGGCGGCCATTTTGAGGTTGTACCGGAATGCAAGCCCCTTAGGGTGCTTCTAAAGATGCACTTTTCCTATCATAAAATGTGGCGAAAAATATCTAGCAAGCTCCGAGATAAGGCCTGCTTTTCCGTGTTTTGAAAATGCAAACAAAAGGGGTACTTTGGCGGCCATTTTGAGGCAGTTATGACCGAATTTCGTACGGCGACGCGATGCACTTTTCCCTATCATACCGTGGCGAACGAAAATATCAATGAAGGTTCTCGAGATATGGCCTGTTTCACCACGTTTTGCAAAAAAATGCGTTTTGAGGCAGTTGGCGACCCATTGCGAAGCCCCAGTGTTTTCAAAAGATGCACTTTTCCATCATAAATGTGGCGAACGAAAATATCAACGAAGGGCTCCCTTGCCTGCTTCACCACGTTTTTGAAAAATGCAAGAAAAAGGGCAAACTTTGGCCATTTGTGCGCCGCGACCGGCTTCCGCGTGGGTTCTAGGGTGTCTGATGCACTTTTCCTGTCATAAAATGTGTGTGGCGAACACGAAAATATCACGAAGCGTTCCCGAGATATGGCCTGCTTTCCACCAATGCGTTTTGAAAATGCAAGAAAAGGGCAAACTTTGGCGGCCATTTGAGTGCGACCAGAATAGTTCTAGGGTGCTTGATGCACTCTTTCCTATCATGTGCCGCGCGAACACGAAAGCACGAATCTCGAGATATGGCCCGTTTTCAATCGCGTTTTGCACGCAACAAAAGTGGGCAAATTTTGGCGGCCATTTTGAGGCAGTTATGACCTAGTCGGGTGCGTTCGCCATGCACTCTTTTTCATCATAAAAAATATGGCGAACACGAAAATATCACGAAGGGTTCTCGAGATATGGCCTGCTGTTTTTCCACCGCGTGTTTAAAAATGCAAACAAGTGCGTAACTTTGGCGGCCATTTTGAGGCAGTTGGCGCACCCAATTTCGCGGGGGTTCTAAAAGCTTCTTAAAGATGGCCTTCATCATAAAAATGTGGCGAACACGAAAATATTTTCCACGAAGCGGGTCTCGGAGATATGGCCTGCTTTTCTCACCGTGTTGAAAATGCAAGAAAAGCGGGCGGTAAACTTTGGCGGCCATTTTGAAAGCGGCTAACGACCAACGTTTTAAAGATGCACTCTTTCCTATCAACATGTAAAATGTGGCGAACGGTTACCATCACGAAGGTTCCCGAGATATGCCCGCTTCTTCCACCACGTGTTTTGAAAAATGCAAGAAAAGCGGGCAAAAACTTGGCAGCCATTTTTGAGGCAGTGTTATGACCGACGCAGGTCTCTGCGTTTAAAGAGACCCCTATCATCATAAATGTGGCGAACACGAAAATATCAATGAAGGGTTCATATGGCACGCAAACAAAAGGGCAAAATTTTGGCGGCCACGCAGCGACCGCATTCGCGGTTCTAGGCTTCTGTTACGCACCTTTTTCATCATAAAATGTGGCGAACAACGCAAAATATCAATGAAGGGTTCCCGAGATGCGCCCTGGCAGCTTCCAACCGCGTGTTTGAAAAATGCAAAACAGGCAAACTTTTTGGCGTCATTTTGGAGGCAAAGAACGAACGGGGTTCTAGCGTCTTAAGATGCACTCTTCCTATCATGTGGCGAACGAAAATATCGCTGTTCCCTGGCGATAGTGCCCCGTTTTCCACCGCGTGTTTGAAACAAAGGAATTTTGGCGGCGCTCATTTTGGCAGTTGTCGAATTTCGCAATTTAGGTGCGTCTTAAAGATGCAACTTCATCAGCGTCATGGCGAACACCTGTGCTGGCCTCAGATATGGCCTGTTTTCCCAACGCGTTTTGAAAATGCAACAAAGGTAAAATTTGGCCATTTTGGCGCGTGTTGGCGAATCGCAAATTTCGCGGGGTCGCATGTACCTTTTTATCATGTACACGAAAATATCGAAGGGTTCCCGAGATGGCCTGCTTTCACCGCGTGTTTTTGCACGTACAGGGCAAACTTTTGGCGGCTATTTCGCAAAGTTCGTCGGCATGCGTCTAAAGATGTTTTTCCTATCATAAAATATGCGGCGAACACGAAATATCAATGAAGGGTCTTCGAGGGCTCATCGCGGAAAAAATGCAAATGCGCGGGCAAAATCCGGCGGCCATTTTTGAGTGCGTTGCGACCGAGTTTTCTGGAGGTTCCGTGCGTTCCTTTAAGCATCTCATCATAAAAATGGCGAACACGAAAATATCACGGAAGCGGTTCTCGGAGATATGGCCTGTTTTTCCTCACCGCGGCAGCCGCAGAAAAAAATGCAACAGGGCAAATTTCAGCGGCCATTTTGAGGCAGTTACGACCGAGTAACTCCGCGGTGGCATGTTACGCACTCTTTCTATAATAAAACATAAGAAATCTAACGAAATATCGGCGTTCCCGAGATATGGCCTGCTTTCACCGCGCGTTTCTGGAAAATGCAAAGAAAAGGGCGCAAACCTTTTGGCGCGGCTTGAGGCAGTTGGCGACCGACTTCGTAATCGCGCATCTAAGATGCACGCTTTTCCTATCATATAAAATGTGTGGCGAACACGAAAATGGTCACGAAGGGTTCCCGAGTGGCCTGCTTTTCCACCGCGTTTTGAAAATGCGAAAAGCGCGAAATTTTGCGGCCATTTTGAGGCAGTTGCGACCTACTGCGTAAAAGCCCCTAGGGTGCGCCCTGATGCAATTTCTTTTTCATCATATAAATATGGCGAACGAAAAAATATCAACAATGAATTGATATGGCCTGGCTTCTTCAATCGCAAGCTTTTAAAAATGCAACAAAAAGGGCAAATTTTGGCTTTTATAAGCAGTTACGACCGAGTTTCGCGGGATTCCGGGTGCGCTCCTGCGCTGATGCACGCTTTCCTATCATAAAATGTGGCGAACACCTGTTATCACGAAGGCCCCAGTATATGGCCTGTTTTCCACCGCGCGGCGAAAAAAATGCAAGCAGTGCGCGGGCAAAACTTTTTAGCGGCTACCGAGCAGCGCGACCGACCGCGGGGTTCTAGGGTGCGTCTTGGCACTCTTTTCCTATCATGCGTCATGGCGGTAATGCACATCACGAAGCGGCCTGTTTTCCCCGCGGAAAATGTCAGCAAAACTTTTGGCGGCTTTTGAGGCAGTTACGACCGAGCCGCGGAGGGGTACCTTAAAGATGCACTTTTTCCTATCATAAAATGGGGCGAACACGAAAATATCAATGAAGGGTTCCCGAGAGAGGTCTTCGTTTTCCAATCGCGTTTTGAAAATGCAACAAAGGGCAAACTTTTGCAATATTTTTGAGGCAGTTACGACCGAGTTTCGCGGAGGTTCCGGGTTCCAGCGCATCGCTTTTCCGGTCATAAAATGTGGCGAACGAAAGCGACTGAAGGGTTCCCAGATATGGCCTGTTTTTCCACCGCGTGCTTTTGAAAAATGCGTGGGCAAATTTTGGCGGCCATTTTGAGGCAGTTACTTACCGAGCCGGGGATCCGCGGTGCATCTTTAAAGATGCACTCTTTTTCGCGGCTGGCGAATATCACGAAGGGTTCCTGGCCTGTCAATCGCGTGGTACGCAAGAAAAGGGCAAACTTTTGTTTTGAGCAGTTATGACCCACTGCGGGGGATCGGGTGCGCGACGTCTCAAAGACGTTAACGCTTTTCCCATCATAAAATGTGGCGAACGGAAATATCACGAGCGCCCGAGATATGGCCTGTTTCCAATCGCGTGTTTTGAAAAGCCCAAAAAGCGAAGCAAAACTCCCCGGCGCCATTTTGAGTAGTGACTGAATTTCGCGGCCCGGGGTGCATCTAAGATGTAACTTCCTTTTTCTATACGCAAACATAGCGAACCCGAAATGAAGGGGTTCCCTCGATATAGTTCTGAGCTCATCAAAATACCGCAGCGCGTGCGCACCCGGCGCCGGCTTTTGAGGCAGTTAATCGAGTTTGGGATCAGGGTGCATCTACGCACTTTTTCTATAATAAAACATAGAAACACGAAAATATCACGAAGTGGTTCGCGCAGCATATGGCCTGCTCACCGCGTGTTTTGAAAAATGCAAAAAGGGCAAAACTTTTGGCGGCCATTTTGGAGGCAGTTACGACCGAATTTGTACCGGGCGCGATTTACCCTTCCTATCATGTGGGGGCGAACACGAAAATATCACGAAGGGTTCCCGAGATATGACCTGTTTTCAACCGCGTGGTTTGAAAAATGCATGAAAAAGTACAAACATTTTCGTTCCCTTCAATTTCTATATTACCTGCAAGTACAATTAACATGGCACCTTTAATTCGCGGGCTATTGCAACACGCAGGTATGAGGTAATAAAACATGTGATGTAATAATATAATTTAATGATAAACTTACCAATTCAGCGCTCATCGGATTGTACGGGTACGGCAAGCACTGTAATTAAAAGAAAACATAAGTTAATATAAAATCATTGCATACAATATAATAATATTATATTCACACATCGGAGAAAACAAACATTCTGTGCTGACTATCGCAATGGTCAGGTCAGATAAATGTAACTTACTCAAGCACGAAGTGCCCTGCTAATGACGGGAAGCAACATCGCAGCAATATGTTGTCGATTTATCCAGCGACCGACAACGTCACACAATAACCGACAATAAAATCGTAGCATTCTTGTAATTCTTGTAAATGGAATATAAATATCAAACGCGAACAAGAAACCATTTATGGATATTAAACGCGCAAATAAATATTAACAGGTTACTATTGTCGCCAGTTGAAATTGGCAGAAACGCGTCTCAACGACAAACTCGAGACCGATACGAAACTGGCTGCGATAGCACAGGTTGAAGCCGAGCAAGCAACGACGCGGCATTTCACGATAAGACTACTCGTATGTGCTTGTTGCACGAACCCCGCAGGTAAAAGCAATAGATGCGCAAAGCCATATTGCGCAATGGCACGCGACCTTGTGCACGACTTGCAATAGATGCGCAAAGCCGGTGCGTCGATGACACAAGACATTGTGCATGAATCGCAATAGGCACAATACATGGGATCTAAACTAAACTCGAATATGCTGCATGAGGCGTGAGGGGATTGCAACGACGACACTGTGAAATCTCATGCGCTGCTTTCCGCGCGGCGACTAAGCGATAAGAAAGAGTGAATTGTGTTCAAAACAAATACAATTCTCGTGCCGAATATTCACGTTTGCTGATAAAAATAGAAATAAACAAAACAATTCTATTTTATAATTTTTAGTTCCTGCTAGTGACATCTCTGAATGATGCAAATAGTAGTCCGGCTTATGATTATTAAAACTAATAAAATATTAAAATTTAATTTGTGAAATTCTAATTTCTTATGATGAAACATTGTCAGATTTCCTGCATCAATCTCGTAAACTAAAATCGGTAGAAAGGAACGGATTTTAAATTATTAATATATGAGATATTCTCTATAAGGCAAAGTATTGAAATACTACATGCGGTACCTCAGCCAAGCAAACACGATCGCAACAATCCCAGATAAGACTACCTGCTGCCCGAACGTGTAAAGCCGGCGCGTCGATGACACGCGACCATGCGCGCGAATTGCAATAGGCATGTTACCTGCGATCTAAACTAAACTAGAATATGCTGCATGCAGCAAGTTGATGCGCCGTGAGGAGACGGTGCGCGGGACACATGCGATAAAAATGTTGTTTATACACAAACGCAGATAACAGCATTGTATACAAAACTAGTCTAGTGCCCACGATTATCAATAAATATAAAAATATGCCGTATAACTCGATTTTATGATTTTTGTTGCATCCTAGTGCCATCTATGAATGCTACAGAAACTAGTTCCCGAATTAATGAAATTAATATAAGAATAAATTTGAAATCATGAAGTTATAATTACTTATGCTAAAAGATTGACTGATTTTACATTAAATATTTAAGTGATATTTAATTCGAAGATGTATTGTTTCCACCATATTTCGATTTACCTATATTTCAGTATTAAACAATTCCCACTATTTATTGCAATTTTCTAAAAAAACGTGAAATCTAAAGACGATTTTTACTAAAATAGAAGAATAGAAGGCTAAGCAAAACGTTTTGTTGCAACTTCAATCGAAAAATTATAAATTTTCAACTTTAATGTTTCTGTGGAAAAAAACTTTCACATTTGATCAAATTGCAAGATAACTATGAGTCCTAGAGAAAAATTTTACTAAAATAAAATGCTCAGGGGGACCTTCTATTGCAACTTCCGCAGTAAAAAATTTAAATTTCCAAATTTATTTTTTCTGTGAAAATGTGAGTTCACATTTGGTCAAACTGTGGGAAAACTATGACTCCTAGAGTAAAATTTCACTAAAATAAAATGCTCAGGGGGACCTTCTATAATAACTTCCGAAATAAAAACTTTAAATTTCCAAATTTAATTTTTCTGTGGAAAATGTGAGTTCACATTTCCTCAAACTGCGGGAAAACTATAAGTCCTAGATTAAAATTTTACTAAAATAAAATGCTCAGGGGGACCTTCTATTGTACTTTCCAAACTAAAAAGTATAAATTTCCAAATTTAGTTTTTTTGTGGAAAACGTGAGTTCACACTTGGTCGAACTGTGGGAAAACTATGAGTCCTAGAGTAAAATTATACTAAAATAAAATGCTCAGTAGGACCTTCTATAGCAACTTCCATAATAAAAACTTCAAATTTCCAAATTTAATTTTTCAGTGGAAAATGTGAGTTCATATTTGATCAAATTGCGGGAAAGCTAAAAGTCCTAGAGTAAAATTATACTAAAATAAAATGCTCAGTGGGACCTTCTATAGCAACTTCCGAAATAAAAACTTTAAATTTCCAAATTTAATTTTTCCGAGGAAAATGTGAGTTCACATTTGGTCAAACTGTGGGAAAACTATGAGTCCAAGAGTAAAATTTTACTAAAATAAAATGCTCAGTGGGACCTTCTATTGCAACTTCCAAAATAAAAACTTTAAATTTCCAAACTTAAATTTTCAGTGGAAAATGTGAGTTAATATTTGATCAAATTGCGGGAAAACTATAAGTCCAAGAGTAAAATTTTACTAAAATAAAATGCTCAGGGGGACCTTCTATTGCAACTTCCGAAATAAAAACTTTAAATTTCCAAATTTAATTTTTTTGTGGAAAATGTGAGTTCACATTTGGTCAAACTGTGGGAAAACTATGAGTCCAAGAGTAAAATTTTACTAAAATAAAATGCTCAGTGGGACCTTCTATTGCAACTTCCAAAATAAAAACTTTAAATTACCAAATTTAATTTTTTTGTGGAAAATGTGGGTTCACATTTGGTCAAACTGTGGGAAAACTATGACTCCTAGAGTAAAATTTCACTAAAATAAAATGCTCAGAGGGACCTTCTATTGCAACTTCCGAACTAAAAACTTTAAATTTCCAAATTTAATTTTTTTGTGGAAAATGTGAGTTCACATTTGATATAGTTGCAGAAAAACTAAAAGTCAAAGAGTAAAATTTTACTATAATAAGTGTGCAGAGCGGCGTTTTATTGAAATATCTACAATAAAAAGGTTTGAATTACCATTTTAGAGTTTTCTGTGGAATGCTTGCACGAAATATTCGCAAAAAGGAGTTTAAGATATTCTTTTTCTAATTGCAGGAAAACAATAAAACAGGCAAGTGATGAAAAATATTACTTACCAGTGTATCGAACACCGTAAATCAAATGCGAGAAGATACTGAAATAAACAAGAAACAAAACATTAGTTACACAATTTCGGATAATATTGAAATGAATCTGAGTTCCGGCGGAACCCAAAGAATGCTTTAAATATAGTCTTATTCACCATAATTATTTGAATGCTAATATTTACCAGGTAGAACAGTCGCCCATCGAATTCCGCTGAAGACACAAATGGTTCGCACAAGTCCAAAATATTATTTGCAATCACACAACATGGCCGACCGGCGTCCGACGGCAACGGATCACGAACCCACGCGAAAATGCAATGGAACACACGAAATACTGAATTCCGAAGAATACACACGCGATAAATATTTAGCAAATGGCCAAACACGACAATTAACACTAAATTCAATCAAATCTAACCCGATATACCGAATTTCCAACGAGAAACGCGAATACTCTAATGAGTATTATTACTTATCGCACGAAGTAAGAATTGCTTGCCGGCCACACAGCAACTGCAAGCCGAATTTCACTCGCAGGAACATTTTCAGTTAAAACATGCATCGGTGCGCCCTCTGAGGGTGCTTTACAGTACCTCAAGAAACTACAAAGTGTTGCAACAAGTGTGGCGTGCATATGAGGCAGTGAGTGATTGTCTATGAGTCAGTGAAATGTCACGCACTTAAATGGCTGCGTCCGTGTGTCACACGTACACAAAATTGTGCATGCACCACCCTGTATAAATGAATAGCAATTTTGACACCTAACACAAAACTTCAAATATAGATGGCGCTGTGATGCACTTTTTCAAAATAATAAATCAAATTTTGAATTTTTAATGCAAATATTTCTCAGTTTAGCAATAAATAAACATTGTATATTACATAAATAGCTAATTAAAGTATATATTCATCGTAAAATCACATATTTTCATTAAAATTGCATCAAATCATTCCAAAAACTACAAAAATAGCCTAAAAAGACGTAAAGTTAACTTTTTTGTAATAGAATACAAATAAAAACCACAAAATATACTGCATATAAAGTTATATTCGTAACACATGTTAACATCTTGTACATTCCTTGCAAAACAACAATATACAAACATTTCTACTCTACTCTCTAATTATTTACACATAAAAAACATTCAACATCAAAACGGCAAACGTTACAAAAACATTACAAAAACGTTTAAATACACACTACAATTATGAGAAATGTGAAAACTATCAATAAACATCCACGGACAAGTCAATATGACCCACATACAACTTATAATTATTACAACATACGAAAATGTTAAATATAGTCTATACATGATTAGGGTATTGGGTAATAATTGGTCATAACCTCCAATATTTGGCAGTAATACAAACAAAAAACAGCTTTACCTTAAAGATATTCCGAAATGAAAATCTTCTTCAAGTCTGGTACACTCCCAGCATAGAACTGGTGATTATGATTATGATTAGCATGCAATTGACCTTGATTATGACTTGCATTCGCATATCCTTTCACAGGACTCCATTCAACGTCCAAAAAGTTAGCTTCTCGGGCATTCTCATTCAAAAACTCAGCAGACAACGACTTCTCAGCACTCATCATCGAACAACTCCGCTGCAAAGTCTCCTGCTGACTAAAATAATCCTCATCTATATAAGCCTGCAGGTTTTCCAGTGATCTCTTTGAATTAGACCTCTTTATCTTGAATTCATTCAAGTTATTTTTATTCTCTGAAGCTCTAAACTCTCCACGAGTAAATTTTCTTGTATCTGGTAGTTGATTAACATTTGTATTGTTTGTAGTTTTATGGAAAAACTCAAAATCTCCATTGGCTTCAGTCGTGATAGAAAACGAAGAAGATGAACTGTCATAATCCTGATATTCATCATCTTCATCATCAGAATGTTGTCCAGGCTTCAACTGCAGCCTTTCCTGTGATGATTTACTCTCAGTGGTTAACTCATTCAAAGATTCATAACTTTTAGAGCGGATTTTCGTTGCTTCTTCATTACCTAAAGGTATCTGACGTAGAGAATTCTGACTTAAGCTCACATGCTTAAGATAAGGCTTTAATAATCCATGATTATGCTGTGTGGGTTGCTGTAGATGTTGATGCGGTAGTTGGTAATGATTCTGATGTAATAATTCGTTGTTCATCGAAGAATTAGACGAAGAAGGCAGAGATTTAACATTAACACTAGGAAATGAATAGTTTTGACAGAAATTGTTATTTACTAAACGATTCTCTTTCAATTCCTGCATTCTAGGTCTTGATTGCAAATTAGCAGAGTGTAAATTTAAGTTTATAGCGTTAATTCCAACTGTTGTGTTGTTTCGTTGATCATTATGATGTCTTCTGTAGTTATGTATGACAGGAACACGTCCATCGATACTTGTATATAAAGAACCATTCGTAATCGGGAATTTATGAGCTGTTTCAGTCGTGGAATTCATCGAATTTATGTTTAGGTTGTTTATATTATTAGAATTTGTTGTTGTGGTTGTTGGGTAACATCTCAGGGGATGCATCTGGTTGATTTCAAGACTCTGTGGTTGAGAGGTTGAAAAATGGCGGAATTTTCCATCTAAACCCACTAAAAACACCAAATATTAATAAATATTTATTAAAAATGCAAATAATCTTACTATGAGGGAGTTTTCCTTCAATGTGTCGCTTCTCTGTGCATCTGTAGACCCGTGACACCCAATTATTGAATCTTGAATCAACAATCCCCAAGGAAATCGGTATTAAAAGATCTTGTAGTAAACCTAACCACAAAATCACGCTACTGATCGGCCATGGAGTGATTAAACTTGGGAATATACACAATGCCTGTGAAATAATAAAATAATGATGAATATAAACACTTAAAATGTTATTCAATCATATTGTGAGTTAAATTCATGTTTAAAATTGAAAATGGATGATGAGAACGTTTAATTTCGTAATGTTGTAATGATGAAATGAAATGGCATGAAACGCAAAACAAACGAAAGTGATCTCATTGTTACTCATTACGTTATAACATTTTTTACGTTCACATGAATTCACAGTGTATAAAAATAAAGAATACAAACGAAATTTCGACAAAAACAATAAAATTATACATTGTAACTATAGAATTTGATAAATAATTATTATATATTAGAAACGTATTAATATTAATGTGTTATTAAATGGTTTACAACACATTTTAAACGTTTTTTGTTAATTTTCACTTTCGATTGCTTACGATATGAATTAAATGAGAATTTAAACTGGTTGTATTGTTTCCAGTGTGTGATTTAATTATTTACGGCATTGAACATAGATTAAAATGCTTTTTGTTGCATTTGTCCTTATTTTTTGCGTGTTTGTGCGCGCCTTTCATTTCTTGAATGAATGCAAAAAATGATTGATTTTTAAGTATATATTAAGTATTAAGTATTTAGGAGTGTTACAAAATAATAACGTGTGCGGATCGTGAGATTCGGTCGGATCTCAGCATTGAGATTGTTGTCATTATTGAGAAGTGAGCTGGGAACGGAAAACGTTCGAGTTGTAGAGTCACAACAGGCGCCCGCCTTCTCAGACTCAAAGTTAAGCTAAAACTTAAACGTCTGGTGTGTTGGCTGGTGAGTAGAGATTGGTATTTTGACCTACAAAACGACTTGAGAGGTTTTAGAATGATTTTGCGGCGAGTTGGAAGGATTTTACACACCTAGATTGGTGATATTTGATTATTTTGTGTTAAAATGAGATTTTAACAATTTTTGGGTAATAAGCTGTTTTAATTTATAGTTTTAGGTTGTTATTTGTTAAAGGATAATTTTTGTACATAAATATGATATAATATGAAAGAAAAATAGTAGTTTTTGACGTTTTTTAGCAAAAAAAATTGTAAAAATTTGTGAAAAAATGATGAAGTTTGAAAGCAATTTTAGGGCATTTCTAGATGATTCTAAATGTTGATTTAAATTGTAATAGAATAAATAAGTCTTATATTTTACTATAAACTAAAAAGTGTTTAAATATTTAAAATGAATTATGAGATACAGGGTGTTTTTCGCGGCGTGTTTTCAAAAATTAGCAAAATTGATCAACTTTAGACACAGTTTTAGGACATTTTTCGGAGCTTTCAAGCTCAAATAAAAAAATGGTTAGAATAAGCAACTCTTGTTCTATGAATTAAAATAAAAATCATCAAAATTTACCAAACGAATCACAAGATACAGAGTGTTTCCTAAAGCGTGTTTTAAAAATTTTCAAAAAATATGTCAACTTTGAATCCTTTTTTCAGTACGTTCTCTTTACTTATCAAACAAAAACAAACTGGTAATTTAATGAGAAACTCTTGTTCTTGAAATCTATGAAAGAATTATAAAGATCCATCAACTCAATCAAAAATTACTGCACTCTTACTATAACCAAATTAATAGTATATCCATAATATGCGATATTTCACTTAACATTATCAACACCTTCTAAATCTATTCAAAACCCATACAAACAAATGCAAATCATGTGAAACTTATTAATTAATCCGTGTTTAATTACGAAACAAGTTACACATTTGAATATTTGCATATTTGCATATTTAAACAACGTTTAAACGGCTTAACTCTTAAACTATTAAAACTTTTAAAGCATTTAAAGCGTTTTAAACACACTCCCACAATTAAGTCCTACGTACATGAATGTGTATTTACAAATAGATGAACAAATAGATTTGCAAATAGCAACAACATTGCCAGTGCAGATTGCAGTGATTTTACAGGCGCAGGCGTGAGTTTCGTTGGCTGTTCGGCGAAGAGAAACCGCGATGCTCGAGATAAACCTAATCGAAAACTGAACGAAAAGCAAGCGCACAGCAAAATGCAAATTAAAAATGAAGAGCACTTTCGATTTCTATGCCTCTACGCGTATGCTTCGTTCTTGCATGCAATAAATTACAGTTTCTAATTTACACTGAGTAATATTTAATAAATAGAAATACATGGAATTGTAACATTAATAAATGTCTTTGGATTTTATCAAGATTATTAGTGAAAAATATATTATTGGATTGTGAATATTTGTTTAAATATTTAGCAATAGTTATGACATTTATAATTAATGTATCGATTAATAAAAATTAAATTTTAGTTCGCATTTGCAGGGAAGTTAAATTAATTTTAATCAAAATTGCAAAGATTTTACTTTGTCAATAAATTACTCAAAAGATATTATTAAGATATTATAAGATATTATAAGATATTATTATCTGATTAATATAACTAATACTATCATCGAAAGAGTATTTAATCTATTATCAATTAAGGTTTAATTGTTATTTTTATCACTATTATTTTAGTCGCAATCATAAAATTGGTAAAAAAAAGCTGGAGACTACAACAGCGACATAAGCGAGTAACCCAAATGTATCACAATTAAAAACCATTATAATTCTTCAATAAATAACAATAAATTAAATCTTTATATCAAAAATTAAAACCAAATTAATTTGTTATCAACCCATTCAAGTTTTATCATGCTATCGTTAAAACTTTCGAGGTTACTTGAGTTTAAAGTTAAAATTAAATAAGAAAAACTGAAAACTACACAAAAAATTAAAAGTGAAAGCGAATTTTGTTAACAAAATGCATGAAAAACATTATAAACCACAACAAATCTAATTTATGCTGTTTTAATTCTTTCAAAACTTCTGTACACTGTCAAATATCATCTTATTCTCACTCATGTTCATTTAATGTCATTCCACATCTGAAATTAGTTCATTTGTTCACTGATTAAGACGCAATTAAGTCATTAACCATTCACTACAATAACAATAAACTAATTTAACGATTTAACACAAGAAATCAACACCAAACAAAACCATAACTCTGAATGCCAAAGCATAACCATAACCAAAAGCAGAACAAAAACCTAAACTCAGAAACTTAATTACGAGTAAGTTTATCATCATAATATTATTACAAACAAACACAAACAAGTTTTAAACCACGACTGACAATAATAATAATAATAATATAATGTAATTACTTTTAGTAATAACTTGATTTCTCAATTCTGTTCAATATTATGACTTTTATATATAACTGATAACAAAAGCTCACTCACTCACTCACAATTGTTGATGGATGATTTGTACAATTCATATGATTTGTTTGCTTACATATTATCTACTCTTATGTTAATTATTGTCTGTTATATTTTGAAAGCGAGCAGAAAGCGAAACCCATCGAAACAGAACCGAACAAAACTTTCCTTGCTAATTGTGCGATAATGGCAAGTGGCGAATAAACGCGCAGATTACCACAATAAATTAAACAAATTGTCAATAATTGCCTTACAACATATTAAACACAAACATTTACAAAATATTTTCTATTCACAGTTAATACTTAAATCTTAATAACTTGCTTTAAGTACAAATCATAAAATAAATTAAGACGAAAACGTTTATTGCCATAAACTAAGTATTAAAAGCTTTTTACTTAAGTTAAGTTTAGTTTACTTGAGTTAAATTAATCATTAATATACGAATGTAAATTATTGATGCACACAGTTGATTTTCTAAACTTATCATAATCACTTCTGGTTTTCATCGGTTTCCAGCGTGGTTTTTATTTTTTGCGTGATTTCTCAAACGCCACATGGCTGGCTAATAACTATTAAGTTAAGTACACACTTTACACTACTCGTGCTCAACATCTCGACTTCTTGGTATAACGATGTCACGCATGGTTTCACTGGTTTTCACCGCGTTTCCATCTTTTTCTTAACATTCTTAACATATTCGTCATTTATTTCTACTAGATTTTATTCTAGTTTATTATATTTATATTTATTTATTCATTAGTTGTATTTGGGTTTAAAAATTGAAAACTATGCACGAATGTTAATAAACTTTGTGCATCGTGATATGCCGTGACTTTTAAATGTGATGAAAATTTTTGCCATCTACTATCAGACCTTTTAAAATTTCATGTGTAAAATATCATGTGGATGAATATTAGATTACAATTACGGTGTGTAAACGCTTGGATAAAGTGATTAATGATTAGAAAACAGTTAAGGTAGGAATGTTGTTAATTTAATTTGTTATTTATGATTGGATATAGGATAAATGTTTGTAATTAATGAAGTATTTCATTAAAAGTGATTTTGTTCTTGTTTTTATACATGAATAGTCTTAACTTACTTTGGGAAGAAATTGTGGAAAAGTTATTGATTTAATGAATTAAAATTATATATCATTCGAAAGAGAATTTAATATATTATCAACTAACGTTTGATTTATGTTTTTATCACGATTAGTTTAGTTGTTATCTTGAGATTTGCACAAAAAATTGGGAGACTACAATAGCCGAATGAGCGAGTAACTAATATTAATGTTAACTTCAAAGTCTTGTAACTCGGAAAATAATAAAAATAAATTCAATAGCTAAACATAAAATTAAACCTAATTAAACATGTTATCTAATTGTATTCATCACAAAAACTTAAAAAGTTATTCGAGTTTAAAATTTCACAACATAATTAAACATGAAATATTTCCTATCACAAGGAAATAATTCTACTTAGAAAACGATTTGTGTTTATAATTAATCTGGCATGATTAAAACAATCATTCAAACATTAAACATATCTTGTTCTTATTCTCAGACGTTCAATATTAATTGCAATTACACTTCGATAGTAAACGTCAAGCGAATAGAGTGGCTCTGATGCAAATTAATTTCTAAGTAGACTAAACTTAAGTGGAATAAACTAGCACTAGAACTAGTAATAGAGAGAAATGTGATTGTGAACAAGATGCGAATTTGTTCCAGTGGAAAGAAATGCAAGTAGAAATCTAACCAGAACCAGAAATGACATTGCTAATACATAGTCAAATTGTAATACGAAGTGAATTGTAAACTGATATTGCTAATAGAGAATCAAAACACTTAAGTAAGTGTGTTTAATTTAAATCTTAAGTGAGTCACTAAGAAAACAAGAATTAACATGAAGAAATAGATTAAATAGAATATTTTACTTCCGGTGTATTTATATTGAGAAGAGAAAAATGTGAAAATTTCATTTCTGGTTCTGCTTTCAAGAAAAAATGTTGAAAAAAGTTGATTCGTTATGGTTTTTCATAAACTATTTATAAAATATTGTTGTTATCAAAATCATTCTTTCAAATATTGATAATATATTAAATTTTACGTCAATTCGTGAAAAGATTTTGTTAATATAATTATTTCTTAAAAAGTTATTAACAATTGAAATTTGCATTGAGAAAAAAAGTTTTAAAAAATGATAATTTACCACAATTGATCTGTAATACTTGATAACATTTTGTTATCAGTAAAATAGTAACCGACATAGATTCTAAATTTAATACTAAATAGCTCAGAAATGAAATCTTGACTCTAACTTGATTGGATTTGGTGTAATTAATAAAAATCTATACAATTGCAGTAGTATTGCAAGTGATGAAACTCAATCACAATAATTCTGTAATTACTCAAAAAGTAATGAAGCAAAACTAATAATTTTATAGAATTGTGTTCAAAATTAAATTCTGCTTATAATTATGCAAATAATTTGCTCATTCGACTTATATACCAAAAATTATTAACAATTAAATTTTAATTTAGTAAAAAAACAAAAAAATATAGTAAAATTAACACAAATTGTTTTGTAACTTTTGATAAAACACTATAATCAATAAAATATTTATAAAGTAGAACTAGAATTTCCTCCTAAATACATAACCAGTAAAATAATGAATAAAAATTAATTATCTTTTGTATAATTAATTAATAATTACACTTTTTACACAATTTTTTTTCTCTCCACATCTAATCGTTTAATAATTTTTCTAATTTACTAAATTAGTCAAACCAATTATTTTAATTACTCCTAGATTCTCGCAATTCCCCAGATTTTTCGATTTTAATTATAATGACACTAAAATGTCAAATACCGTTGGGTGGAATGCTGGCAGAAATATAAAAATAGTTTCGAATGTTTAGCGTTTCCAATTCGTACGATTCCTGCGCGCATTCAGCATGATGTCAATGTGCCACGGAATAATAATGTGCAAAACATGCGTGAATCTCGTGAATATAATCAGAGCTGCTAACGGTGCTTCCCAGTCGTAAAGACACGTCGAGAACGGATATAAAACAACTCTGTATATTGTCAGTATAAGAATGTGTCTGTCTGTTAAGGTGTAAATTATTGACCAATTTGCACTTTATTATCATAACTTTACAATCGTGCAAATTAAGTGTCACACATTTGCGAGGAATTCAGACTTTCATATTTTAATATTAAAAAATTATTTAGAACACTCTGTAAAGTTTATTATATTTTTTTTGTTTAAAAATCAGTTTTAATTATATTTTAGTAAAAAATACAAAAAAGTTGAGTTTTTTAGAAAAATATTCAATTTTAAGAGCTAATTAGGCTAAAGTAATTAAGGTAATTAACAATTTAAAAATGTTGTTTGAAAGAGATTTTATTCCACTGTCTAAATTAGTTTAGATAATAAATTTGTCACTATTAGTTTAGTCATAATCTTTAATTTTGTATAAAAAAGCGTGGTGACATCAACAGCCAAATAACTATAACTAATATACGTATAACTAATGAACTAATCACCATAAATGACTTTTCTTTGTTGTAAATCACGCATAAATAAATTCTTTATTAGATACCTTTAAATTCAAAGTAAAAACATTAATAATTAATAAATAATCAGTAATTTTGTGTAAAAAATCCTCAAAAACTCTAAAATAACTAATTTTAAACGCTTGTAATTACTTTTGTGTTTAAGATAAATTAAAAATTTTACCTGTAAATGAAACCTCAATAATTCCTTTAAACATATTTTTAATTTCACGCATCTATCTCAATTTCTTTTGGCATAATCAAAAATTAAAATAGAAAATGCAAATGGAGATTACAATGCCCTCATAAACAAGTAACCCTCGTATTATTAACCATAACAAGACTTATTAACAACTTAAGTAATTATTACTTTCATCAATGCCTTACTTTTTTGTCTCAATTCCTTTCCAACTCCTTTCAATCTTTTTTTCCGTACAATTATCCAGTTATTAATAGAAAATCATTAAAAACTGGCACATCCAAGATGGTAACGATCAACATTCATACATTCAACGCTTTCAAGACGCATAGCGTACTTCTCTCTTCAACAGCAACACAAAACAAGAGAGATGGAATATTATATTGCGTAATCCTTCACATCCACAACACGTTTGAACTCTTTTCATCTCTTTGTCGCTGCTCACCGCTCGAAATCTGAAATGACCTCGAAATGAACCGCACACAAACGCAGAAACGTTAGCAAGTTATCATCAGTAACCGCATGAAACAAGCGCGTTTCAAGAAGGAGGTCTGCACCTCGAGGTGTAGGTCAGGAGTTGAAAAAAGTCGAAAATCTACACACTCGACTACACTTCACCAACTTCAACTAGAAATATGGATATTGGATAGATTCTTGGTCTGATCTACTATTAATATTAATATTAAGCATATAAAAAATTAAACTTTTACTTTACTTTATACGCTGTAATAATTTTGGTGTAATTCACGGTTTAATTTGTCGTTTTGGAAAGAAAGGATGTTTTGTAAGAAGTTTGTGCTTGACATACAAAAGTGATAATTTTATTATCTCGGTGACAAAAATGTTTCTCTGGTAGTTAAAAATCTTTTGACGGTGTTACAACAGCGTTACAAACATTAATATTGCTAGTGTTAATGTTAGGAACAATAGTGTGCTTTAACAACATTTATAGCAGGTAGTTGCAATGCTCTTAGAACAATGGTGTTGTTAAAATTGTCGAAAGATGCTAAAAAGCAATAAATTATGAATTTTTTTAGGGCAAACTTTGATAGGCAATAACTCAGAAAGTAATAATAATAACAAATTTAAAAACAATAATAAAGTGTGGTTTATTGTTTATAAAATGCTTTTTGTTTCATTATTTTGTCATTATTAGTTAATAAATTATTCTAATTTATAAATATTTTGTAATTTTTGAAGTTGAAAAAATAAACTTTCAACTTTGACTGCTCATCACTCCAAAGAGATTAGTGATAATAGAAAAATTTAAATTTTGGATGATAAAGAATTTATTCTTTCATCATATTTTGTTTATTTTGTGGATTTATTGTTATTAGTTTGTTTATAATCTTTATTTTTGTAAAAAAAAAAGTCGGAGACTACAACAGCCCTAAAGCGAGTAACCCATATACAGTCTGACTTCAAACCCAAATAACTCATTAACCAATCAAAACTAATTAAAATTTTTTAAACCACATTAATATATGACTAATTCTCTACCAAATAAAATTTATTTCATATTTTTACCTCAAAAATTTTTCAAATTATTCTAATTCAAACTTTAAAACACAAAAATACGATTATTCCCATGAAAATCCAATATAAATCCATCATAAACTCATAGATGGCGCTACCAGTACTAAATCAATAATAAAATAAACAAAAATACTTACGATTACAGGATAATGATAAAACAAGTAGCACACAATCAAGATAGGATTGATAGTCTCCAATCCAGTGCCATTATACTCGTCCTTCTTCCTCTCCTTGATAGCATTCAGAGGCCGTCGACTATTCGTCGAGCTAACCGTAGTGCTCACTTGCGAGAAGTCACTCTTCCACATCGTAGAATACGCACCATCATACCCAAACCCATTGTTATTCCGATGAATCGTGTACGTATCATAATAACTCTTATCAGTACGATTCGTGGCCGTTGACAAGCTCAACTCACTCAAATCACTCGTCGATTTCTTCCTGTAGTCAAAACCACCTCTCCTCTTCACTTTAATATAAACCACGCATGCGTAGAATAAAGAAATCACGCCGATCAATGCCAGAAAAGTATGCAGGATGATAATAAATGCATTATACTTGATATCCAACTGATAAGGCAACAAATCACACTCTTTGAAGGTGTTTAGATCAAAAGTAGCGGTGAATTCATATGTTTCCGGTTTTGCCAAGATGGCCGCCACGCCTACGCATGCGCAGAGAGTGGTTAAACAAAACAGGTGGTAAATGACATGCGTTGGTGTTAAATATTGCCGGAGATTCTCTTGTTTTCCGAAGAGTTTCACGGAAAACACGCCGATGACACTCAGGGTGGCCAAACAACTGGCGTGGAAGGTGTGGGCGGAGTTAAATGTCCAGGCAAAGATGTCACAATAGTCGAAAGCAGGACGATGAGCAGCATCGATTTTTTGTAGGGCTATGTAAGTTGCAACGGCGAGATTACGCAGCGTGGATTCGACGAGAATTGCGACGATAGGGATGTCATAAGAGCGCCATCTGGATTTGTTCTTGTGGAAGATTACAAGTGTCCAAAACTGGACTATGAGAGTGATGGGTATCGCTATTATCACGATGAGCTCGTAGTTTGTGGTGTGCATGAACATTTTAACGTCTGAAACAAAAAAATAAGTTTAAGAGTTAATTATGGAAAAGTCATTAAAGTAATTAATAAATTTCACAGTGTATGTGATAGAGGAGTTATTTGACTATATAAATTTGTTTATTTCATAATTTTATCACTGATAGTTTGTTAGTAATCTTTAATTTTGTAATAAAAAACAGGTGACTACAACAGCCGCGTAGGACAGTAACACATTTCATTTTCTTACTTAAATTGTTGATAACTATTAAACAAATCAAGATAAACTAATTATTTAAACTTTATTTATAAGACAAATAAATTATCTATCAAATGAAATTTGTTTCAAATTTCTTTCTCAATTATTCTCTGAGTTATTCACAATTAAAATTTACCCAAAAAAATGACTTAACAGTTAGTTATATCTCATTACTTAAATTGCCAAATTCAAAGTGTTTGCCTCCTGTAAACATGAATTTACCAATAATAATGCACCCCGCACGCCTGACACAGATACGCACCGTCCGGTGCAATAATTTGCACGTAATAATTGCTGCTGTTCATGAATATGCATGCGTTTTGTTTCATCCGCGCTTTGTATTAAAGCGGTAATAATTGAAATGTGTGTTAATGTTTGTATGTTGAAAAAATGTTTATGTGCCAGTTTATGTATCTGTCCGCACAGTTCCGTACACCTGGATAATTTATGCGCAATTAGTTTTTACACTCGGTAACACACATCAATACCAGACTTACGAATAGAACACTTAAGTATGGTTGATGTGAATGTTAAGTTGACTTAAGTAAGATATGACCTAATAGGCTAATTAATCGCGTAATTTGTTTTAATTACTGATGAGGAATGTACCGCACGTGCCAGTTTACAAAATTATTACAGAAAAATCGAATAAAAATTTTTTTAAGAAAAAAAAAAAATTCGAAATTTTTATATTTTGTTGATGATTTATTATTTACCTAAGAATAATGCGTTTTAAAGTGTGTAGAATGTTTCTAATATTTATAAAAACAAAAAATGTTGTAAGTTGATATGTCTACAAGACCATAATTCGAGAGGAAAGTTTTTTTCTTTTTGAATGTTTCTTATGTTCCTAATGTTTCTAATGATTACACTCGAAGGCGTTATATAATTGATTAGCTGAGCGTTGATTTCTTTTCGTTCCTTATTTGGCGATAACCAGCTGGACTCACTTCTAACTTTACTGTTACAAAAATTTATAGCTTCCTTGAAAGTTGATGAAACACACAAAAATTTGTTTTGGCTATAAAAGACAAACTATAAACAATAAATAGATGATACAAAACCTAATTTTTTACACATAAACTAAGCTTTAATTATCATTTTAATCATTCAGATTTAGAGGTTAGGTTTGCTCGTGACCAGAGATTTTATATGCGTTAGTGTCCTAGTCGCGCATTGGTATCTCCAATGTTTTTTAAACTTCTTTTCCTAATAACTCATAAACTAATTGGGATAAAAACATAAAACAAGCGACAATCAATAGAGGATATTTAAATTTACCAATAATAATTAAAATTGTAAAGATGGCGCACATGCGCAGTGAATTATAATGCGTTAAACATAAACCTAACTTTCCAACATATAAATTTCCATTTTTGATCTAAATTAACAAAAAAATTAATTAAAAATACAAAATAAAATATGATTGTGCGTTCTTTATTTAGTTCGGAGATGTTTTTGGCCGAGTCATCATCCTACGCAAAGAAATAAAAATAAAATGCGTGGAAACAGAAAGTACAATGAACCATAAAACGCAATTTCATTCAAACTCGATTCATAAACATCTCTCGTCGTACCTATCTCATTTTGTGTTTAATCTCATCTCATCACACAATTGTGTAGCCATTGTTTCATACCAAATTGTATATTATCTTCATAATGTCATATAATCTAATGTGACTAATGTAATTTTAGTCTGAATGTGATTTTTTATTCGTTTTGCTATTAGTTCAGTAATTTTACAATCATTAATGTTTATATATATTTATAGAGATGTAATAAAAGATTGAGTAATGTTATACATATATTTTATAACAAATAGACCAGAAATACAGTTTGTATTTAATTTTACTGCTTTATGATTCTTAAACGTGTTGAAGTTGTGGTTTAAGTTCAGTAAACAGTAATTTACTGTACGAGTATGATGAATGTAAATAAATAAATAAATAATAATGGTAAATAAAAGGATTTTAGTTTGGTCATTACTTGAGGTATTTAGTGTGAATTGTTGCTTGTTTATTACAAGATAACAAGATCAATATGAATGTATGATTGTAAGGTGAGTAATGAAAAGAAACGTTAGTCTTTTGAAGCGTTTATTGACGGACACCTGTTTGGAAAATTATGTTTAACTAATATTTGGCTTTTGTTAGTTGTATTATGAAATATTTAATGTAAATAACAGGAGATACAACGTGAGTTATAAGATTTACATCCGTTATATTAAAAACTTTTATGGTGTTAATAATAGTTTCAAAAGTTTCAAGAAATGAAAAATAAAGATTAAACTTTGATCGGTTATAACATATAAATTATAAGATGAATTGGAAAAATATTGATGTTTATTGTTAAAGTGTTTATTCATCTACCAGTTAAAATTTATTTCATAACTTTATTATTGTTAGTTTGTTCACATATTAAATTTTATTTAAAAAAACATGGGAGACTACAATAGCCACATAAACAAGTAACCCAAATGTATTATTATCTTCAAACTTTAATAACTCGCAAACTAATAACAATAAATTAAATGTGTTTTATATATTTGAAAGCCAAATAAATTTTCTATCAACACAAATTTATACAAATTTTTATCACTATTTTCAAAATAGTGTTTCAATGATATTTTAAGTTCTAACATCGTAGTTATCCTGTTGACAGTCACAATTTAAACATATTTTTATAAATAATTAATTATCATTTAAAAACGACCACATTTATCAACACAAAGTCATTGTATCAACAAATCCTTGACTATTTCGCCGGCAAACAACCTTGAAATGTTGATGAATAATGAATTATTCATTAAACTAAACATTCCTCTGTAACAATAATAATAAAAAAAATAACAATGTATCTCATCAATACCTCAATCAAATTTCAACTACGGGTAAATAAAAACAAAATTAAATCTAATGAAAATTGCTATCTATAAATAAGTCTACACTACATATCAATTATTTACGCCTTAAACAATTCATAGGTACCTACTACTCTAGTCATACTCATACTCATACTCATACTCATAATATTGTAACTTGTTAGTGAAATCATACACGCTGATAATAACATGACTCACAACAATAACATGACTTATCGAACGTGCCTTATTTCACTTCATTCCGAACGCATTGATTTCGTCAACAATAATAATTGCCCAAGACCAAGAATCATGCACGTTCGTATTTCGAACGCAGAAATAAATAATTGGCGATTATTGCCTTCGATTGGCAATGAAACTTAATTTTGTACACATCGTCAACATCGACATCAACATTAATAAGCTAGATTAATACTTGTTAGCTTGACAACTATCGACGTATTATTATTATTTTATTTCAACTTGGTTTTGTAGAACTGAAAGTTTATAAAAGTAGTTGTTTTGGATTGGATTGGAAAATGTGGTTTCGTGGGCGGCGCAACCTACAAACTGATTACTAAGCGAGCGAAGTGACTAAAGAGTAGTTCATGCAGGCACATGCATACAAATGATAAGTAAATGTGCATTGATTAAGTCCAGGAAGTATTTTCACTCATTATTTGTGTTATACATTTTCTTTCAAGGGGAAAAATAGGAAAAAAGTAAAAACGTAAAATAAAATTATTTTTTGTTTGTTTGTTTCTTTTTCACGCTTAAACTACAAGATAAAAATTTATGAATTTTGATGTAGATATAGGTTTGATTATGGAGAAGAACATAGACTACTTTTTATTGCAAATATAAGTGTTTAAAGGGGTAAAATTGAGGTTTAAAATTTGCAAAACGTATAAAATTTAAGTAAAATGTATAAAATGCCAGAAAATTATTACAATCTATTCTTATATGGACTAATATTATAAATTTGTCTATTTGTATGTTTGTGTCCTTTTAACGTCTAAACCACTTGCAGAATTTTTATAAAAATTAGTATGGAAATAGTTTAAACTATAGACAAAAACATAAACTATTTTTTTCCTCAAAAATAAATGTTTAAAGGATTAAAATAGGGGATGAAAGTTAATATTACCAATAAATCATAATTATAGTCAAATATTTCACACACAGATGGCGTTAAATATGTTTAACTTTATTAATTTTATAGTTAATGCTTCCGTAAACATAATTCCTAAAAAATAAAACTTATTATAACCTCAAAATATGTAAATAACTAATTTTTAAACCATTTCGCAGTGTTTTACACAATTTACCTACATTTTTCCGCTTGTAACGCATATAATTTGTGTGCGCTTCGCACAAGATTCAATTATTGCTTCAAACAGGACGTGACAACTGCACACGCATGTTGTACAACCATTTTTTCCTCTTAAAAAAACTTAAAACACACAAATTAATGAAACTTTTCATGTTTTAATGTTTTAATGACCTACTAAAGCAAGTAAAACTGTAATTATTCCTCTAAACGCTGTATAATTACAAATATTTATACATAAATACATCTATAATATAAAAATAAACTGCAAAATCTGTTGGTAAGCGCATAACTCAACAACGCCTAGTCCAATTTGGCCAATTCTTTTTGTAAAATGTTCGTTAAAGTCCAAGGATGGTTTTTACAGCGAGAAAAATTTGAATTATTGCCGGGAAACCCTAAAAACAGCCCTTTTCTATAGGATAAAAAGTGGCATTGAGATTCAATCATAGTTATAGTTAAATAGTTGAATCCGAGATGGCGCGCTGAAGTGCATTATTTGCAATTATTTATATAATTAATTTCTTTAAAATAAAATTGCGAATCTAATTGATGGAATTGACACATACTATGTCTAGAACAAG